TTCATTCTAGCTCGGAGCTTTATGCAAATGCAAATTTTATAGAATGGAAACGGGGAGGGGGTGGGTGAAAGTCGTGCAGAGCGAGGGGCTACCGAGCACTTCTCAAATCGTAAGCGACCTCGACGCACCACATTTTGCCATCAACTCAGATGCCGAGGACAAGCGCTCGGCGCGCTTTCATTTGCATTTAAAGTGCTGCCATATGGCCAACACAACGAGTATATAGCAATATCAGTGGCCAAGACAACACCGATATATATATATGTATATAGTATGGTTGTATTTATCTACTACCGACACCACCCACTGCTTTTTTGAGAAACGGAGAAACGTGCCCAGGCATACTGAGATTCAGAAATTTAAATACTCAGTTTGGTTTAGAGGAAAATGATTTCCAATGCAGTTTTTCAGTTTACAAATATTCTCGCCGCTGGCAGGTTTTTTTATTGAGATTTACTCCAAAGGATAGTTTTTCATTGTTGCAAAGTTAATAAACAGTTTTTTGGGAATGTCAAAGAAACGTTTTTTATACGACAAATTTTTATGTTGACATTATGGAAAAGAAAAAATGCAACAATCTACCTGCAACATTTATGAATATATTAAAAAGAGCTTATAAACGCTTTTTTTAGGGTTTATAACTTTAATTTTGAAGAATTTTTTATATAAAATATATTAAATTAAAAGCTTTTTGTTAAATTTAAAATATTTAAATCCGCAAAACTTGAGCAGCCAATATAAATTTTTAAACTTACTTTTCCTTTAAACTTCCTTGAATTCGAAAATTTCAGTTTGTGTAGGCAAAACTTTTCCTGACCATTGAAAGAATTTGATTTTATCAGTTTAAAGTTTCACAGACGAATGAAAAGCGGTCAGCGTGGCCTGGCCAAGTGAATTCCAAAATGGTTTGCCAAAGCTGCCTGCACAGATTTCCCAGTCAAGTGAGGCGCCAAAAAACTGGAAAGTTGTTGCCGTTTTCAGCTGACAGCCAAAGCCCGTGTCCTCTCAAAAATGTAACTAATGAGATTTTAAGTTTCTACACAGTTCCATCTCCAAAAGCCCAGGAAACTTGTCAGTTCTCTGTGTTCTGTGTGTGTGTGTGTGGGTGTGTGTCGGCGTTTGTGTTTACTTGTCGCCTGCAGGCTGCGGATTTGGATAGGAGGCGAGATTCTGGCTCAGATCCAGGTGATGGGTTCGGTGTAGAGGGGAACCAAAGTCCCGAGCCCGCAGCATTTTGACCCCTAAGCTGGCCCTCACTTTAGCACCCCTGGAATCTGTCTGCCTGGCAGTTGTATCCGTATCTCTGTATTTGTATTTTTACACTGAAAGAAAAATATGATATAATTTTTAACATAATTTGTTCTGGCGGATAGTTTTCGTTATCATAACAAAAAATATAGAATAAAAATTCTAGAAAAATTCTATATTTTTCACTTTTTTCCTCCATAATAATAGAATTTTCTCTATGTGTATCTCCTGTATCGCTTGTTGTTATTTTCACGCGTCCGAGGCTCCCGGTGTCCTTGCAACGCCTGCGACTTGTTAGCAAAGTTTGTGGGACTTTTGGCCAAATGAAAATTTAATGTACCGTGTTTCGGGTTGGCCGGCCTATCCCCCAGTCGCCCAGGCAGGCGGCAGGCGGCAGGCGTGGCGCGTGTAATTTAATTTACACCAAAACATTCAGCACGCCGCAGTGTCAGTGTCGCATTTTCAAATTAAATACGTTGCGAAGGAAGTTTTGCAGTCCGGCGGCCTCGGGGCTATGGCACTCCCATCTCTATCTCTGCACACACCTGTTTGACCTGGTTTCTACCTCTTGGCTATGCCTTTCTGCTCCTGCAGAACTTCTCATCACGGATGATGGTCGCTGCTGGTCTTGGCCAAGACTAGCCGCCGCTTTCGGCCATTTCTCAATGCCAGTTGGCATTTACATAGCTTGTTGTCGTCGGTAATAAGCTTGCACCAAACTTGCCCCAAGGCTTGCCCAGTTGGGTGGCGGAGTTAATTGCATAAAGTTGTTGTGCCTGTCAGCTCTCTGTGAAGTTTTTGTGCTGCATAAATCTACTTCAACTTTGGTTATTGTTCCGAAATGAGTTCCTCTCGTCCGTAAGTCCAGAAGTTTGTCAAAGTTTTGTGATGAAAACGAAAAGGAAACCTCATAGTTTTAATCAATTGCCCGGGGTTTCTGTCGTTTCAAAAAGACCTTTTGCAATATGCAATGTTTTTGCAATCGATTTCAATCATAAATTCAATGGAAAAGTTCAAGTTTTACATGGTCGTTGCAAGCAGCATACAGAAGCGTATGTTTGTGGCACAAAGTGACACAAAGCAAACCGACAGATAACCGCAGGCACTTTTGCCAGCTTTTCAGGGTTTTTATAGCTCTCGAAACTAATTTCATGTTAAATGCAATTGAAAAAGCTTTTTAATTGCATTGGCATCCTTTATATACATTTTCAATTGCAGTTGCAGCTCGAATTTGTTGCATTTTTAATTGGGAGCACAGTTTCAACAACAGCTTGGCAACAAATTTGCACACTTTCCATTATCCGGTTGCTGCTATCTTGCCCTTTTTGCATTTTTTCCCCTCCCAAATGCAACTGGAATGGGTGGTCTGCTCTTTTTTTTTGATGCTGATGAATGGTTAGCACCAGATGGTGTCCGACTCCTAGCTTTTAACTCACCCTCAAGTTGAGCAGCTCTGGCACTGGAATGTAGCAACTCAATTTAAAACATAACTTGAAAGGAAGTCTATCAAGGCAAGCAAAAATGGAGAGTAAAATCAGATAAATTTTTAGAACAAATTTTAAACTAAATATTGCCTTATTAAAGTTTTTCAACCTGTCTTATCCCCCAATAACATCTGCAATAAAACGACTACCAAACTTTAATTAAAACCTAATCCGATCTATCTTAATTTGGCCTGCTCACATATTTATGAAACCTTCTCTCATATTCTCAGGAATAACAACTATTTTAGCCTTAAGTCTCTTACGTGTGAGCTACCAAAAATGCTTCTTAATCTCTAAAAAATATATATAGTTTTTTTTCAATGTTTTTAAGCTTCTCGTTTTAATTATGACCCTTAAGCGCATTTCGAGGAGTTGCCAACACTCGAAAGTTTTCATAATATCTTTCAGTTTTTGCCTGTTTTGTTTATTTTAGCTTTTGGGGCCAAAACTTGCAGCAACTATTTTTGGAACTTTCTATGAACTGGCCAAAGCAGTGGGTGGTGTGTGGGTGTATACAGCATCCATAGAGTTAAGTATGTAAGAAGGGGGATTTATTAAAGAAAGAAAAAGACTTCCGTTTGGTGAAATGAGATTTTTATATATAATTTGGTATAAAAATGTTAAGGAAGTGCAGTCAACTGGATGGACGATGGCGATCATAGACAGTAAACACAAATAAAACTAAAGTAGAGTGCCAATAAAGCGAACAGTCAGTGTACAGTGGGGGCCATAAGTACGCGTATAAATTACATTTGAAATAGTAAGCGAAAAGGCGATTGTTTCGCATTGTTTCGCTGGCATTTTCCAAGCTGAAACGAAACCAAAACCCAATCTCCATCCACATCCGGTTGCGCAGAGCTTGTCGCATGGAAATCCCCTAAATACAATAAATTTCACATTTCATTTAATTCCATTTCATTTACAATGCGAAACCGAATCCGCAACAAGCAAACAAAGGAGCTTCAATCCAGTGGGTGGTGATCCCATGATAAAGAAGCCAAAACAACCAACAAAGCCAAAAGGAATAAGGGGAAAGCGGAAAAATAAGGAAAATTCAGATAAAGAAGCAGCATAACAGAGCAGAGAACTGAGTAGTTGGTCGCTGGGGGTCGTAGGTCGAGTAGACGAGCAATGAAAAGGAAGTATACATGTCGGTGTGTGTGTGTGTAATAAATAAATGTAACAATTGAACCGAATAAATGAAATCAGGACTCAGGAGCAGGCCCAGCTCCTAGCCAGAAAGAAAAACGCATTGCAGCCTTGCCTCGAAATTGTCAGGTGCATACAAATGAATACGCAATTCAAAGGAAAACATTTACAGGTGGAAATGTATGTAATACCTGCATTGAATGGCATCATAAAAGTGAAGTAAATAAATATAATTTAACTGACATGCATGTAAGTTTTACAAATTTTTGAAAATTAAACAAAAACACAAAATATTCCTTCAAAAATCTTAAATATTTTCATAAAAAACTTTTATTATCTGACTAAATAGTCAGTAATTTTTAACAAACTAAAACTTATCTATTGTCTAACAGCTAAATCGGATTGTATATGAAAAGCTTTCTATTTTATAAATTTTGTAAATTACTTAACTCGTCTTAAAATGTGTACTTGCCTGGAAATAATACCAGGACAATGCAATGCAATTAGTGAAACACTGTTGACTGATGGTGAAGCTGGAATTAGTTTTCCTTGTTTGTGTGGCTCAACGTGTTGCAAGTATCAGCAGCAGCAGCAGCAGTAGCAGCAGCTGTTTGCCTGCACTCGTTGCGATAAAGTTTTTCGGCTTTTCCTTTTCCCATTTCTGAACTTTCACGTTTTCCCCTCCCGTCCAACTACTGTAGTGTCCCTATTTCTAATGCTTTCCCCACTCTTTTTGATGTGTCTCTAAACTTTTTATGTTTACAAAACTCAAGAGCAAAGAACTTTATTTGAGTCTCTACTGTAAGTCACTGGGTTCTTAAATGCTTTTAACGGGTTTTTGATCAAGGACAATTTTGATGGCAAGGGGGGTTTAGGAAGTAGTTCGTTTTAAGGGGTGGAAAGTCACTTAAAATGAATGGCAGGGACTGATTGACCTTCAAGACTTGTAAATACAGTTATTTACAAGACTTTTTAACACTAAAAAAGTTACCCTAAATATTAATTAGTTTCTAAAACCAAAATGAAGCACTAAAACAGATCTTAAGCTAATAAGGGATTAAGTTTTAAGAACCTCTTCTATACAACTTACCTAACCCCTTTCATCTCTTTCACTTACAGTGATACTTCGATATCAACGCGAGTGGATATGCTCACGCCTGCTATTGAAGTCTACAAGCCGCCCCTCTGACACAAGGACGACACTGTGGAGAGCAATTTAGGGAATCCCTCGACGAGTAGCGACTTCTAGCAGAACCTGATAACTAACCCTGCGGAACTAGCTAAGGATAATCTATTTGTTCTTCCAACATAGTGTCAACCCCAAACGAACTTCGAATGGATGATAATGGTATATGGAAGATTAAGAATGGAAAGATGATAGACGAGAGATGGTAGATGGCCAAAAAGGACTCGAGAGAGACACGAAGACCGACTCTATCAGAGGTTTTAGTGCAACTAGCAGAGCAGAAATGAATCAGATTAAAGAGAAAACACAAACACACAGAAACAGACGCAGACACAGAAATAAATTAATAATTGATCCAACTGAATAATTCCTAAGATTGATTAAATTTAGTTACTTTTTAGCGTAAATGATTTTTAAACCAGCAGAAGAAAAAAAACCAAAACAACAGAAGGGTTAATGAAATAAAACGAAGTCTAGTTCTAAGCTGTGGCAATGGCATATGTATTTGTAACTCTAGCCATATACAATATATATGTAAAATATATATATATACATATGTCTGTCTGTCTACGAATTCGAATATATATGCAAATTTGGCAATGTGTAAATTTAGTTAAAACTGAATCATTACGGATGTAAAACAAAAACAAAATGAGGGCTAAAAACCAGTAACACCTAAAAACAGAAAATGCAATGAATAATTTTTGTACTGCTAAAGAAAAAAAAGGGAAACCCGAAAAAAAGGGAGGGGAAAAACCGAAAATTAACATTAAGTGTACAATTTTTGCATTAGGTAATGAATAAGTTTGTAATGCATTAGTAATTAAATACAATAAAAATGTTCAGCTAATCACGTGGAAAGCAAAATGGCAAACCAAAACTATAAAGTGCAACTACCAAATAAAATAAACTTATGTTAAATTGGAAATTTAAATGGAAATTCGGCCAGCGGCGAAAAGAAAAACACATTTTACGCTTCAGTTAATCGAAATACAAACACAAGTAGACATGCCACGCCTCATATTTATATAGAAACCGCCCACACACACACGACCATCAATCGCTTTTGGTTTTGCTGTAGAAATCGGGTTTGAAAATCGTCTTAGACGATATTTTCCAAAATGCCCTTCACAAAGTGCCCCAAGTTGAAAGAATTTGGTCAAAATTTCAATCATGAAATTTCTCATATTTGCGTTACACTTAAAGAAAAAAGAACCGAACTTTGTGGTGTAGTAGAGAGGGACATAAACAAAAATGTAAAGGTTAAAATGTTTAAAAAATATAATTCAATAATGAACGTTTTTTGACTGTGATCATTTGAATGATATATAGAGAAATATGATATTATTGAGTATTGTTGTTGACAACAAAAAATTACGAAAAGCAATTAACTTCTCGGTCATGATTCAATCATCAATCAGCCATCAATCAAACTAGCACAAGCCACAGCACATCATCACTTACAAGTTCTCACCTCACTTAGTATAGTTAGATCACTTTTTTGCTCTTTTCTTTTCTTTCGAGGCTGATCACACTACCAATCAATCAATCACCACAACCATTCAATCGTGCTTGACAATATTTAATTTCCCAAAAATAAAAAAAGAAGTTTTTCAAATCATTCCAACTCACAGGACATGAACATAGAGATCATGCTGAGCCCAATTTGTAACTAAAAAAACCAAAAAAACAAACCGCTTATTCTGTTCCACATTGAGATACAGAGGCTTTTTGGTGGAGGATTAGAGGAGGATTAAGAGCAGGAGAAAATTAGGGGATATTGAATGTTAACATTTATTTGTATAAGCTGCAGAACATTGTTGGATTTAGAGGAACCTGCATAGTTTTTTGATATTCATGTAGATACATGTAAATGCCACTCACTAAACTTAAGGGGGAAAACGAACAAGCTGGCATCAAGGATATTTGCATTATATTTGTAATATCAAAACTGTTCATAGTTAAGACAACAAGGCAAGCCACAGGAAAAATAATAATATATAAAAACATAAAAACAATTAGTTAATAAACAACAACAACAACAACACACACACAGAAATAATAAACAAATGTATATAAGCTGACTAGAACAAATTGGTAATAGAAACGAAACTCAATGAAAGCTGCAAAAAACAAAAAACCAAAAAAACCACAACAAGAAAGTGCATATAATTTTGATAGTTAAGCTAATTTTAATACATTTTTTAAGACACTGCAGTGATGGCAAAAAATGGTACGTTACTACATTAAGAGAAACCAAAAATAGGAAAAATTGAAAAACCAACTGAGAGGTGGAAACCGTGAAAATTATTCCATTTTTACACATCCTCAAAGGGGTCTCGTTAATTGATTTTGTTGTTACAGTAAACTAATGCAATAAACATTCGCATATTTCTTACTTTTAAATATTATTATTATTATTATTATTGTTATTTATTATCATTGTTGTTATAAACGTACATATATATGGAAATTTGAATTTTTAACAAGTGCACAATGATTTTTTATACACCGCAAATTGGCTTTGTCAGTGCAAGAAAAAATGGAAAATTCGTTTTTTAAATTCGATCAACTTGAGGAGAGCATTGTCTGGCATTCAAGTCGGACATCACACACACACACACACACGCATTGAACAAAAGGACATTAATTTATACACATATAATGACGAGAGAAATAATGGAAAATAATAGAACTAGAACGCATATTGAATAATAAATGAGACATACATATTATTGAAAGAAATTAAAAAGAAACATAACAAAACAAAAACCTAACTTGAGTTTTTATTTTAAATGAAAGAATAGTTTAAGGTAAGTAAATTTGGGTCATTAACTACTATAATTCATCTGGAGATCTTCCATGAACTAAATCCTAACCAGAAAACCACCAGGCAGCAGAAATTATCTAAAGCCATCGTCCATCATTCCAGGCCGTTGGTTTTCCTCTCAACTGCAGAATGAGTTCAGGGAGCTTGACTCCATTCTGAAGGTGAGATTGGATGATGGGTGGCGGGCAGATGGCCTCTGTATCGACGCAGTCGCGGGTTTTGCCTCCACCGACAACAAAATGAAATGAAGTGAAATGAAATCAAAGGCATCCATCGCTGCTGGAGGCACCACAAGCCAACGCATAGGGGCACACACATGCAACATCGCGGCTCAGGGGAGTGGGTGATGGGAAAACGACAGGCACTGAGGGAAAATATTGGGGGAAAATATGCAAAGAACTTGGAAATTATAAAGTAGACTTTCTATAAAATGATAAAATGATAATAAAGCTCCGCCATATTTGATCTTTTTTTAAGTTTAACAAGAGTGACATTTTTTCTTAATCGAAAATCTAAACAATTTCTCTCTGTGCTGCTTTCTCCCCCCTCTTAATGTGAAAACTCGTCCGCACATCCTTGCCACCATATGATGTTTACACTTGAGCTGCAGCATTGGCAAACACAATCTACATGCCGCAACCCCCTAACAAACCAGCCACACCACCGATTTTCCTCCCGTTGCTGCGTTTGTTGTGTTCGCGTATAGGGAAAGAAAGAAATTGCCGTGGTTTTTCCGAGGAGAAGGCAAGGAGCCACAGCCTTCGATTCAACTTGTTTGCCCTTCACAATCCAAAAACTGAGTTAGCCCAACTCTGCGGTCTTTCTCTGTGCTGGAATACACACATTCCCAGGCAGTTGGTGCGAGAAAGTTAGCTGGGGAGGGATGGTAGAGGCTTAGGGAAGAGTTCGATGTCATAACCGTAAGCCCCGGTTGATCCTACATCGATTAGTCGGGCAGGAAGCGAGTCGCTCATACCGGAAGCTCGTCCACAAAACCCAACCACAAAGTTGCGAGAACAAATCGGAACAAGAACTCAGCTCCTCGGGCTACGCATCTTTCAACAGGTATACGACGGCAAGTAAAGTGTACCTAATGATTGGTATAGGTACATACCTAATATCTATATTTGCTATAACCTAATCTTTAGCAGATCATTTGATTAAGATAATTTAGTTAGCATATCAAGATATAGACTCGATATATACCGGAAAATCAAAGAAAAAGTACCTTTCCCATCACTGACGATGTTCAGCTTTGCAATGGATGGAGAGATGGTCGAATGAAGGGCTCCACTTTGAAGGAGCAATTGAGAGAACAACGAGCTTAACAAGCTGCCAGAGCTCCAGGGGCGCTTTTTGTTTCCGACTGTTCTGTCTGTCTGCCTGCTCCTCTGCCCAGAAATGGAGGAGCAAAAAGGGCAGGTAGTTGGCACTTCAATTGAACACATTAATGTGTCACTTTTGTCGGATCCCGGAGCGAGTTTTGGTGCGTCGGTAATGCCATAAATCAACACCCCGGCCATCGTCATGAAGCGAGCTATCGATTAGCCAGGCTAACCTTCGGTTTGGAGAAGTTAGGTAAATGGTATGGGGTGGGAGGGACATGAGGATTGGGCGTGCTGCTGCAGCGGTGAATGCGGCCACCAAAACCTGGACAGGTGCCTCTCCTCGGTCCTTGGCAACTCAAATTTATGAACTTGACTTTCGGTTAGCTAACAGCCATCAGCCCATCAGCCATCAGGAACCCTCATCCCCGTCCGCCTATCGTCATCAGTTCCGGCCAGACACGAACCAAGTATGAAAAGGTTCGCATGACTGCAGGAAATTACCATAATTTCAATTTAAGAAATTAAACGAATTCCGTTCTGGGGCTGAAAAGAGAGCAGTTCCGACCGCCGAAAAAAAGAGTTAAGGAGATTGGTAGACCATACATTGCAGATTTCAAGCGGATTTACCTACATGACATGGTGATGGGGGAGCTATAAGTGACTTGAAGAGACTACATGCTCGTTAGAGGAACTGTATAAGTTCATTAGCTGAATGGGTTTTCTATAAGAGGGTTTCCATAGTCATACTTTTATAATTCTCAAAGAAATTTAACTGAACTTCGTTTAATCACAGAATTTCTATAAGTTATAGCTAATATAGACCTAAGTAACCTAACTTAATACTTTATATATTGTGAGATTTTTCATAAAAAAAACATCAAAACACTTCTTTCATCAACTTAAACTTACCTTAGAAAAAGTGGAAACTCTACGAAAGGGTTTTCACCAATGACATGTTTTTTGAGGTTAAACACCAATTTAACCTTTTCCAATACTATAGGCTAGTATTGACCTGTCAAAAGCAAATTTATATCCTAAAAACTTTGCAAGTAACAAGAATCATGGACCTACTACGTCGTAATCCCATCTTGGAGGTAACAAAATGCGAGATGTGTCCCAGGAAGGTGTATCACTTCGTCTCTGGGTTGTGTGCCCGCTGTCTGACTATTTGGTCTGGAAAGAAACAAGCAGATGGAATCCAAATCACAGTGAATCAATCAAAATCTATCATAGTGGGCATGGCCCGGGATGAAGAGGATCTAGGACAAATGGATCCGGTTTTCAGGAGTGCCATAGAAGAGTCGCGAATGAAGCGAATGAAGCAATTTGATCTCTTCCTGAAGGTGCGCAACCAGTTTCAGTTTACCATTCTCAACTCGCCGTACTACCGACAAGGACCCAAGGTTGTGACCAAGGAGGATTACTGGAATGTCCCGCATATCGTCGATAGGGATTTTATGGCTTTTCAAAAAGAAATCAACCTGCTGAGTGATATGGAACAGCAATCTCTTAAAGAACAATCAGCGATAAGGAAATTAGAAGAATAAAGCTGGAATTTTTTGTTTTTATATTTTTTATAAACTTTAAATGGAAAATCAAAATAAGTTCAAGGACTCTTATTTGCTTATTAGCTAGTGATAATAGCCAATTACCAAACTAAACAAAGGCCAATTGCTGTCCAGGGAATTTTGGTAAAGGATTCAATCCTAATGCTTTGTAATTGGCACTTTTGGTCGGTGTAATAAATTACCCAAAATCCAGGCTCAAACATTTCAACCAAGTCAAAACCAATTGAGCAAATGTGATGGTGATGGCTACCAGGTCATCATTACCATCGTCCATCGGAGCCATCAGACATCAAGCTCTGACTGTCTCCGGGGGCTCATGGACATTTTGCTAATGAAAATGTTTATTCAAATTTACGTCAATGGATGTGTTTACACAAATGACCATCAATCTACATAAATAAACGTAAGTACAAAAACGCCAGGAATGTGTGCGTGTGTATCTGCCAACGAGTGTATACTGTACGGTTATTGTTCTTTGCCCGGCATTGTTCAAAAATTTGTTTAATGAGAAAACTAATAAATCAAATGCCCCGTCAATTACAATCAAATTTATTTTGGAACGCCATCGAACGGTCAGGGATCCAGCCACTTGGCTTATGGATCGATAGATCGATTACATAATGAATAGAGTTGATGGGTTTTAAGAGGGAAAGTTAGAGACAAAGTAAGTCTTGAAAAAAGGAAGAAGAAAATACTTCTTAGAAAAGAATATAATATTTTCTTCCTATTTTTTAGGTATTTTTAATGCTTTCTTTTACTACTTTCCAAAAAGCAGTTCATATTTTCCATAGCCTTGATAAATATTCCTTAATTAAATCTATTATTTAAATATAAATCATTTCATTTCTGCCAAACGATGTGGATATTTGATGGCTTAAATACCAGATGGCCAGAGTCCAAGAGGCCAGCAGAATGTCGCAGCTTCCTCAGACAGGATGAGAGGCCAGGCGGAGGACATTAGTCAAGTGCAACAGCTTTCAAATAAACATAAATTGAGGATGCTGTGCTGTGTGCTGCACCGCAGAAAGGAGAAGAGAGGGAATCACCCCCCTTGGGTACTTGGGAGCCAGTTGCTCCTTTTAGCCGCCTCGCCTGGTGTCGTAATTAAAGGCAGTCGCGCAATAACGAAGAGAAATGCCCGCTGCCAACGAGCGGAGGATGCGCTTCTAATTTATTTGTTTTTCTCACTTGACTTTTATTTACACGGGCATTGGCATGTGAGTGGCATGGAGAGGGAGAGGGAGAGGATAAAGGGTGTTCTTTTGGGGTGGCAGCCATAGCAAGAGCTATTGCCGTTTGTTACCTTTGTTTGTGAAAGTTCTCCGTGCGCTCCTTTTCGGGGCCAGGGCAAAGTGCCAAATTGGCCTAATGGCGTTAATGCGAATACGAGTCTACGAGACTAAACCAACGACCAACCAACCAACAAACATCTCTACATCAAAGGTCGTTTACAAAGCTACAGTTTTTGTGGGTCTCAGTTTCAGTTTTTGGATGCAAAAATCCAGATGCAGATGCAGTTGGAGATTGGGTGCCAGTTGCCAAGCCAAAATGGCTTAAATGGGGGGGAGCAGGAGGGGGGTGTCAGGACTCACTCCCACATAGAACCAATTCTACACTCACAATGCAATGCAAATCAAAGCACTTAAAAAGTTGAGCAATTTGGCAACGAATGCTAATGGAAGTCGAGAAAATTCCAGGGATACAATTCGGCTTTGCTTTAAGTTAAAGTTTTAATTCCACGGCCCTGGAAAAGTCGTCTCTAAAAAATCAAGAAAAATCGAAAACAAAAAAACAAAGCAAACCAACTTTTTGCCATCACTACTAAAGAATTTTATTAATTGTCATTCAGAAAATCAATCTGACGTGAGCATATTACATTTTCTTTGAAAATGCCTCCATTTTCCACTTGTTCTATATGCAATATCAGGACCCGTAAGGTGGCCAGGGACCCCATAACCTTAAAGCAAATCTACGTGTGTCCGGTAGGAAATCCACTAACTTTTTTTTTCTCTTTCTTAAAGCCTTTTTCCCCCTAGAAATGCTTTAAGAACAACAAACATAAAAAGGTGCAGCCAGTTAAGGAAGATAATTTGGACAAGGCTGGAAATGAAAAACTCTGCCAGAATGAGCATAAAAAGTCCCCAGAAAAAGCTATGGCTTTAACGAAAAATGACGAATGTTCTAGTACCAAGAGTAAGGAAATTAAGAAAACCGAACAAAATGAAAATGGAAAATTAAAGGAGCCTGCCAAAACATTACCAATGGCTGTTAAAGAAGAGAAGGTGAAAAAAGTCACACCTCCTCTCATGCAAATTGTGATTATTAACAATCGAAAATATGTGGCCATTAGTGAGACAGCCGATGACGCATGATTTGGTCATAAATACTAGCTGCTAGTTAAATGGAAATCAAAGAAACATTAAAGCCTTACCTTTTTTTCCCATAAAACAGAATTTAAAAATATTTTTTTTTAATTTAAATCTAATTTAAAACACCCTCCCTTTTCAGGTTACTAACTTTGTTGGGTTGCATGGCGATATTTAGTTCTAAATTTGTTTGGCTGTTGCCACTTTTATTGCAACGGATGTGCGTGATGTGGCGGTATTTGTTTACGTCCCATTTCCGCATCCGTTTTTTTTTCACTAGAAACGCTGCAGTTGCAACTTTGCCACGCCCACTGCGTAACTCGATGCGATTCGAAAAGCCACAAACCCATTTTAGCCCACCATTCCATCCAACCATTTCGCATGTGCGTGATTTTCGAAAATTTTCAGGGAGCCCCATTAAACTTTTAATGGAATTTCCATAATCATGTTTAAAGTTGCGAAGGACTACGGGGAAGTTTTTTTGTTTTACAAGTATTGATTGAAAATCAAAGGGTAACAATAAACATGATGATGGGTAAAGTCTTTAAAAACTGGATACTTTGTCATAAAGAATGATTGACACGCTCTTAGAACTTAGTTAGATATAAGTTAGCTATTGCTATACCTGTAACTATTTAAATAACTTGTAAATTAGAAACCTTGATTAACTATATCATGCTTCGGTCGCGTGCCTCTAATTTAGTAAAGCCCAGCCTTTCTCACTCTTTTCTACTATGTATCCAGCACACTTGAGTGAACCGCACTTACGCCTAAATTAGCATATCAATCGAACACCTCAATTCGAGTTTATAAAGTACAATATGGATTAGTCGCATTTGCACCGACACACAGAAAGCACACATAATGGCAATGTTGGTCGATATAGTGAATTTCTTGGGTAAATCCCCGCCAGATCCTGTGCGTCTGCCACTCCTCAGCAGCCATAAGCCAGTACTGATGATTTTGGCCACCTACTTGGTCTTCGTTAAGTTAGTGGGTCCCAAGCTAATGGAGAATCGAAAGCCTTTCGACTTAAGAGGTGTTATAAAGGTCTATAACATCATGCAGATCCTGTACAATGTTGCGATGTTTGTTTTTGTAAGTAAACGAAATTAAACGGGATTAACTAATAGTATCGATTGGAATATATAATCTCAACTTATAGGCCACCCACTTTATGCTTGGACCCGGAGCTTTCAACTTTAGATGCATCAAAAACCTACCACCGGATCACTCTTACAAGACCTGGGAAAGATGGCTAACCTACTCGTATTTCTTCAACAAGCTCTTGGATCTTTTAGAGACTGTTTTCTTTGTCCTGCGAAAAAAGGATAGGCAGATATCCTTCCTGCACGTCTTCCACCACATGTACATGCTGTACTTCAGCTTCATGTATCTGTACTATTATGGATATGGTGGCCATGGGTTCCTCATGTGCTTCTTCAATGTGATCGTGCACATCATGATGTATACGTATTACTATCAATCATCTCTCAATAAGGACGTGAAGGGCGATCTCTGGTGGAAGAAGTACATCACTGTCGTTCAGTTGATTCAGTTTGGAATTATTTTGGGGCACAGTATATATACCCTACAACAACCGGACTGTCCATCGGCTCGGTTCTCGGCAATTTGTGCTGGAGGCATATCCATTGTGTTCATTATTTTATTTAGCAACTTTTACTATCATGCCTATATCAAATCACAGAAGCCTGTGAAGAAGGTTGATTGAGTAAAATTAAGTCAGCAAACTGATTTTGTTTAACATTTAAACCTCTCTATTAACATTAAATGATTATGAAATAAGTTTTTAATAAAGAAAATAGGGATTTATATTGTATTTGAGTAGTGTAAAGTGGATGGTTTTAAGGGAGAGAGATACGTAAGGAATCCTATACCTTAATGATATGAGACTTGGATTGGGATCTAGATTTTATATAGCCAATTTTTTGCTTTATACTTTCTTTAAACTGTGTTAAGAATCTTTTGAGGTTTCCTTGAGTTTTAGACATTAATCAAGCTGATAAGTTTCATATGGAAAAAGAAGGTTAGATTCTTTTCCAAAATCAAACTTCGAAATTGTATAAGTTTCTTAAATTTCACGACTTACATTTCCAATGTTGACGTAAAAGTAGTTGCTTGGCGTCACAATTTCGATTAAACTAATTCGGTTTACCTTCACATTGACTCTATACTGTAATTTAATTTAAAGTTGCTTTGTTGCTTAGAAACGAAAACCTTCTTTTTGCCACCGTAATAGTCTTTTTAATCGTTGAACGTAATCGATTTAGCTTACGTAGGGCTTCGTATAATGCAATCGAACTTATGTAATTGAGCTTTGGATATGCGTGAATTAACATTTCACTTGTCGATCGAAACAATTTATATTATGTATCGATCAGTTGCCTTTACACCGACATCGATACCACTTTGACTTCCGCCATGTTCGCCAATATACTGGACTTTCTCAACCGATCCCCAACAGATCCTGTACGCCTGCCATTGACCAGCAGCCACTGGCCTGTTTTGACAGTACTGACCATTTACATGGTCTTTATAAAAGTTGTGGGTCCGATGTTTATGCGGAACCGAAAGGCCTACGATTTGCATAAAGTAATTCAGGCATATAACATCGTACAAATCGTGTATAATACAGTCTTGCTAGTGGTTGTAAGTATTTAGATTGGGAACTCTTTTGGAGTAGAAACTCTTATGTATATTTTAATCTTAATAGGGTGTCTACTTCATGCTTGGACCTGGAAACTATAACTTTAAGTGCATCTCCAATCTGCCATTAGATCATGAGTACAAGAACCTGGAGAGATGGCTCAGCTACTTGTATTTCTTTAACAAATTCATGGATCTTATGGAGACGATTTTCTTTGTTCTGCGTAAGAAGGATCGGCAGATATCCTTCCTGCATGTCTTCCACCATGTCAACATGGTCTACATAGGCTTCATGTATCTGTACTATTATGGTTATGGTGGCCATGGATTCTTCGTGATCTCCTTCAACATGATCGTGCACATTATGATGTATACGTATTACTATCAATCATCTCTCAATCGGGACTTGCAGGGCGATCTCTGGTGGAAGAAGTACATCACCATTGTTCAGCTTATTCAGTTTGGAATCATTTTGTCTCACAGTGTCTATACACTTAAGCAACCTGACTGTATCACATCCCGTTTCTCAGCCACTTGGGCTTCAATCGTTTCGGTTATTTTTATAATTTTATTCAGCAACTTCTATGTTAATACCTATATCCTGCCCCAGAAGAAGGCTAAGAAAACTTTAAGGTAAACCAAAGAAAGTTGGTTAAGATCCTTCATAGCTAAGGATTATGATGTGATATATATGTAACATATTTTCACCTTGTTTAAGTAAAGCTAATAAAAATTTCATACCGAAAAAGTTCGAATATCTTTCATTCGTCATTGAAAAACTATAAACTAGGAGCTGCCTAAGAATATTCGATAATTGAAAAACTAATTTTAATTTGTTGTTATTAAAGGAAAGGAAAGAATTTCTTTTTACACCGCCTTAAGTATTCATTTAGCAGCTTAACATGAAATTACCATACTGAAAATGTAGACTTGTTTAGTTTCTAATTAGCAAATAGTTAGTGACTGTAGTGAAGGTGTGATAGCTGGACTAGAAGGGAAACAGCAAGTCACCTGATAAGTTGTGCTGCAAAATGTTCGAAGTATTCGATAAGCCCTTTGCCGATCCTGTCCAGCTACCGCTGGTGGGAAATCTCCGAACCTCGGTGATCATTATCGCGGTATATCTGCTGTTTGTGCTGAAGCTGGGCAGGAGTTTCATGGACAAGCATGAGGCTCTTCAGCTACGTGGAGTTCTTAAGGTGTACAATATCGCCCAAGTCCTTTATAATACGCTGATATTTGTTTGGGTAAGTAAATAGATTAAATTTAGTAAATAAATTAAATAGTTCCCAATTTTTTAATGGATTTTATACCCAGGGCTTTCATCTGATCTTCGTTGCTAGGCCTTATAACCTGAGTTGCATGACTGTCCTGCCGCAGGATCATGAACTTAAGTCCACAGAAAGGACTTTGGCCTATCTTTACCACCTGAACAAGGTGCTGGACCTCATGGATACCATATTCTTTGTGCTGCGCAAGAAATCGCGCCAGATTACCTTCCTCCATGTGTTCCATCATGTCTTCATGGTGATAACATCACATTCCTTGATCCGATTCTATGGATATGGAGGCCATGTCTTTCTCATCTGCATGTTCAATGTCCTGATCCATATGGTGATGTATGGCTACTATTATGTCTCATCGCAGAGCCAGAATGTCCAGGAGAGCCTGTGGTGGAAGAAGTATCTGACATTGGCCCAGTTGGTGCAGTTCTTCCTGATGTTCCTGCACTGTGCCTACACCTACATCCAGCCCAATTGCACGGCTTCAAGGGGCGTCATCTATGTCATAAGTTCTGCCAGTGCCTTCATGTTTGTGATGTTCTCCAAGTTCTACATAAAGACCTACATTCAGCCGAGAGAGGTCAAGTCCAAGGGCAAGGCCAACTGATTTCACCTGCTACACTGTGATTAAAAGAGAGATAGTTTTTTTTTAAATTCAGTTTTATGTGAAAAATTGTTACTAATTGACTTAAAAAAAACCAAATTCGTAAAAGAGTAATCTACTTTTTAGTGAAGTTTTGACTTAAAAACCGGAAGATATTTATCCAAGTGTATTTGATGATTTGCATAGGCACTGTTTGAATAATAGATATAATTCAAATGCATTGACACTTAATTGAAATGCAGCCGTGGAGGTCAAGGAGCTGGCCTCCGCCTGGAATAAGTCCCCTGGGCCACATCTCCGGAGCACATAGCTTCTAGTGGCAAAGCATTGTGGCTGGCACGTGATCAGAATGTTCTGCATGCTCTGACTTTTGCCATGCTTTTGCCTTTTAATTAGAATATAAGAACGCTAGGCCAGGCTAGGCTAGGAGGCTAGGCCAGTTCAGGCGATTTATGGCACCGGAAGGGTCACCCGTGACCGGTCGAATTTGCATAGGAATCGCATGCGGCGAATCAGAGTCGAAGTGCCAGCTGAATAATTGCGGCCATGCAGTGACATTAAAGCGAAGCCACAGTCAAGTGCAGTGGCTTGGCTTGGATTTTGGGTTGTTCTTGGTCCTTGGAATGGGGTCTCCAACTGTGTTGGTTCACCCGTGTTCTCAAATAGTTCCTCCACTACTGGTTTAGCCGCCCGAGCATGCTGAGTAATTGCCGTTTTAAATGACATTAAACGTGCATTGTGTAGTTCCCTTAGCAGTCCACCCATTTCCCCCTCTGCCTTCGATTTTTCACTTTTTTTATTTTTACCCTTTACATGGACTGCTGTGGCGGCTATAAAAATAGTTTTTCCTTCCTTAAAAAAATTCAACAAAGAATATTTCCTACGCTCTATGGGAAATGCTTGGCATTTTTCTGGATTTTATTTACTAAAAGTACGTCTCTGCTGTACATTCCAGACTTTTGATATATGCTGGAAAATATAACCTAAAAACTGAAAAATAATCTTATATAAAACTCAGCTTAGCTTATTAGTTTTTATGATCTTTAGAGCCAGATCGTTTCGATGTCTTCTTTCCCGATCGAATATAGTTGTTGAAATAAAATTGGCTAAACATCACGGTGAAAGAGGCGGCTAGGAGGGCGCATCCATAGGTCACCAGTCGTGGGACATTGCAGTTGGGCTGCGCCAACGTGTAGATACAGTGGGTCATGATCATGGCAAACTGGATCAGTTGGGTGAGTGTTATGTACTTCTTCCACCAGAGACTCTTCTGAACTTCCGGACTGATCGAAGAGAGGTAATAGTAGGTGTACATGATCACATGCATGATCACGTTTAGGTAACACTGCGGGAACGCAATGCCGCCATATCCGACAAAGAAATAGTATAGATAGCCGCTGAATGCCATGGAGAAGTGATGAAAGACATGAAGGAAGGATATCTGACGATCCTTTTTTCGCAGCACAAAGAACACAGTTTCCACAAGATCAACGAACTTGTTGACTATATACAGGCTGCATATCAAACGCTCCTTATCCTTATGTTCGTGATCAAATGGCAGATTGATAATGCATCTCAAATCGTAGGCCCGCAATATGGCCAGAAAGTTAAATCCCTAAAACATATCAAAACCATTATCATCCATGTCCTGTTGGGAATCCTTACATTTTAACCACCTGGTACTTACTAATACGACTATCAAACCATTGTACAGGATCTGCATGATGTTGTACACCTTGATTACGGTGCGCAGCTCAAAGGGCTTTCGATTCTGCATGATCTTTGGACCCAGCTTGAGGACAAACAGCAAGTAGCCGCCCAGGGTAAACATGGTGACCCATACATTGCTGAAGAACGGCAGAGGTACAGGATCTATCGGTGTGAACATTGTGGTTTCAGCAAGTCTGGCACCACTCCGGATCTATTCCCGGAAAGAACTAAAGAAATACCTAATGCTACAGCTAGACCATATATACGAGTATATGTGATTTGAATTAAATGAAAATTGGAAGTTACGTTATAGTAGAAAGTCTCGACTATTGGATATCCCCTAAAGGGAAAACTATTTTTGAAATATATGTGAGTTGTTTTTGTGAAAACATCTCTTAGGATACCATCTCTGAATGCTAAGTCTTAACTCTTTAAGTTCTAAAGTTCCTAATCTGATCAAGACAATCTAACTACTAACTGTAACCTTCTTACCAACATATGCAGTATACCCTTCTTCTAACCTACCAAAGGGTGTATATATAGGAAATGCATTACAAAACATTACATGCACTGCAGTACAATCATATATGGAGTGATGATATAACAATAGGTCGTTCCTAAAAAACGTAAAAAAGTTATACAATTTCCCTTCTACTAGTTTCTGCTTTCTTTTTTTGAATAAATACCCCAAGTTTAGTAATGTACTGTAAGTTTCAGTGCTTACTAAATCCCATGGCTGTATAACTAGATAATTTAAATAGTTTTCGCTTTGAATAAGAAATAAGAAGGCATTCTAGCAACACTTTGTATTCGACTTTGTAGATATGCTAAGTTATGCCAAGATATTAGAGAGTAACCTAAACAAACGTACCACGGCTAAGGCTAGTGCTTATCTAGCTGCGGAGGAGTCGATACCGAAACTATTTTGTGCTCTGTTCGAATGGAAATTTGTTTATTACATTCTCGGAATCGCGAAACATTTTCATATTAGAAGGATTACCAAGCTCATTGGACTTTCAACGTCGACTTCTTCTTGCCGGGCAGTATGTAAGCATGGAGATAGAAGTTGGCAAACATCACAGTGAAAGCTGCAGCAATCGCCATGCCAAAGTAGATCACAGGTCGTGAGGCATTGCAGTTGGGTTGCATCAACGTATAACTGAAGTTTGACAGGACCAGAATGAACTGGACCAGCTGGATAATGGTAATGCACTTCTTCCACCCACTTGTCTGAACAGCCTTGCTGACGGAGGATAAATAGTAATAGGAGTACATGGCCACATGCACCCCCACATTCAGGAGACAAAGTGGGAACAGAGTGCCACCATAGCCGCTGTAGGTAATGTGTATATATCCGCCAAAGGACATAACAATATGATGGAAGATATGCAGGAAGGATATCTGGCGATCCTTCTTTCGCAGCACAAAGAAAACTGTCTCCATGAGATCCATGAATTTGTTGAAGAAATAAGCATAGGAAAGCCAACGCTCCCTGTCCTTGTACTCGTGATCCAGTGGCAGTCTCATGATGCACTTTAGGTCGTAGGCCTTCAGAACGAACAAGAAGTGAATACCCTAAAAATAGAAAATTAGAAAGTTTAAAGCTTTAGTTTTAGTTTAATCCATCCGAGAAGTTTAATCTACTGAAGATTACATAACATTATAACCTTGACTTTACAAAGACTTGAAACTACAGTATAGATTCGTTATAATATCAAATAGTATTTGTAAACTGTACTGACCTATGTCTACTATGAACTACTTACGCCTATGAAAACCACACTGTTGTACAGGATTTGTACAATATTGTAGACCTTGATGACACCTCTAAGATCGTAGGGTTTCCGGTTCTCCATGAACTTTCTTCCCGCCTTCAGTACGAAAAGCAGATACAAAGAGATAATGGTCACCGATGGCCATGGACTGCCAATGAGTGGCAGACGGACAGGATCTTCCGAAATAGTCAAGGTTCCATTAAGAAAATCAGCCATTTTTTTGTTGATGAAAAGTTTCCACGACCCGGTTCCACTCGAGTTAATGTTTTATTGGCAACTAATCAGAGTTCAGTCTTTTATGCTCAACAAAATGAGCTTCGATTGAATTGGAAATTCGAGTGCTTCAGGCAGCATAAAGAAGAGCATCATTAACATAAATTGTTTCTAATTTGACGCTAGTATTTGTTTACACTCGCTACACAGTAGTCAGAGCATATAGGTTTCTTTTTGAATTGGTCTCTTGTGAAAGCTTTATTATGTGTTTTAAGTCTTAAAACTATAGTGATTATTAGGTAATCTTTATTTTCCCGATGAGATATTAACTTTATGTAAGTTTTAAAGCCAAAAAAAAACTAGAAAATTTTATTTTTATACTTTTAATATTCAAACTTAAAAATTGCTTAAAAATATTACCCAAATAAGGCAATAAAATTCTACCAAAAACAAAGATTTGTATGTTTGTTTCTCTATACTTCAGTCTATGTAACAATCTAGACTTAGCCTTTCACAAGTTGCACTTAAGAAAGCCCCACTGCCCTCTCAGAAACTGCATAACATAGCTATAAAATATGGATTCTCACTGCTGTAATTGTTTTATACGCATGTACGTAGTTCACGCCTGTAAAAATTCCAATTAAACAACTTTCGACATGCCGAACAATGGAATAAATCTTTATAGCGGATATCTGGCAGTCGGAATATTCGATCCATTCGTTCTCGCCGGTTTTCCTTTTCCTATAGTGTTTTATTTTTGTTTTCTCTTTTTCTCTCTTTTTTGCTTTTGCACATGCCATGCAACCAAAAGCCATTTGTCGATGTGAAATTGCAAGAAATTTAACTTATAAGCCAAGTCATTTTCCAGTAACTAACTATCCGTGGGCCAAGGAATTACTTCTTATTAAGGGCTGTGGCGAACGGTGAAAGTAATGAGGGTGCTGTCCCTTAAGTGTCTATATAGGATGGGTTATGTATGTATGTGTAGGTGTTGTGAGGAAACGATGGTTGGTAAGAGGTAAAGTGTCGGCTATTGCAAATTGAGTCATTTTTCATTCGACGCTGGATTACATCGGAAAGTAAGGCGAGGGCGAATGCAGCGAGGCCTCAATGTGTCACAATTTCATGGCCATAATTGGGTCACAGAATTTATCCTTTGTGTGCGAGGCTTGACCGCTGACTAAGAAGGATTATATCGTTTTTTTTTTCACACAATCCACTCTTTTCCTTTTCCATTGGTTTATGCCGGGGACAGGTGCATTAACATTATACTGCGAAAGGCTGAAGACATAAAACCAAACATTTATAATTCAAAACGTTCAACCTTTTCGGTTGGGGCTTTGGCACGCCTGCCAAATTTTGTTAGTCAAATTACGTGGATACTCGTATATAAAAATTGCGTCTCATTATATGGTAAAGTTAATATTTCATGGGCAATTTACCGAGATTGAAACCGACACACTTCAAAAACACACACACACGCATTCCCCTGTTGAAAATTACGGTTGCCGATTCGCATTGCCACAGGACCTTCTGTTTGCCCCATCTTCATACAATTTTAAACTCAATTAAAAGTTCTGCGCATTAGACATACTTGTGCCAAAAGAGCGAGACATGACACTCCCCCTCACCCTACTACTATAAAATGTGATTAAGGGGCCAAAAGTACACTCGTATATTAGTTGTCATTAAAAATGCGAGCGATATCCATCTAAATGACTTGCCATATGCTGCATGTCAAGGGGAAAATAGAGCCTGACTGCAGTTCTGCACTCGCCAAGCGGACAGGTGGATTCAATTGGAGTCAACAGCCCATTGACACACATTGATACGCTCCTTGGCTGCACAACCTCATCCGAGAACATACATCTCTGGCCTGGAAATGTGGGCTAAGGAGGTGGATTTCTCAGAGATTTCCGCACTTATTTATCTTCAAAAAGGGTTGTAATTAAGAAAAAGAGAGTAATTAATAAGGAAAGCCAAGCTAAAGAAATTTTAATGACCTCAAGTTTGGTTTTATTAGAAAATTAATAAAAATAAACATTTTTTCTCTTTTTTAGAAATTGGAAAAAGCTTATCGATTTATGTTTTTAGAAATACTAATAAAAGTCATATTTTTCCAAGAGCTGAAATCTGTTTCTGAAATAATTCCAATAATTATTTATTGTATAATAAAAAACGATTTTTCACAAGAATCATAATTTAATTTATCCATTTTTCGCTGTCCTTCACAGCTGACCGCAGGAAAATCCATTTACTCCGTTTTCCTGGCGGACTGGCGGCGTGGCCTGAATGGGAAATGCGAAATGTGAATGTTCGCGGCCATCTGAATAATGAAAGCAAATCGGAAAGAGGCAAAACAGCAAAAAGTTAAATGCCTCTAATGACAGAAAATGAAGCAAATGACGAAAAATTGCGGAAAACAAAAGAGACAAATAATAACATGGCCAAAATGGCCGCCTTGGTCGAAAGAGAGCAACATGCCAACTACCCACCCACTGGAGTCCACTCTAGAGTCCACCGCCCACTTGAGGCCACCGCACATCCTCAAGCAGGGAGCAAGGCGGACGAGGAACGGAGCACAGAGAGCACGCACCAGCGAAGATAGGAAGGTAACCGTGGGGGCCAAGTGAATTACCAACAACGGGCGAATCAAGAAAAGCATGTGCGCGGCATAATTACGAAGCAATTAGACGAAATTATTATTGAGGTCAGCGGCGAGGGGGTCGTCCGGAGGGAAGTTCAGGGCAGCAGGCCCCCCAGAACATATGGCCATAGTCGCCATAGCACCACCCCTAAGTCTACCATCTATTTGTGATAGGGGGTGTCAAGGCCAAAAGCGATGCGTATGCCATTATCATTCACGCCGGGAAAAGGCAAGGAATGGAAAGGAAGAAGGCCCAGGCGTAATGCCCCCTAAATGGGCAGCACAAAGCGCACACCAAAACAATACTCAGAGCAACTGGCTCAGGCGGCGAAAACCGGAAAATTTAAGGAAAACTATGAGTGGGGAAACACCGAAAGCAAAATGGTCTTCTGCCATTTTGTTATTATTTTTTATTGTCAATAAAAAAGAACATAATAAATTAAAGAAAAATTTGTATGCATTAAAAATGTACGTGGTTCTTAACGCAAATAAAAGAAAAGGAAAATCAAGCAATATACTATATTTTATATGAACCAAATTTCAGAACACTCCTTATGGAACGCTTAAACATGATTTTTCATTCGAAAATAAACTTTTATTCTCAGTGCAAATTCTCTTAGTGACCCATACCGGAGCGTCCTAAAAATTCATCATTAAGTTTGCTCAGCTGCCACTGGGCAATGACTGTGTAAACCTGCTAGACAGGAAGTGGCACAAAAAGTTTTATTTATGGCACGTGAATATGCATTTGGATCAAAAGTTTAGTTACAAGAAAACATCGAAGCTCGGTCGATACGATCGCGTGTGCGAAGTTCAATGTTGGGCATTCGCAATGCAATGAAGCAGTCAAAACATGGTGCAAAATGACAATGACAAACAGGTGAACAGCGAAACTTATCCCCAAAGGGGCGGGGCTCGGCCTTTATTGTCGATTGGGAGCAACAAAAGGCCTTGTTTGCATGCTGACGGTTGGCAGGCGTCCTCAAACAACTCAGTTTGCTGCACTTTTTGAAGTCCGTAGGTCACTGTCAAACGAAAATATTTTACTCTTATATTTGACAGGAAATCAATTTTAAATAAAAGGTTATAACAAGGCTTAAGCTTTATTGTTTCTTCTTTATAACTTAGATTTTTCAAAGATTTGATGGCAAATTGACATATATATATACATAATGTAAATCCCATAAAATGAAATTTTTAAATTAACGCGCGCATAAATAATCGATAAAACTTATCGCAGAGAAAAATACCAAACTTAGGTACAAAAGTGTGGGTATAATTCCATAAGTCCAGTTGGTTTATTCATTCGGTCGATCGGCGGTCACACTGAACGCTAAAATTAAAATTCGGATTATAGGTGGTTTCGCTGCTGAATTTTCGGAAGAATAGTGTTCAATTGTGTAAAGTGCAATAGCTATAGAATAGAACTACCATATGCTAATACGGAAAAAGTGATATTTGACTGGAAAAATAGGAAAAAGAAAGCAGTGTGTGCTGCGAAGACGAATTGAAGGAGAGACAGAGTAACAATGAGCAAGCGAGACGGCAACTGGCCAGTGTGTGCGCTATAGCCGAGCTCCTCTAACCAAATAAAACAAAACAAAGGAGAGACAAAGGATAGAAACCCCGAAAAAGGCACACACACACACACATAAGCACACACTAGCAATAAGAAGAACAGGCAGCAGACAGATGAATTAAAACAAATGGAGTTTAATTAATTCGTAATCAAAGGGTCCAAGGATATAACAATCCAATCCAATCGGATACCATATCCATAGCTTTCAGCGAAATAGTGAATAGTGAAGGGAACTCAAGAGAAAAGACGTCGCCAAATTGTGCATGTGCATGTGACAGTGTGAGTGTGTGTATGCCAGTGTAAGTGCGTGTGCATATGGGGTTGGAAAACTGTGAAAACTCAAAAAACGCAAAAGTCTTTGGCTCTGATTAACTCGCGGAAAACTCATCGCTAGGCAGGTGAAGAGAAGATGCCGAGCGCTTCGTTCACCTCGTCGCGCACTTACGTGCGACGCTCTCGCCGGAAAGGAGCCAACCGGATAGCAATGCCCAACCGGCCGACAGGCAACATTATGGATCCCATGCTCCAGCAGAATGTGGCCGCTGCCGGAACGGGAGCAAGTCCATCCGGTTCCAATAGTAGCGGCGCTGGTGGTAGCGGTGCTAACAACAGCAGCAGCGGCGGGAGCAGTAGCGCCACATCCACTTCTGGAGCAGCCGCAGCAGCAGCCGCCGCCGGAGCAACTGCAGCTGGAGCCTCCAATTCAGCGGAGTACTTTGACAGCGGCCAAGGAGCCAGCGGATCCAGTGGAGCAGCCTCTTCGGGCTTCTCTGGCAGCTTTTACAATGCCCTGCAAATGATGGACACCACTGAGAGTTCGGGCGCTGGTCCAAGCCAACCAACGCCACCGGCTTTAGGAGCCTCCTCTTCCACTTCCACAAAGTCCACCTGCGCCACAGCCGGATCAAGTACGGCAAGCACATCAGCCGCGGCGGCAGCTGCAGCCACCGCTTCTGCTGGTAGTCATCAGAGCCCGTATGACTTGCGCCGCAAGATCTCCGCCAGTAGCCACGAGCAGTGGCCGACCAGCTCCTCTTCCGCCGTAGCAGCAGCTGCCGCCATACTCGTAGGACCCTCGAGCAGCTCCCCGCCGCTGGTTAATCCAGGCGCCTCGCCATCTAGCTCCTCGTCGTCGTCCTCCTCTAGCTCCTCTTCTTCCTCCGCCTCATCCTCGAGCTCGTCGTCCAATGTACAGGCACCCTCTACCAGTGCCACCTTCCCAGTGAACAATGCACCCACTACGGGAGCCACGTTGGCGCAGCCACCCAATGTCCACAGCTCTGTGCCGCAACAGCATTGTGGGGCACTGCCCGTAGGAGCGGCTATCGAGGACAATAACTACATGCTTCCGGCGAGAAAAAGATCGCGACGACTCTACACCCAAGGTGGAGAGATGGGTCCAAGTGCGGGAGCCTCAGGGGAATCAGCCGGAGCAGGAACATCAGCATCTAGTGGAGCAGGTTGTGCACCCACGGCAGCCCAATACCTTCAGTACGAACTGCCCGACGAGGTGCTACTGGCTATCTTCTCGTATCTGATGGAACAAGACCTCTGCCGCCTGGCGCTTGTATGTAAGCGTTTTAACACCATTGCCAACGACACGGAACTGTGGAAGCGTCTCTACCAGTCGGTCTTTGAGTACGACCTGCCGCTATTCAACCCGGAACTCTGCAAGTTCGTGTTCGAAAAGCCTGAGGAGTCGGAGTACGCCAATCCGTGGAAGGAGAGTTTCCACCAGTTATACCGTGGAGTCCATGTGCGCCCTGGTTACCAGGAGCGTCGCAGTTCCGGTCGCAGCATTGTGTTCTTCAACACCATTCAGGCGGCTCTGGATTACCCCGAAGAGCGTGCCGCTGCGGGAGTCTTTGTGCCCGCTGGCGCAGGAGGTGGCAATGTGGTTTCCGCCGGGTTGTCCAACACAAGTGCGTCGGCTGGTGCCGGAGGTGCAGGTGGTGCCAGCGTCAATGCGCTGGTCAACATCTATGAGGAGCAGGTGGCACCCACTGAACACCCAGGACCATTGATTTTCCTGCATGCCGGCCACTACAAGGGCGAATATCTGTTCATCGACTCAGACGTGGCCCTTGTTGGAGCCGCGCCTGGGAATGTGGCCGAATCTGTGATCCTGGAGCGAGAGGCCGGATCTACGGTAATGTTCGTAGAGGGTGCCAAGTACGCTTACGTAGGCTACCTCACCCTCAAGTTTTCGCCGGAAGTCACTTCTACAGTATCGCATCATAAGCACTACTGTCTGGACATTGGCGAGAACTGTTCCCCCACCGTGGACAACTGCATCATTCGCTCTACCTCGGTTGTGGGCGCTGCCGTCTGTGTGGGCGGTGTTAATGCCAATCCCGTCATCCGTAACTGCGATATCAGCGATTGCGAGAATGTGGGTCTCTACGTCACCGACTACGCCCAGGGAACCTACGAGCACAACGAGATTAGCCGGAACGCCCTAGCAGGCATTTGGGTCAAGAACTTTGCCAGTCCTATTATGCGGGAGAACCACATACACCATGGCCGGGATGTGGGCATCTTTACATTCGAAAATGGAATGGTAAGTTTAAGCTACATGTTTTGTTTTAACTTATTGTGACTGATAACTGAAAGATAACTGTTATTCAAAAAGAATTTTTCTGCTTTCAATATATTAACAATTCTATTTATTGTAATCCGATTTAAAGGGCTACTTTGAGAAGAATGATATTCACAACAACCGCATAGCTGGCTTCGAAGTTAAGGCCGGAGCAAATCCTACCGTAGTCAAGTGTGAGATCCATCATGGCCAGACGGGTGGCATTTATGTGCATGAGAATGGACTCGGTCAGTTCATAGAGAACCGCATTCATTCGAATAACTTTGCAGGTAAGCCTAATCCCATTCTAATTGAGTAATGGTAACTAACCCAATCTTCGTATTGAAAGGTGTTTGGATAACGTCCAACAGCAATCCTACAATCCGCAAGAACGAAATCTACAACGGACATCAAGGGGGAGTGTACATCTTTGGCGAGGGACGCGGTCTTATTGAGCACAACAACATATACGGCAATGCGCTGGCCGGTATTCAGATTCGCACCAATAGTGATCCCATAGTGCGGCATAATAAGATCCATCATGGCCAGCACGGTGGCATCTATGTGCACGAGAAGGGGCAAGGACTAATCGAGGAAAACGAGGTATACTCCAACACATTGGCTGGTGTGTGGATTACCACTGGAAGCACTCCAGTTTTGAGACGCAACCGGATCCACTCGGGCAAACAGGTTGGAGTCTACTTCTACGACAACGGACATGGCAAATTGGAAGACAACGACATATTCAACCACTTGTACTCCGGGGTGCAGATCCGTACGGGCAGTAATCCTGTGATCCGAGGGAACAAGATCTGGGGTGGACAGAATGGTGGAGTACTTGTGTATAATGGCGGTCTGGGGTTGCTAGAGCAGAACGAAATCTTCGACAATGCCATGGCCGGCGTTTGGATTAAAACCGACTCCAACCCAACGCTAAAGCGCAACAAGATTTATGACGGCCGCGATGGTGGTATCTGCATCTTCAACGGCGGCAAAGGTATCCTCGAGGAAAACGACATTTTTCGCAACACGCAGGCCGGAGTACTGATCTCGACGCAGTCTCATCCGATCCTGCGACGAAATCGCATCTACGATGGCCAAGCAGCCGGCGTAGAGATAACCAATAATGCGACGGCGACGCTAGAGCATAATCAGATATTCAAGAATAAGTTCGGCGGGCTGTGCCTTGCCAGTGGAGTTCAGCCTATTACCCGGGGCAATAACATATTTAACAACGAGGACGAGGTGGAGAAGGCCGTATCCAGCGGGCAGTGCCTGTACAAAATTAGCAGCTACACCTCATTTCCCATGCACGACTTCTACCGCTGCCAGACCTGCAATACAACCGACCGCAACGCCATCTGCGTCAATTGCATCAAGAATTGTCATGCTGGTCATGACGTAGAGTTTATACGACACGATCGGTGAGTATTAGGTCCTTAAAACTTACCAGAAATATTGCTTAATAAAGCTAAATTATAAATAAATATATTTTTAAACTGATTTGTTTATTTAACAGCTTCTTCTGCGACTGCGGTGCTGGCACCCTGTCCAACCAGTGTCAACTGCAAGGAGAACCCACTCAAGACACAGATACGCTCTACGACTCGGCGGCGCCTATGGAATCACATACGCTGATGGTGAACTAGAGAACTAACTTCGGCAGCTCTACCACGGTCCCTATCCTTAACTATATCTTAAGTTGTTAAGGCCAAGCTCTCAAATCTCTCGCACATCTCACGTGTTGCTGTAAATATTCGAAAGAAACCAACAAAAACACACTAAAATACAATTAATTGTATGTAAATAATAACAAATTGATCTTGCGTTCAAAATTTAACTCAATGTGCAATTTAGTTTAACACGAACTCACACGCAAAGTTTTCACTTTTTAACTGAGCATGGAACGGATAAATCAATGCAAAAGAACACTGAAATTTAACCCATTTATGTCACAACGAATGATAAACTGTAAGGAGCAAAACCTTTATAATACACAATGCATTTGTTCGTACGTCGAAATGTTGTAAACGAAGGAGGAGCAAAACGAGTCCTCTCGAACCCAGTGAAGAACAATTTTGTAATGTAGATTAGTAGAGATTTTAAATTTACATCAATTAATATAAACTACGTGTAAGCCATAGACATTAATAAGAGATATAAGCAGGCGAGCGTTTCGGCCCCTGGTCTAACAACAATTCGAAGAAAGCAATTCTAAGTATTAACAACAAACTAGATTAGCGGCAGCCAATGCTTCAGCAAACTAACCTATGAATATACGAGTATAGTAAACACATAACATAAACTACATTTAAACAAAATACAGCACACTATATAAATATATTCATGCGAATCTATGCGAATTCTACTGAAACAGCACACGGACAAGATACAAAAATCAAAAGCCTTTACCAAGCGTAAAATACCAAGCAATATTTCATGTCTAAATGTTGTAGAACAAATTTGTAGCTCAAACTTAAAACAGAAATAGAAACAAACAAAAGCCATGTGTCATTTTAGTTATGTAAGTTGATGAACAGTTTAGTATTTAGTTTGTCTACGGTCCCCGAGTATTCGAATTATGCAAATCATTTTTATTTTAAGTCTGTAGCCTAGGTCTAAGTGAACGCAAAAACCCATAACTATTGCATCGATGATGACATTATCTAATAATTGCGTGTGAATTAAGTATTTTGTTTTTATTGCCTAACATTTTATTTATAATTGTTTGCCCGTGTTTTTTTCCCCCATCGGTTCAGTTATGTAGTCCTCTACTCCCTGTACGGATCAAATAACCGCATAAATACTGCATACTATATTCTATATTCAACTATATGAAATATACGAACATTGGAGCGTATTGTTTTACTAACTAAAGTTTTAGCACGTCTTCAACGTGCGACTATACTATGTAGAGATTGATTTTAATGTGTTACCTATGCAAGCTAATAACGTCGTCGCCCTTGACTTGGACAAACCACTAATTATACATACTTATATATACACAAGGTATAAGCTAATAATATTTGAAATTTGACAAAAATGTGGTTAAGCATACTTTAATTTGGAAATTCGGAATTGGGGTTAAGTTTTAGTTTCTATTTGATGCAGGTGCAGGGATCTTGGTTAACCAACTCGTTCTCTCGGAATCGCAGCAGTGTCAGAATATGGGCATGGTTTGCTGCCTTGGCATAATCGATGGGTGCCATGCCCAGTTCATCCTTTATGTATGGATTATCGTAATGCGGTAGGAGATATTCAACCACCTCATGGTTGCCCAACTGGCAGGCGTAGTGCAGAGCCGTTCGTCCCGTCCGATCTGCTAGCGTGAGATTTGCGCCAGCCACCCGAAAGGATTCCAATCGCTTGATCTTACCCCGCTCCGTCAGGGCGCGGAGTAGCTCAGCTTGGACCAGTGGTTGATCATTTAGCTTGGCACCGTTCCTGAGCAGCGCCTGGATGATATCATGGTTGTCCGTGTCGATGGCTTCGTGCAATGGCGTACGGTTAAATCGATCATGGACATTAAGCGGACAACCCGCGGTAATCAGAAAGCAGACAACATTTGCCTTGCCCAAGAAGCAGGCTAAATGCAGGGCGGAGCGTCCATCGCAGTTGGTATCGCACAGATTGGCGCCGTACTGCTTGAGATCGCCCAACTTCTGGACATCACCTTCGGTGACTGCGGCAGCTACCAAAGCGGGGTAAAATGTAGAGCACATCTGCTTTCTTTCCAGCGCCGTGGACATGTGCAAGGTTCGGGCCACGCCCTCGATCAGGTCAATATCGTTGATCTTTGCCACCTTATTGGTGGTCATTTCACCGCGAAGACTCAGCAGCATTACTTTCTTCTTATTAATAACATCCAACTCAGGTTTAGACAGCACATAAGCCAACTTAGTGAAGGCAGCCTCTTGAGTCATGTCGTGGCCGGGGATTACGCCTACATCGAGCAGCTGTTGGGACGTCTCGTATGTGTTGGTCACCATGCCCGATGAGCACTGTGTAATGTTTACAATAATTACGTTTCTGGCGATCGCCGCCCTTAGTTCGTCTAGTAATTCCTCACGATTCACCGGAAAGTTGCCAGATCCAAAAGTTTGCAGAACTACGCCTTTTATGGGCTCCTTTAAAAAGGCCTGTACTATATTAAGACTTATTCCCGGGTAAATTCGCAGCAGAGCCACATTTTTATCGAGTACGGAATGAAGGGAAAATGGTTTAGTATTGCATGGTCGAAAGATTTGGCGACTGTTTATCTCAATGTTCACACCAGCCCGGCCTAGTGGAACCATATTTGGAGAATCCAGTGCGTGAAAGGAGTCCGAGTGAAGCTTTGTAGAACGGCAGCCACGGAGGATCTTGTTTCCGAAGAAGACGAGCACCTCAGGTATGTTGTAATTTCCTGCGATCAGAAGTGAGCTTAATAAATTCTCCCGACCATCACTTCGGGCCTCGAATATCGATATTTGAGCCCCAGTGAGTACTACGGGCTTGCTCAAATTCTCAAGCATAAAGGCCAGCGCCGAAGCGGAGTAAGCCAAGGTATCAGTTCCATGGAGGATCACAAAGCCATCATAGGTCTTATAGGTTTTCTGGAAACGGAAAAAAAACAAATTAAGCTCTAGAATGGATTCACGTCTATCCAAACTTACTCCCACTTCGTTGGCCATTCGTTGCCATTCGCAGATACCCATGCAAGAGGAATCCAACAACGGACAAAACTCAACGATATCGTAGAGGACTCGATACGGAGCACCGGCCACAGCTGGCAGTACCATTAGACTTTCATCATCTGTCTTGCGGATATAATTCCTATCATGGCAGCTCGGAAAATCGCAGATGCGCTTGGCCAATACATTATGCTCAGGACGCAGTACTAAAGGAAAGCAAGAAATTAATACACAAATAAGATATACTGATTCACCCACCTCCAGACTCGTCACGGATCATTCCAATAGTTCCGCCAACGTATATAACATGAACGCGGGCCTCCTTTTTAAGGCAAGTGCACTTCTCCGCTGGCATTTTACCCTATTTTTAAATTTTGTAGATTTTCCAAAAATTTATTTAAGGCTTACTCCCTAAGGCTCAGGGGAGGCACAAAGCTCCATGAGCTCTACGGTGAGTTTTTTACCAAGCAACAAGTTTTGAATAATTTTAAAAATTGCCGCCTGATGAAATAAACCGTTGCTACAGAACATATTGGTGTGACCGTAGAGACGGGGGTTTTCAATAAAATTAAATAATACGAGGAGATTTTTAATGGTAGCTACAAAAATTTAATGTGGTAAATTTTTTAATCGGCACAAACAAAAAAGTTTTATAAACAAATTTTAAGATTAAGTTAAAAATAATTGTATTTAACACAAATGAATAAATATACCCCCCCCAAACTGTGTATGTTCGTGATAATGAGCAGTCACGAGCAATTCGTCCATCCCTAGTTTCCACTGTGCAACAAATAATAAATAAATAAATACCCAGCACAAAGCATTAAACGAATAAATTGCACCCCGCAGCGCGTCCAGTGGGTTGGGGATCGAAATCGCGACTTATCTACTCCGTTAGTGCGGCTGTCACTGCGTCCGCCGTATCAGTCGCTGACTGGAGCGCTGGGAGCACGGAAGCCACACAAATAGAGGCGCATTAAGAGCACTCCCAATCCGTCCGCTGCTGCGGCAGCCCGCGGGTCATCGGATTGCCATGTCCTACTTCACGCATGCTACCAGCAGTGATCTGGTCAACCTTAATGTGGGTGGTCAGCGGTAAGAACAAAGAATCACAACTAGCCACTAACGGCATTGATGACGCACGCAATCTCCATCTCCCCTTCTGTAGCTTTTCCACGTCGCGGCAAACGCTTACGTGGATCCCGGACACCTTTTTTACGGCTCTTCTCAGCGGACGCATCTCGAGTCTGAGAGACGAGCACAATGCTATCTTCATTGACCGCGATCCTACACTCTTTTCGATCATCCTCAACTACCTGAGGACCAAGGACATCGACATAAAGAACTGCGAAATCCGCGCCCTGCGTCACGAGGCCGAGTATTATGGCATTACGCCGTTGACCAAGCGGTTGGCCCTTTGCGAGGACCTAAACCACTCTTCTTGCGGAGATGTCCTCTTTTACGGTTTTCTAGCGGCTCCGCCCATGCCCACAAATGAAGCCGTACCAGCCGCTGTAGTAGACGAGCCTTTGGCCTCTACCTCGGCAAATGCAGGGAGTGCTCGTCCTGGATCCATGGTGCGGGTTCCTGAGCCATCGCGTTCCTCACACTCACGAAACTCCTCATGGGATCTGCGCTTGGGTCGCACGGGGAGCAGTGGCAACGGCTCCAATCCGCCAGCTCCCATGCTACATTCGCGGAATCCCTCAATGGACTTTATGCGGCACTCGCGCAACTCTTCGGCGGATCTGAACAAGGTCTTTCGGAACGAAGTGGGCCTGGTGTTCAGTCCCACGCAAAACTCGAACTGGGTGGACCCGATGCGAGTCCAAATCATAAAGGCACACCAGAATTGGATTGCAGTGGCTTACGCTCACTTTGTGACCTGCTACCGCGTAAAAGACTCCAACGGATGGCAGCAGGTGTTCACATCTCCTCACATTGACTCCACCATAGAAAGGATCGCCATCAACTCGAAAGTAATTACTTCAGCGGCAGAGCCTGTGCCCAGCAAGATGGTGGCCATTTCTTATGGCAGTCAGATTAGGTTGTGGAGCATTCAGGAGGGCGGCCACAAAACGGACGTGGGTACTTTTAACCTAAATGTGCGCGTGGAGTACCTATTCTTCATTGGCAGCCAAATGGTGGCCCTGTCTTCGTCCGGAAAAATCGGTGTGTGGCACGCTATGACCCAGCACTGGCAGATCCAGGACCTGGTGCCCGTTCTCTCTTTCGACTCAGCCGGTTCATTTTTGCTGCTGGGCTGCAACAATGGTTCCATTTATTACATTGACATGCAGAAGTTCCCATTGCGTATGAAGGACAACGACTTGCTGGTTACCGAGCTCTATAAAGATGCCACACTGGACCCTATAACGGCCATCTCGGTATATCTTACTCCAAAGACCTCGAGCATCAGTGGAAATTGGATAGAGATTGCTTACGGTACTAAGTCGGGGGCCGTACGAATCATCGTCCAACACCCGGAGACAGCTGGTCATGGGCCACATCTCTTTGAGACATTCTTTGTACACCAGAGTCCCGTAACCAAGGTGATGCTGTCGGAGATGTACCTCGTGTCTGTGTGCAGCGAGTATCACCACGTTCGAACCTGGAGTCTTACCCGCTTCCGGGGAATGCTCTCCACACAGCCGGGATCCACGCCTGAAGCCTCATTCAAGATCGTCTCTTTGGAGGCCACCGACACCAGTTACAGCTATGCAGCTGGAAATGATTTCGGACCGTACGGCGACTATGACGACATGATATTCGTCCAAAAGGTAGTGCCAGAGACTGATCAGCTATACGTGCGTTTGGCTTCCAACGGGAATCGAGTATGCGTTATTCGATCCGTAGACAGCTCCACTATTTCGGCTTTCTGTGTCCACGAGTGCGAAGTATCGTCGCGCATGGGATCCCGGTTCATACTCACCGGTCACTGCAACGGCGCCATCCAGATGTGGGACCTAACCACCGCGCTGCTTTCCAAGGATGAGCCCCAGCAGAAAACCAATGGCGGACCCGACACCAACGAGCTTCTCCGCCTACTTGACCAGTGTGAAATCAGCAATTCATCATGCACAACACCTTGTATGTCACCGTGTCTATCAGCTATGGGCAACGGCTCTGGAATGGCCACCTCCATAGCCCGTATGAAAGCCAGCAACATAGCTCTGCTTAATCGGGAACCTTCAATGGCTGCTCAAATGCAGCCACCTGCTCAGGTCCAACCTGCTCTTCCGGCGGCAATGGCGCCCGCTGCTATCCCGATGGCTGACGACAACAACGAATGAGACGTGGAAGTGGCTGCTTGGTCGGCGCTTGTCGGGCGCGTTTCATTGTTCACATTTCACAGGTGTAGCTTGATATTCGACTACCAGTTTATATTCCTGCAGTTCATTGTGTGCGCCCTCATCTACGTCTGGGTGATGCGACTCACCCGCGGTTCAACAACTGGGCCGTAATGAACTGCCAGCAGGCATTTACCCAATCAGATAATCTCTATTATATGTGCTCGATGGTTGCAAGTGCAATGTGTATACCCGTTAATCCCCTTTTTTGTGCCCCGAACTTGGATCGTACAGTTAGTAATTTTTAAAATGTCTTTGTTCTAGTTAAAGTTATGAAAATTAGTTAAAACAATGTAAACCAGAGTATAAGACTTCTGCAACCGATCTATTATTAGCACAACTCTTAAAGGGTGCTCAATCAGGACAGATTCGGAACATTATCAAATGTAGATCAGCAGTGGATAAGATTGGCTGGCCAAAAACAAAGAAAGTTCATTGAACAGCAAAATAGTTATTTGTTTTCACCTTGTCAACCTTGAAAATTATTATTTGTGATTAAAACCGATCGAGCAATTTTTGTTAATTCGGTACGCATGACCTATACAACATGGAATCTGTCCTGATAAGACCCCCTAACATCAATTGATCCGCCTTGTTGCAACCCGTAAACAGCTATACATATGCAATATAAATAAACATAATTATATACATACAGATATCAAAATATTCAACATGTTGTGTCATCAATAATTTATTGAACTTTTTATCTTAGTTTCTTGATGGTTGAATACTTGGAAGTGTTCCATTAACATTTATCAAATACAAATACTTGGCTTGCCTTCTCGTGGGTATTGGTATGTGTAAATATGTGTGTATATCCTACGCCTATACCGGACCTCAGTAAAGTAAAAAAGCAGCAAAAACGCCAAAACATATAAAAATATATATAATATACATATATGTATAGTAGGTAAGTTCTCCTGCCCGCCATTTAAATATCATTGGCCTAAACACAACCCACTACCAGGGTCGACCGGTCGGTGTGCTTATCAATTTAAACAAGTGGCGCGTCAAGTGAGACCCCTGCATTCAATTTACCTAAAATAAGACGCACTGGTACTGAGATAGAATAATAATAATGGAGTAGATACTTGGAGCGATTACCCACTCTCGCCCGGAAGCAATTGTCGAGCCGGTCATACAAATAGTTTGTACACAAAGTTAACCTAAAGCTACGCTATATTCTAAAGGGCAAACCGATATGAAGCTGTGCCATAATGGGATGGGATTACTGTTGTTCCAATCTGCCGATGGGTCAGTGAACCACTGTAATGCAATCTAGACTGTCGCTTGGCGAGCGCCGTTCTTAACTACGATGTAAGCGTGAATGTATGGGGGTCTGTGCATCGAATGGATGATATGTGCGTGAAAAATTGCTTAGCAAAAACTGATAATGGGGAGATCCAGCTCACTGGCCACAGACCGCTGGTCACTGGCTACACGTGGAAGTAGTCATCTACTAACAACTGCTCGCTTGGCGTGGAGGCTGCCCCACTCAACGGGCTGCTCGCTTGCGTGTCCGACTCTTGATCCGCCTGCAACAGCTCGTAACCAGGCTCCAATCCACTGCTCGTCGTCGTCGTTGTGGTGGTCGCTGTGGTAGCCGCAGTGGTCAAATAGCATACAGACTCGTAGTTGGGATCCGTTTCACTGCCCGTTCCTGTCAGCGATTCATATTGCGAGGACAACGGCGTGCTAGTGGCTACCGTTGATGAGTTGAGTGATACAGAATTGGATGTGGAGCTGGGCGATGTGAGGGTCAGACGACTGCTGCCGCTACCCGGTGTTCCGGCCACTGCATTTTCCGCTATCCGCGCATAGTGATCTGTTTCTGCAGCGGCCTTTGTCTCCAGGATGCTGGCATAATTATGGTTTGCATCCGCCCCTGGAATGGTACTATACCCGGAGACGTCAGCGGTGGCTGGCGGGCGCTTTTTCTCCAGCACCTTAGCATAACCGTCGTCCGAATGGGCACGACTTTTGAGCACCTCGTAGTTGGGATCGTAGTCCGACTTTTTGGCCTCATCCTCGCCTACTCGAACAGGTTGCAGTTGCAGTTGCTCGTAGCCGGGATCGTTGTTGCTGGACGGAGGCGGCAATGGCGGCTGTGGCTGGTTTAGAATAGTCTCGTAATGCTTTGTGCTGCTGATCGCAATTGCTGTTGCTATCGTAATGGGCTGGGCAATCGCTGAAATCGTTATAAATAAAACTTTTTTAGTAAACAGATTGAAACAGAGTAATTAAGTGGACTGATGAGAAAAGTTCATGGATTTATTGCAGACGATACTAACCACGGCTACTTCCAAACAAAAACTCACGAAATTTTTTCTGTTTGAGTTGAACAAACACCGAAATTTCTCATTTTGGCATAGCAACTTAGTTTGGGAAGGCATTTTAGAGGAGAGACAAGGAGAGACAGATAGATAGACAGGCAGATTAAGCGTTAGGCAGGGATTAACGACAAAGCAGGGTAAAACCTTTGATCTGATCAGAGGAATCAATTCATTTTACCCTTAGCGCTGGGGTCAGTTAAAAAGGGAATAGGAGGAAAAAGTTGGTACATACCTCCTCCTTCTTGCTGTCGTTCTTTTTGCAACATATTGGCTGCATAGCAATCCGACTTTCGGTTTTCGTGCATCACCTGACCATCGGCAGGAATAGTTTCGTACCCATGATCTTTCGCAGAATAGCTATTGCTCCGCCCACGTCCTTTCTGAGAATCCATTAGCAAGGCCGCAGCATTGTCCAGCGGACTGACACCCAAGGCATCCTGGTGCTGCTTTCTGGCCAGGATGGGCGAACTGTTCTGGGAGGAGGGCGAGTTTCGCGAGAATTTGTGCTTTTTCATAACCTACGCGTTTTAAAAATAGGTTAGCTTTACTATTTGATCTAGCGAAGGTTCTTCTTACCTTGGCATACATCCCCTCAATGTTTTTATTGCCTTCGCCTTCCTTAGAAGGGCTGAGACTCTTGCTATGTTTGCGCTGTGGCGACCCCTCACCAGACTCCGCGTCATGACTTTCGGTACCTGCTTCGATTACCGATATAACCGAGTTACGGCCAGAAGTCAGGTTGCTGATGCTACCCGCGTGTAGATGGTGAGGCTGTCCAACACTTGCCTTAGGCGTTGGGGGCAGTGGGGAATTCGCTTGTCGCTTTTCTGGCTTCGGTGAGCCAAGATTGCAGACGGATGTACTATTGTTTGACGAGGATGAAGCTTGACGCGAGTGCATTTGGGCTCGCAAACTATCCACCGGCGGTGGAACAGGCATACCATGATCAGTACCGCTGCTGCTGGTGGGTCTGTGGATTCCGCTACTTGCACCGCCACCAGCCATAACGGAGGACGGACTTGCGTTCGGAAGGCTGCTGCTATTATTGATCTCGACGGCCACCACTATTGGATTGGCCTGCATGGGCTGAATTTGTGCGTAGGTCTCCGATCCGCTTGTGTAAATGTCTCCAATGTTTGCCTGATGGCGATTATTGGGATCCTCAATTGCCGCATATGTTTCATCTAAAAAAAATCAGTAATGTTAGTGTGGGTATTATTATTGATATTTATATTATAAATTTTCAGAATTGTGCCAAAAAATTATCTCTAAAATTTAAGAAAATAAAAATAAAAATGGAACTTCTGAATTTTAATTTTGTTTTAATACAAGCATGCAAAATTATAAAACCAATATATTTATGAGCAATTTTGAAATAACCCTAGGGAGTGGTGTTATTTCTCGCGTGACTCACCAGAATCGTCAGATACGGTGGCGTAGTGCGAGTCGTTCACGTCTCGCGATAACGTTGGGTTCCTGTTCGACGGTTTCCCCGGTGGCTGTTGTGCGAGAATGTTGGCAAGCGGTTCCCTCACACTGATACTTGTGTATCCCTCTGCAGAATAAAGTATTTAGGGATATGACATCATCTCGAATTCCACATACTTACTCGATGAATCCTGCGAGTCACCACTAAAATGCTGGTTGGCGATGGGCGGCGTCATGTAGGGTAGATCTTGGCTGGCCGAAATCATGCCTGCTATCGCAGAGGCGGCCGGAATCTCAGCTTGTGCAGGCGCCGAATCATTGTGCTCTCTGGAGCTCTCACTGTGCTGCGAACTGCGATGCATGGGATCGATCCCGTCACTGGAAGACCCGGCCACAACTGCCGCCGCCGCTGCAGCTGCTGCAGATCCATGGTTGGCGGCATGCGAAGTGGATGGTGCATTCAGCTGAGCATATGGATGCTCTGTTCCCCGCACCTTGGCGTAGTCGTGCGGCAGTCCCTTGACACGCGAGTACGGCGAACTAACATCATCCGCCTGGCTAATAGAACTGTGCTGCGACACGCTGGTCTGTTTCTTCATACTTGGCTGGGCTGTGGTCGTGATCAGAAGCAGGACAACATATACTAGGTGGCCTTTTAGAACTGAGATAAAACTTACGACTTTGACTACGGGCATTGCGGGCATCTACCAGTTGCTTGTCCGCCACAGTTTCATATAGTTCGGACCCATTATCGTTGCTCTCGGCCACGGGAATGTCCGGCAAACTGCGATGGGCTGCAGTGCTCGACCTGGAAATGATTTAGGAATAAGTTACTTAATGCTATATGATGTAAACAGTGAACACTCACCGCTTTTCGGAGTCAGCATTAGAGACCGTTGAGGCATTAAGCTCCGCCTGAGACTCGCTGTTGCCAACCAGATTGCTGACCACAATTACCTCGTCTGGATTCTTTAGCTTGACCATGCCCTCCAAGCCCATCATGTCATTCCTGTGGAGGTAAAGAGTATAGAGAGTGTGTTAAGTGACATGAGTGCATCCAACTGGAACTGGGCGGCGTAGCTGTGGTAAAGACCCACTTTCACTATATCGCTTCCCTGCACCGCCCTGTTCCCGCCAGAGAAAATTTTGAATTGTGTGGAACGGTTTCTTAATCTTCTGTGAAATCTGGAACAGGGACTCACTTGGGGATACGTTTCTTGCAACAGAGACAAGCGCCCAGCATAACGATGAAAGTGAGCGTCAGGCTAAGGGTCGCAAGGAGGTACGTGTACGAATTTGGGGCCTCCAGGCGCAGCTCTGACGTCGTCGCCTCCACCATGCCCATGTCGCTGTGTGTACATATGCACTATGTACCCATTTAGCACTTGCACTGACCGCTGCACATATATATTTCCTACTTTTTGCTTAAAAAAAACTTTTATTTTTTTTTGGCCCAACAAACGAAACAGACAACAACAAGAAAGCGACTAAAGTGCGGTCGTACTAGGTGCGGTCCCACTGGGTGGTGAAAATAACACGTTTAGTTTCAAGTCAAGAATGGTCATACTAAAAATATCACCGGCATTTGACTGTTAACATTTAATCCGTGATATTTTCAAAGCTGGTGAATGAACGATTTTAGTTATCAATCACCTTTGTGAACAATTATTTTGAAGAAAAAAATACAGAGTACTATTTGGACGGGTTACAGAGATGGAAGCATCGCTGGGAGAAGTGTGTAGAGTTGAGACTATGTATTGTAGAAAAATAAATAACAAAATATCGTTTTCATTGCTATGTCGGAAACTTTTCAAACCACCCTGCGTTTTGGGAAAAAGAAGTCTGAAGTAAACTTCATGAGATTTTATTTCATTTAAATGATATTTGGTATCAAAACTATATATGCTAAATAGCACTTGAAGGTTTTTGTGCCTTACACAAACTGTTGCGCTTAATTCTAATTTATTCGCTTGGCATGTTCAGTGATTGCTCCATTTTTTAAAGTTCTGTGTGCTTAAAAATAGTATTTTCAATGTTCTCTTGCAACTTCTCAACCTTCCGAGTTTGCTTTTTCAGCAAGTCCTCCATTTCTTCAAAGCGGTTGCTTTTATCCTTGTGTTTTTCGCCCTAAAAATGCGAATAAAGGTAACTTTTGAACATTAATATAATACTCAAACGAATACCTTGTATTTCTCCTTGTGCAAAGCATGCTCGGCATGTAGATGACGCAGCTTTAACAGACGACTTTCGAAATGATGCAATTCAGTTTTGATGGACTCCAGTTCCTTTTCAGTGAAATTGCTAGCCTGGACTACTCGCCAGAGACCCTGAACTTTTGGCTCGATAAAGTCTTGACTATGTGGACCAGAGGACACCAAACGTTCCAATCTATCATAATGATCTTTAATTCCCGTATGATGACCACGAAGCGTGTTAAGATCGTTTTCGAAACTCTTCACATTTTGCGCATGCGTCTTTATCTCATTTTCATTGACATCATTGGAAATCAGATTGTAGGTGTCCAGATCTTCAGTGTTTATGGCATCTAGTAAGAAAGAAATAACAATCAAATAATTTTTTTTTTTTGAGAAACTCACTTTCATGCTTGTTGGAATCAACAGTGCCTATATTTTCCAACAAACTGTAGTACACATCAACCTTATCCTGGTGATGATCAAATTCCTGCTTCAAGGATTTCAATTCCTCCGCCGTAAAGCCAGAAATCTCTGCCTTTTCCCAAAGCCGGTTCAGTTTCTTGTCTTTGAAAAGGCTTTTGTTTTTGTGGCGATCATCCGCATCATGGAATTTCTGAAAAGTTTCCGGAAAATAAAGAAACTGTTGCTCTTAGAAAAGACTTATTTACATACTTTATAGGGCTTTAACTTCTCTGTGTCCTGTGTGTCCTCAAAGTGCTCCAGCAAATCGTAGCTACTCATAATGCCAATGAGCTTGCGGCGCAGCTCATCGTCCTTCAGGCCATCTTTGTCCTTATGCTGCGAGTTGAGCTGTTTCCAGGCGATCTCCTCCTTGTCGTGGATCTTTAGCTCCATGTACAGCGACTTGAGCTTGGGCTCCGTTAATCGCTGTAACCCGGTGTAATATTAACAAACTGTAGATGTATGTATGCCCAAGACTTCCACTTACGTTTTGAGCCTTAGCCCACACAAGATTAAGTTTAGCCATACGATATGGCCGCTGTATGCTCTTGAAGTCCGGGTCATACTTCTCCTGCTTAACTTGTTGGAAATGCGGGTCGTTGGCCTCTTTGCTGTACTTCTTGCTCTGCTTCTTATCAGCATCAACACCCTGCGATGCTATCAGCAGAAAAAGTGCAATGACTGCAAGTACGACTGCTGACCTAACCATTGTCCTCGTGTCTTTTATCCGGATTTAATGCACATGCAATTTTTATGCAGTGCTGACCTGGCCAAACAGTTATTTTACGACAATGTGACCAGCTTAAAGCAAGGTAAATACGGAAATGTGTGGGCATTTGGCGATCGCCAATGCAGCAGAGCCTAGCTATTAAAAATTGTATATATATGTATAACTAGTAATAATTAAGAAAGAGTACGAAACTTTTTTCCATATTCTCAAGAGTACTTGAAAGATTTCAAAGATGTTCTTAGAAATGTTTATTAACTAATAACAATTAGTAGTAAGATGCTGGGTTCGAAGTAAGTTTGTATGTATGACCGCCGGTGTGGGATGGTTCGATACCTCGACTTGGCCACACTATTAACTGGTACCTTCCTCTGCGTTACCGCGCCATTCCAAGAGCTCAATAATATTAAGCAAAAATTGTTTACTTTCGGGCACCCAATAAAAGAATCCAGAAAAATGAGGACCGGAGCAGCAATCAGCTGTTTTCTTTTGATATTCAACAGAGTGTGCTGCCAAAGTGGCAGCGAGGAGTACTGGGTTGATCCGTATCCCCAATGGGCTGGTTTGGGTGATGATATAAATAATCAGCCGCATACATCCTGCGAGTGTCCGGCGGCTTCAGAACGGTCTTTGGAAGCTGTGAATGACGCCATGGCCCTTACGTACTTTAAAAAGTTCGTCAATTTGCTGTTCCATCGAAATCGTTTGCAGGTAAGATCGCTGATTGAACCATATTTGGAGACATGACGTCATAGATATAACCTTTGTAAAAATAGTACGACGCGAAATTGGCGCTCCATAGGCGATCATTGCTTTTCTCGATACTGCCAACGCAATTGGAAGAACTGGAGAAGGTACAGGATGCCCGGGATCTAGACATTTTGGTAACAAAGATATTGGAAAGTGCGAAGGAAACTTCAACTTCTGGCCAGTCCAGGTGGACCTTTCCCGGTCTAAGTGTATTTTCCTTATTCAAGGAATCTGTAGCGCTGATGAAGACGACCGATGTATGTAGATGTTATGGCTTTTATGGAAACTTGGCTTAATGACGAATTACTTGTTTACTCCATCTCCAGGTGCAATTCATCCTGTTTGTGACACTAGCCGCCATACTTGGCTCCATTGTGTATAGACGTTATAATGTACGATTAATTACGATTTTTCTATCAGGTACTTTTCTGTTTGGATATTTTCACACCTATATGGAGTGTAACAGAGTAGGTATCTCAGGAAATCAAGTGAAACTATTCTCATTATATGTTCATACATAGGAAGCAGATGTTGAAGCTATGATAGAGATCATAAAACATCAACAGAATCCAGGTAGTTCGGCCGAAATGCCCTGGTATTCTAGACTGGCGAGCATTCTTTCTCCTTCATCGCCACAAGACAAGCAAATAGAGATGTTAAGGTAAGAATATTTTTTTAAATAAGCAAAAAACATATAATAAACGTTTTATTTTAGGAAGTCCTCGAAGGTCAGCCTTTCAATCTGCAGACCAGATAAAGTGTTATTTATGTATATGAATGACATATTTATCACACAGTTAGAAATATTGATTGAAAAGTTGTGGGCAGTTATAAGGAAGATGAACTGTAAGTTTTTATATTTCTGATAGTTTTCGAATGTTTCCAAAAGAATCCTAATACTATGGTCACGCGATGAAACAATTTTAAGAAGATTGTGAAGATAACATTTGTATTAATTGTTCCACATACAAATTATATTTATAGCATTCGAATGCAATGATAATATTGTAAATACGAAATGATTATAGATCGTCGTTTAGCCGTAGCTGAAGGCTTCAGAGAAACATCGGAAAAAACTACTGTAGTATTTATTATACAATTAACACATTTTAATGTATTCCCGTAGCTCGAGAGTCATTTCCTTATAACCTTATAGCACCTATAATTTTGGTGGCTTTGGTGGCGTACATTATAAAACTTACGTTTAAATACATCATCAGCCCCAGAGCTTGGGCCTCCTTACTCCACAACAATTCAGCACCGATCGCCGCACCAATGGCCCAGCAATCAATTGGTTCACGAGACTCCGGTGAAGACTGCTTATCCGGCGATAACTTAAAGATGCTGTTAAATGTAATGAGCTCGACAAGTATTCCACAAAAGACTCAGGCCGTAGCCGCTGTTTCGGGTGTCCAGGAGCTGGTAGAAGCTCTGGAAGCTCCTACCACACCAGAGAAAAAGAATATAGATGAGAGCGATTCTAGCAGCGGGAGCAAGTTTAACCTTTCTGAAAATGATGAGTTCAGCAGCGGAAACAAATCCAACCTTTCTGAGAATGATGGATTCACGCTGGTCGACGATCATGAAGATGATAACATCGATAATTTGTAGCGTTTGGCTTTAAGCTTAATTTGTAATTTAAGTGTAATGTCCGTGATTTTTACCCAGTTAATTAGAGTCCGTATATTTTCCGGCAAATAATTCAATTATTATTTTGGTTGATTTGTCATAGTTAAATTTTTATTTAAATTATTTTGCATGTTCTTATTTTTATTTGCACGATAAGTGTTATTAAGATAAATCTTCAACAATAAGATCTTTTAAGTAGGCCACCAAACTGTTAATATTTTGCATGTTTATTATTACATTGCCGGCCCTTCAAAAAATCGGATATAATTTTTATGTAACTTTTGTTGATCCTTTATATTTACAACTTGGCGCTCAGGCGATTATTTTTTATATTATTAGCAGTGGGCGCTCTTTGTGAGTTGCATATTAATTGAATGTAAGCGATAATTAAATATTCGGTTTTTAAATCTTGTAAAATCTAATTCAATATGTATACAACTAATATATTTATATATCTATGTATATAGATCTATATGGTGTGTATATATTTTTGTAAGAAAAATTAGAAAAGAATTTCGGTGTAAATATATTTATTCGTTGTATTTTAAATCATGCACCTAAAATGTATTATGCTTTAATTACAATTCATTGTTATTATAAATTTTTTGCAACTAAATAATTTACGCAATAGTGAAATGTACTGTATGGAAAATGTTATCTCCATTACACGGCACATACTGAATAGCCATAACCCAGTTTGCTGTCTATAATTAAATGTACCTAAAACTAGAAAAACACGAAGCAGAACCCAAAGTATAGGCAGGCTACCTATGATTCTCAACTAAGGCTGGTGTATCGTAATCGTAATCGTCCAATGTCTATGGCAAACCGAGAGAATTTATCTAAATTGATTTCACAAATCTTATACGCAAATTGGTCCGCTATCATAATCTTGATTAATAATTTTTTCTACTCGAATTCAACAATTTATTTTAAATCTAGTGTGTAATTTTCACTTCTTGATTTATGTTGGCTGGGCTGTTCTACTTATTTGTCCGGCACTGCTGGACCGCGGACCAGCAGCTAAAGATACCAGTTTTGATGAGCAACATCATAATTAATGTAATTACTTGCTCCTCTTTTGGCTAATTGGTTTAGCAGCTATTAAAGCATATCATTCACTTAGTCTGATTGGTAAAATTTAAAAAACTAATCCTCTTAATATCAAACAACAGCAAACTATGCGAAACAATTTGTTCAACTCCTACGCCTACCCACAAGCCAACCAACTATTAAAATTAACGAATACCACAATTGGGAACGGTTTATGTTAGGTTATACATATGTACGATACATAAGTGTTTTAAAAACAGGCAACTTATATCCCATCTATGCTACTGCAAAAATGCACCAAATGCTCTTCAAATATCCTTCGATGTACGTGTTCCTTGGCTCACTTAATGAATGTGAATGCAATTGTACTTAAACATGATTCTGACTTAGGCTAACTCTATGATCTGATCTTTATAGTTTCCGGTTTTGTTGCTACATATTAAAATGCTTTTGCTTTCGTTAATAAATTTCAGCAAATAAGTGTAAAATTGTACATACACATTTAATATAATACAAAAACACAATGCCATCTCGAATTTGTTTATGTTTTTCCTTTTTGGGACTTTTGTGTGTTGTTGGCCATGAGTATTTTATACATTAGCTTTTGTGGCGATCGGGGCAACGTCCAAATCTGTATTATTCTGTTTAGGTGGTAAATAGTTAAACATCAATGATAGTCAGGGGAGGCATCGGTTCTCATTACCGGTTCGAACCCTGATGCCCCACTATGGTCTCCATGACGACCATGGAGAAGTCTTCCGTTGATGGATCCATGTAAATATTGTTATCATATTGTAGTAGATACAGATTCTATGTCTTTAAGTAGGTACTTTGGCTTTCGTTAGAGATATAGTGTATAGCTATCTTTTGATACCTGTTTATGAATGGGTTGGTGGATCTCATGCAAGTATGTATGTAAACATTTGATATGTATGCCGTTACGTTTCAGATGCGATTATGTGTAAACTTAGGGTTAGCTTTCGTGGTGTGTTTAGTAGTATAGTATCGTATCTGGTATCGTGTACTCTGTGCGACTAGAAAGATCTGATCTGCTCGAATATAACCTATGCAAAATATATATGTACTCGTAATCGTAGTTGCAATCGTGTTGTGTGACTTACATCAGTTCCTAAATACAAGTGTCTCGTTATGGAATGTAACTCTATATGTGGGTAAGTGGATGTGTGTGGTGCGTGGCTCGTGTGGGTGGATGGGTGGTTGAGTGGTTGGGTGGCTGGGTTGTGATACCTAAACGAAAGCCCAACCACCACCCAACCCACGCTGCTGCCCCAAGGCGAGTATTTGTCTGTCACCGTCTCCGTCTTCACTTCAGCTCGACGCAATGTGACCCGGGTCACATGCCATTTGCCATCTTGCAATCCGATGCTTACATAACGCGACACTTCTCCTTGGCCCCACCGCTGGCACTGGCTCCCGCATCTCCGTTCTCCGGAATCGTGCCGTTTGTGTCCTTGGACTTTTTCTCCTTCTTCTGTTTCTTCTGCTTCTTGGTGTCCAGTTGCAGGGATACGGTGCGCGTCTTCTCCATATTCAGCAGTTCCTGGAACAGCTCGGTCACATTGTGGTTCGTCTTGGCTGATGTCTCCATGAAGGATATGCTCCAGGTTGTCGCCTGAGCTTGGCCCTCGGCCTGGGAGACCTGCAGAAAGAGAGAAGAGTCAGAAAATCCATGTAATTAAGATCTGGATCAGAATACAAACCTCACGCAACTCAGCGGTCTCGTCGCACTTGTTGCCCACCAGCATGACGGGGATGTTCGGGATGTCGGCTCCCTGTAGACACAAATTATTAAAACTACGGATTAGGAATATATTTCAGATCAGGGTGAACCTTTAGCTCCTTGATCAGCGCCCAAATGGGTCGAAGCTCCTCTAAACTCTGCTTAGAGCACACCGAGTAGACAAGGATAAAGGCGTGTCCCTTCGAGATGGACAACCTCTGCATAGCCGGGAACTGATGTGATCCAGTGGTGTCCGTGATTTGCAGCGTGCAGATATTCTTGTTGCAGCTGATAACCTATCGGTTGATTGTGGATTAAAAAGATCTCCCCTGAAATGTTGTGGACAGGGTAATTACCTGTCTATAGGTGTCCTCGATAGTCGGGATGTAGCTCTCGCGAAAGGTGCCCTTTATGAAGCGCAGCACCAGCGAGCTCTTGCCGACACCACCGGCTCCGAAGACCACCACTCGATAGTCATTGCTCTGCTCAGGAGCAGCGCGCGTCACCTGGTTCTTCTGCTCCGTCATCCTGGATTCGCGGTCGAGTTTACCGGATTCGAAGTGGAAATAGATTGAGAGAGAAACAGGAGCTGGAGCTTGTTGGCTTGCTGTCGGGCGCTAGTGGAATGTTCTACTTGGGCGCCATGCTTTCGTTTATCTGCAACGATTAAGAGCAAATCAGCTTGGCTACAACGCCCACGCACGCACAACCTTTCCGGGTCTGTTGTGGGTGGTGAGTGGGTGCGTGGATGGTTGTGGGTGGCAATGCTTTAGGGTCCCGAAATAAGAAAAAAGAAAAAAAAAGGGAAAGAAATTAACTTCTAAACGACGAAGTTGATATACCCTTTTTAATGGAAAAAGCGGTCAGTTAGCTATGGGATGTAATACGTTCGACTGATTTGCAAAATATATTATAAATTTTTAAAATGATGATTTTAAAAAATGTAACTTTTAACTTTTAATTATTTATTATTATTTGTTATTTGGTTTGTCCGATCTGATTAGTTTTCACAAGTGTTTTTTCCCTAACAAATGAACCGTCCGTCGGAAGGGCATTAAAAAGAGGAAACAATGCGTGTGAATGTGTGCCGCTAATTTTAGCCATGTGCCAAGGAAGGGTATTGATTTTTTGGCCGACTAGCAGATCGGCATCAGCCTCTCCTCATTATTATCACTGCGATTATGATTGCCCATGGTCGAGGGGTATAAATATGCCTGCTTTGAAGGCGAGTGTCCCGTTTCGAGCGGGTTTCCTGCCCATCCGCCCACACACACTCTCACACACAGACTAGCCTTAACTGTTCACTTCCGCTTGATTGTCCTGGTGGACCTTTTACACCTTTGACACGCCCCCAACCAACGACCCGCCTCCCGATTTTTCGCCGTTTTGTTTTCTCGCACTGTTTTCACACAAACTTTTTTGTTTTTCCACCTCGTACACCTCACGCTCTTTGCTGTTGGATTTTCCTCGCTTTATTTTGGCTTGGATTTATCGATTTTATCTGCGCTGCACTTGCCACCTACACACGCGAAACTTTGGAAAAAATAAAACTGGCTAGTAAATTCAATTTCCCGTTAAGTGGGATTTACCACAGGATAATTTGGGTATTTCCCTATTGCGTCGCAGTATTTACTTGCATTTCGTTGCACTGAAATTCGTTGCAGGACAGGATCTGATGCCCGATGTGACTAGCTTTCTGCTGCAGGCCGTCCTATCCTATCCTCTGGTTCCGATAAGAGACCCGCCCACCCACCGCCCCCACACAACGGTATTACAACGCCTGCGCTTTCCCACTAAACCAAAAAAGCTTTTCAAAGTTTCCCTAAAAACAGCGGAGGCTCGAACCCCACCTCCACCGAGAAGAAAGCTTCTGCACACGTCTCTAATCTTGTGAAGCCGGCCGGCGTGTGCAAAAGAATTGGAATCGAAAGACCCGTGTGTAAAGCCGTGTTTCCAAAGTGTATAAAACCTGGGAGCATCTGGACAAACTGCATCAGTTGTGGTCAGCAGCAAAAACAAGTGAATCATCTAAGTGCAGTGAAAGGCCTAAATAGCCCATCTTAATCTTTTGTGAAGTGAAAAAGTCCAAAAAAAATCAAAAAATCAAGATGCCTTGCCCATGCGGAAGCGGTAAGTTTTGAACTAATAACTGGTCCTAAGATTTTTAGGACGATAAATGATGAGGGTGATATTTTTTCTAATTGATTTTTCATTTTAATCTTAAACTGAAAAATAAAAGTATCTTCAAGTTCTTGTAGTAATTATTCGGAAAATTTAAACAAAAAACTGTTGGCACTCGTATATTAGCAACCCTAAACTTATTCCAGTTGTACTTCATATTAATTTGTAAACCTCTTTCTTTTCTAGGATGCAAATGCTCCTCCCAGGCCGGATCTAAGGGATCCTGCAACTGCGGATCTGACTGCAAGTGCGGCGGAGACAAGAAGTCCGCCTGCGGCTGCTCCAAGTGAGCTTCCCCAAGAAGATATGGAGACCCCCTAATCTCTGAACTGATTTCTGTGTATTTTCGCATTAAAAAACAAACAATGTTTTCTCATTTTCCCTCCACAACAATGTCCAATTAAAGTAATTGAAACCTAAGCTACGTCTTTTCGGATTGCGCAATCAGTTTGTCTGGGGCTTTCTAGGTTAGATTCTCTTTTATTAGAGGTACTTTATGTACATATGTACGTGGTTGGCGATATGCGTCGTGGAAATCGGATGGTCAAGTGTTTTCCACATATGCAACGAGTATACATATATTATTTAACTTAGTTAAGCAATATGGTAATCTGAGACGCTTCGCTTCCATTTTCTGAGGTGAAGAGACTGGGGATTGGATTTCAAAGCACATCTGTTTGAACTTCTGACTTGTAGATATGACTACAGTCGCGGAAAGAAAAGTATAGCAGCTGCTGAGTCGTAGATATTATCTCTATTCATAGAAATTATCACATTAGTCATTTTTTAAAATGACTTGACTTCTTCTCTTAATAGAATAAGTATTTAAACAGTAAACACTCTTTTTTCTACATTTTATTTGATGACAAATAATATTTCATATTCATAACCGATATGAATATTATAAAAACATGATTCACGAATATAAATTATTGTAGGCTGGTTTAGTTTCCAGTATGTTTTGTGCGCTAAGCATCGTCTCAAATCTTTATAGCTTGAAAGTCCCCAAGTGAACGTATTTTTATAGATGTAATTAACATGAAAGTGCAAGAACCTTCACAATGACACCGGAATAAGTCAAGAACAAGAATCCACTCGCTCTTGTTTTCTGAAGTGCGCGATCCAGCTGACCTAGGGGTAAGGTTACAATAGACCCCATAACCATAAATGACCCAGATGGTGCCACACCCTAAGACCTCCAAGTTAAAAAACCCTCATTACTCGAAGTTTATAGTTAGCATTTACTTTGTAAGCCTACGAATGCAGCTTATGTCTAATACTAGGCTAGGTGAACATTAATGAAGGATTATGGGGGAATCGATTGGGGTACACTAAGTGCGCAGTATATGTATGTGAAATCTATGTATGTGCGAGCATGTCTTCTTTTTTTGGTTATCAGCGTGGCCAAACAAATACGGGCGAGATATCACGGCAGTTTCGAAACGGTTCTGTCGAAGGTGCTCGACGCACTCAGCACACAAGGTAGAAAATAGTGGGAAATTCTCGGCCTACTTGATAACGATATTCTGGGCCAGTCGCTTTACAAAGTCGACGTTCAGAAAGTTGGCCATGAGTGTCAGCACGGACTTCTTGGGCGGTCGACAGTGCCGCAGACCCGCTTCCTGGCAACACACATTTGGAAAGCAGTCTAAAGTATTGGTGCACGCCTTAGGATGCAGGTCAAAAATGGGCGGGGGTGGTGCTGTGCACTCTAGGTATTCCGTAACTGAAATAAATAATAATAAATAAGGTTCTTCATGATAAGAATTTATATCTAGGATAAAATTTTAACTTACGATAGTCGAAGGAGCGCTTCACTGGCACTGGGGCTGTTTCTAGCTCCGGCTGTGAAGTGCGACAATATCTTCTCCGCCCATCTGGACAACAGACCCGCGGCCAGCAATCCATGTCTGTGCTACACTCCTGGACATCCCACCAGAGCTCCGCCAGCGGCCTACTGGGACACTTTCGAGGTATTAAACCCAAGATGGCTGATAAAATGAACATATTGGTGTTAAATTGGCACAGAATCACGAGGACTTGCTCTGCTTACGTGCATGTGGAGTCTCCTCCAGGGGCTTTGGAACCCCGGAGACACAGCTGCTGGCTCCGAAGATATCACAGCACAGCTCATCCCTCTGCCAGACGGCACAATCGCGATCCACCTTGCAAATCTTGGGGAAGAGCTGGAACCTCACCTCGTTCTCTCGCGGACAATCGAACCGCAATCGTAGCTCAGCTGCTGCCCGCTTTCCCTTCTCCTTGTCCTTTTCCTTATCCTTATTATTATCGCTGGGAAAGTTCAATGTGGGCAGGGCAATGCGAAAGGGTCCATCCGTAGTGGGCTTATGTGTAGTCGTTGTGGATGGTCTACTTGGTGTTCTAACCGTTGTACTAGTTCTCTGCTCTGCAGGTTTCCTAGTGGTCTTAGCCGCCTTTCTTTGGCTGGACTTATCTTCCTTGGGACTGAACTTCTTGGGCGGATGGGTCTGCTTGGTGGGAGTTCGTACTGCCACCAGACTCTGCTGGCCGAAACTCCAGAAGTTAGGATTGAAGAAGTTAAATCCGTTGGCCAAAGTGGGACGTGGAGCTGGGGGTTGGATGTGGAAAGCAGGTTAGCTGTGTGCTCAGTGGCCATTAGTGTTTCTGCTCCAAATAGCAGACATTACACGTCAAGTAAAGCGCAGTTCCCGCCGCTCATAAAGAGCGTTTGATTTGGTTTTTGTTTCATTATTCGGCCAGGCCCACAATGGATCAACAATTGCCGGTGGAGCGCAGCCTGTTGGCCAACGCTTCCCACCCACTCCACAGACCGATTCCCAGCGCAATTATGTACTTGGCTGGTTGCAACAGCTAGGACGCAAGTAAATCACTCACAAAAACTGAGATGATCAGATCATTACCCCCGGATTAACGACACTTCCCCATAAAGTTGGTACTTCAAATTGCCAACTCATAAAACTACCTAATGGAAGAGCACCTTTAGTGTAATTAGACCCTGTTCTGCTGAAGTAGAGGGGACGATTCTACAACCTAGTGATCATGATCATGCAAAATATCAAAGGCCTAGGCCCCAATAATTGGCGGCCTTGTGTCTCTGGTTCGGACTCAGCCAAGGTCTCCTGGTGCAGCTGAAACCGATTCGAAAGCTCTGGTGCTCCAGTTATCGACGCTTTACACCTAACCTATGCACCTATGGACGTTAAATTTAAGTCCAAACGGGTATATCTGGTTTTGTCCACAATTTGAATACACAATTGCGGTCAGAATAATGAAATTGCTAATCCAAGGTAAAACTATTTATCTGCATTTTTGCAAATAATCATGGATCGATTTTTGGCCATCTAAGTGGCTTAAAATGGCAATTCACTTTTTGAAATAATTTTTGATTTAAACTGTTTGGTATATTAACTTCAATTCAGTAAGATTGGTCAATCCTGGGACATCATCTCAGAAAAGTTTTGGTCTTCATGTTATTAACATTTAAGTCATTCGATCAATACATGCAAAATTAATAGGGTATTCAATCTATCGGTGAACCTTCCACGACCTTTTCTCAGACAACTTCTTTGTCGCTTTGTTGTAGCTATATTCGCATTACCACTTTCAATCTTTATGGTCGAAACCGAAAAGCTAGGTCAGTGCCAGCATCTTCAACCAGTTTGCATGACTTTTAAGACCAGTTGCACTGATCTAAGATCAAAGTATATATACATATTCCGGACTAGTCTGCTTTATCTATCATTTTACGATTGAATATATATTTCCATTTGATCATTATTTGGTTTATAATCGTTTTAGTTTTCTGGGCACTCACTTGTTGTCGTTGTCGTAGTTGAAGTTGTGGTTGTTGTTGTGGTGGTGGTAGTGGATGTGGTTGTTGTGGAGGAGGATGGCCTGCGCCGCCGGACCACCTGAGTGCGCCTCCGCTGGTTGGATGCACTCTGCTGCAGCGGCCGCCGCCTGGTCTGATCCCCTTCTGAAACCGCTGCAGTTTCTTGGGCTAGCAATGGAGCTGGGAGCGGGAGCTTGTATTGTGCAACTCCGCGGCTTGTGGACGTCTTAGCGGCCGTTGCACAACCGATGGATAGGTAGAGAGCTCCCCCAGCAGCCAGGAGTTGCAGCCAGATCAATCTCATTGCGGCAAGGGATCACTTAAACCAACACTAAGCCGCTGACCTTTTCGTTGTAGTCACTTACAGTCTGTGTCACTCACTTAAGCACTCATCTTTGGTGGGAATTTAGGTGATATTTTAGTTGAACAAGCGCGACTTCGTTGTTTAGACACCGAACGACTGCTTCAGACTCCCAAGCCCAATTGGCGAATGTGCAAAATTTCGAATTTCGGCAGCGGAGCCACCAGACAAAATCAGCTAAGAGAGCTTAAGCGGGGGCTGACCCGCTCTTTAGCGCCCCAAACTGGTTTTTACTCTGGTCTGACTCTCGGAATAATGGGCTCTTGTCTGGCTTCCACAGCAGTTGTGAAGGTGGTTGTCTGTAGTCAGTGGGTACCACTAACCCACTGTCGTAGAAATGAGGAAGTGCAGACTAACAGCCAGGAGATTGCTTCCGTCTTTCCAAAAGGACACCATCAATTAAGGGGTAAATAAACGCTCTTGACACATTCGCGTGGGAATCAAACAGGTATACCTCGAAATCATGCTCCTCGTGTTTTACTTTCATTTTATCACCAAAGCCAAAAATTTGTGAAAATTTTTAAGGTGACCATGAAGCTACAGAAAAAATGTTTTATATTAAAATTTTAATTTATCAGACAAAAAATCCACAAATATTTCGCTTGTCTAAACTTTCCTTAGTCACAAGTCCGTAAACATCTCTAACTCACAACTGGCTGAGTAATAGTTTTTGATCATATTTTTAAACAATTCATATAGAAATTGTGTGTAAGTCCCCTCAGTTTCAAAATAAGAAATGTGCATATATTTCAGTAAATACTACTGCAGAAGAATATGTTAAAAACTATTAAACTTTTTACTAAACCAATGTTTGATGATATGTTTAATCAAGTTACATATTAACATGAAACACCACTGCTTTTCATCACAATCACGATCTGAATTTGAAGAGAGCCGAAATTCGGGGATGACCCGGTCTCTTGCGTTGCAAACCGGTTGTTTTTGTTTTGGTAGCGGCTTAATGTGTTATTAGGTGACACAGACTCACTGACTGATCGCTCTTCAGTCTAAAAACAAGGAAATACACAATTTTCCGGCATCTGTCAACACAAATATGTAGATGCCTAATAAGATTAAAGCATAAATGATGGTAAGAGTAGATACCCGCTAAGATATAGGGACAAATTATGACACAAAATTAAATACGTTTCTTGTTATGGGTTTAATCAGACGGAGATTTAAACAAACTATTGGTTTAACAAAGATCCTTCGCGGAAGGTGGTAACTGTTGGAATTCTGTGGTGGTGGCCATTCTGGTTACTTGCTTAGAGATTACTTTGGAATTGGTTCCATGTGTGCTTTGTCCTTGCTTAAATCCCCAAATGATTATGTTGTGTTGCTGTTGCTGCTGCCGGCATATTAATATAAGGAGTCCCCAAGTTGCGGCGAATGCTTATATTAATGTGCCGATTGTTGTTTTGAGACGCGAGTCACGCGTTCCAAATGGCGAAGAGGACATTTAGTCCAGCTGAAAGAAAAGAATTTTATTAGTAATCAGTAAGTATTGAATATCTAGGTAACTCACCTTCTTGAAGCCAATGTCGTTGGCGTACTCCCTGAAGCACTGACGGCAGATGTTCAGGCCATACTTGCGGATCAGACCGTGGCGGTTAGAGCAGGCACGGCTGGAATGAGATCGAATATCATAATCATACCGGTTCTACTAAGTAATTCCAATAGCTGACACAATTTGCCAAACAGCAAAGCTATCGCTCCACTCGGCAGCACCACTTCTTGGTAGGAGTGACGCCTTTTGCCTCGTGTAGCTGTTACTTTGGCCACCCTCAATTAAGGAAACTGTTCAAGATGTTTAAACACATATTTCCGTACTCAACCGGGGGCAAAAGACATTTATAAATCAAACATTACAATTGACAACACAAATTGGCAGACGCCATGCGTGAAAATAAAAGCGGGTCGTGAATAACCTCACTTTCAACAAACATGCAAAAATCGTGCAAAATACTGGGTTACGGGACAAGCATTTAAACAAATTGTACATCAAAAAATACGCAATGCTACGGGTCAGACAAATCTTACCAGCTTCGGGAGCCTTGGCCGTATTTGCGGGGATGCGAGTACCAGAGAGTAGCGAAACCCATGTTGGCGTTTTCCACGAGAAATTCGAAAAGAAAAGGAACTAGGGATGGCACACATAGCTGGGGGTGGCACTATCGATTCGGCGATATTTTTGCAAAACAGATCATCTTTTATCGATTGTACGTGTTGACTATCGACAAAATGGCAACGATGTGATTGTACAGTATGGCAACGCTTTAACCTCTGGCGCTTTATTTGAATTCTAAGTGAACTACTAGATATAGGTATCCGAAAATAACGGTAGAGATGGATTGTTTTTTACAACCACAACCCTGGCATTTTCGCCAGATGACAATAATGGCATGCTGCCGTCTTGCATTTGTTCTTGATTTTGTTGTGGTTCAAAAATCCTCATCATTTCCATATCCTGGACGGGCTCTTCGAAGACAATTATCTGTTGTTCCGAGTCATGCGATTCCATGGGAACAGCCTGCATATAGTGCGACATTAGGAAACCGTTGTTCACCTCGTCCATTGGCAAGCACATCATTCCCTCCTGCTGTTCTGATGGCACGACTGAATACTGCATTTCTGGATCACCAGTGTCCGTTCTGGGTCTGGAGTCAGATGACACGTCACAGGGACTGGCACCACTTTCCTGTTGGTCGGGATGTTTCTGAGCCTTCTGAGCTGCAGCCGTCTCTAGCTGGAACTTCTGCATTTGCATCATGAGGCGCGAGTTGGCGTCCAGGTGGGAGTGCCGGGCTCGGATATGCTTGTCCCGGTCACCGCGCTGCCGAAAAGTCTTAGTGCAAAATAGGCAGCTGTACGGCTTTTCTCCGGTATGTATGCGCTGATGGTTTTTGAGGGCATCTGCCCGGTAAAATCGCTTGCCGCACTCCTCGCACTCGTAACGCCGCTCACCGCGATGGATTAGACGGTGCTGATAGAAGACCGACCCAGTCAAAAAGCGTTTGCCACACACCAAACAGAGATATGGTCGTTCACCGGTATGGCACTTGCGGATGTGGTCATTTAGATCTGGACGGATCGTGAACTTCCTGTCGCAATTTTCCTCTTGGCATACGAAAGGCTTGACACCTGTTGAAAAAGGCTCCCTGTAGTGAAGATTTATGTTTCGCAATTACTTACCCTGGTGAAAGCGCAGGTGCTGCCACAGATGGCTTGACTGGGTGTACGACTTTCCGCAGATGTCGCAGAGGTATTGACGCAGGCGACCACAGCCCGTGTTGCGGGTCTCTTTTTCGCGTTTCTTCTTGTTCAGGTGCTTCTCCTCGTTATGCGCCAAGATCTCATGGGCGAACTCAAAGTTGACCTCGCAGAATTCACAGGGAAGCAGCAGTTTCTCACCATTTTCGCTGAGTCGCGGAAAATAATGATAGGAGGTATACCTGGTAGAGCGATAAATATAAAAACTAAAGGTTATTCTATAAGATTTCGACTCTACACCTTACCGATGCTCCTGGAGCAAATCTGTATTCGCGAACTTTAGCTCGCACACATTGCACACAAAATGTCGACTCAGGGTGACATTTAATGACCTGATTGCCTCCCTCATGAAGATGCAGTCTGTCTGGAAGTGGATGCTGGCCTCCTTTGCCGTGTTCATCTGGATGTCGCAGGCGTTGCACTCAAAGCGCCGCTCAGCCACATGGGAAGCCGAATGAACGAGGAGTTCTGCTATATCAGCAAAGATGTACTCGCAGAACTCGCACTGCAATACGCTGCCCAAAATCAGAGTGGTAAAGAGGTCATTTTCCCTTCGATTACCATTTTGTATGGTCGCTGTTACTGTGACTTCTCCTCCCAGCAACATCTCCCCTTCCAGCAATAGCTCCTTGAAATCTCTTTGAGCAGTGGATGTATTCTCTGAAGTTTTACAGCTTAAAGAATGATCCGGATAGTGAATTAGGCCGTGCTCGAAAGCCACCTGCGGATCATAGAAGATGCGACCACAGGCGTTGCACTTTACCACGACATGGAGGCCAGCAGCCGGAACCGTATGCGGTTGCAAGCTGGTCTGGGCAGGGATCAAATCAAGAGCATGTTTCTCCATGTGTCGCACTAATCCAGAAGCGTGCACAAACTTACGATCGCACATCGTGCATTCGTTGGGACCCTTTATTGACTTTCTGCTGCGCGAGCTGTCGATGCCAGTGGTCAGGTCGTACTTCATTTCGTCCTTCATGTAGCGACGCAGGCGCACTTGGTTCTCAAGAATGACCCGCTCGCTACTCGGTTTGGTGGGCGGAGCGGGAGGAGCACAGATAGTGGGGACTGGAAGGGGCTTCTCCTGCTGGGGAGCGGGCACTTCAACTTTTTTTCGATTGATCTCCCCCTCGCAAGTGTGGCCTTGAAAGGCTACGGGCTCGTAATAAATTAGACATTGTGGACACTGTTTCCGGTTGATAGTGGCCGCAGACGAAGTGAAACGCGATCCTAAAAAGGAGTTATATGAAACTAACCTATTTAAATGACTCCATTAAGATTACCATGAGGCGCGGATTTCTCCGTGATCTTGTTGCTAGTAACCCCGGCCAAAAAGTCGCGAATCTTCAATTGCTCTGCTTGAGGGTCAAACCCGGTCTTCCCGTCAGCTTCCTGCAGGATCTGCTTGAGAGCCGGATCCGCCAGGGTTCTTTCCACTACCACATCTGTGGGCATTGGAATTGCATTCCCTGGCGCAACGGTAAAGAATCTAGACAGATCCTCATGGCTAACAATCTGCTGAAAGCCTCCACCACTATCGTTGGTTGCTAGCACCGTGGCTCCAGGTTGCAGGTCGTCGGGGTTTAATTGGTGGTCGACCTCTACCTCGATCTCGGCCAGCGTATATTCGCCCGCATTATTAACCTTCATGGTTAATATAGGTTAATCGAAATACACACAGCACTTGTTCGAACTCTCAAAAGGGATTGAGAAGGTATTAAATTGGGAAGCTGTTGGCCAGATTTAAGAAATTTACACAATTTTTATTTCCCACCGGAAGAAAAACTTGTAAAGAAATTTTCACGATACGTTTCCGTTGCTGATAAGTAGGGAAATGAAATTGCTTTCTCCGTCGGTAGAAGAAAGTTGGCGACAGGAGTGACAGTAAACTCTATGACATCGGATAACTCTATAGGGTTTTAGCAAAGGCAATACTCTAAAAGTGTATTTATCGAAAACGTTGATGGCAAGCATATTATTGAATGTACGTAAAACGTTTACTCAAAATTTCAGAAGGTTCATTCATATATAACTCATAACCCATATAACCCATATTCAAGAAATGCGGGTCGTTAGTATATATAGTTCTTACGTATTTTTAGAAGGTTAGTCTTTAGCAGAAAATTATTTCTTTCGGAATGCGATAGATATGGTTAATAACGTGGTTTCCGCTTTTGGCTGACATTAGTCATTAGTCAATTCTCTGATTTTGGACTTACCCAACCTGCAAGGCATTTGACAGCTAAAGCGCATATCGTACACCTCTGCCGATATGTAGTTTACGGCAATTGTTTATGTTTTCCTTTGGCTCAGGCTGTCGGAGTCGGCGTCGTTCGCCCAGGTGATTACTGGCCCACAGTTATCAGTTTTCATTACCTCGGCTCCAGATAAGGCGCTTCGCGAAATGAGTAAACTTACTGCCTAACATGACATACCGCCACTGCTAATCAGTCCCACAAGGTTCTCTGTGCCGTTCAAACGCGTGCCGATCCTGTCCAACGCTATCCAATCCGATCCAGGATCTACAGAATCCCTGGATACAGCTCTTGGTGCACACGGTAATAGGTTATTGATTATCCTTGCTGCCTGCTGCCGTTTTAGACCTTCCCCTTCTCACGAGTTTTGTATTAGCCGGGTAACTTGGTGACTAGGACTGGCAATGAGTCACCTCGGCGAAGGCCCACCGCGATCCGAATCCAAAATTGATAAGAACCAAAGTTGCGGCAGCCATTCTTATCTGCAAATTGGCTACTAGATAATGCCGCTGGGCATTGTGGACGCATAGCGGTTACGGGGAGAGATCCAAGACAAAGCCAGTGGGCGGCACCTCCTTTCCAGCCGTACTAACGCAGCTCCCACCTACGTATCCGCTTTTCTAGTGCCATGGAGGATTACACATACGCATACATCTCCGAGCCCGTGGAGTTTCGACAGCTGGAGGGCAAGTCAATAGACTTCCGCAAGACCTTTGATCTTCGGGGTCAGGGTGGCGACGAAATGCTCCAGTTGTACCTGCGCAAGGCCAACCTGTCCGACGACCTCGATCGTCTGCCGGCTATCGTACGACGTGCCTATGTCTATGACATAATAAGGAGCAATAAGGCTCCCGGTTACTGGGTGGTAATGTCCCGCAGCGTCTCTCCTTACCAGCTACTTCAGCGGTTTGCGTCTACGATGCACAGCCTTGTCTTGAACGCAGCCGTTTCTTTTTGTTCCAGCCACCTTCTATGCAAGTGAGCACCGACGTCTTCGCCCATCCTCCGCCTGCAGTTCGTCCACCTCCTTACTACGCCGATAACGTGAGCATAAACGCTAGTCTTGACGGCATGAAGAGCTCCTCCTCCTCAAACAGCCTTGACAGGTATGTGGGCGCTCCTCCATCTGTAGCCCTAGCAGGTCCCAGCTTCGCCACCAGTGTCTTGGTCAGCAACAAGGGTTCCAAGTACGAGATCAGCGGACCAGTCAACTTCCAGCATGTTTCAGGCGATGTGACGCGGGATCGCACGCGAAACGCTTTCGACCTAAATGGCGATTGCAACGATAACGTGCTCCGGAAGTATATGATAGAGCGGGGCATCACGGATGCGGACATAAGCCATATGAAACGCCAGGATGTGATCAAAAAGATTGTTCATTCCAACTTTACGTGGATGGTAGGTGCTTGAAATATTTTTGATTCTGTTTATGAAGGTTTCTCCTCCTTAGCCATCAAAGGGTGATATTCAGGCACAGCAAAAGGTCCAGGAAACGGTCAGACCTCTGCTCTATGCCACTATTTCCACCAACAACCAGATTACTCCTCCGCCCTCGCCCCCGCCGCCTACCACGGATACGGTATCGAAGGCAACAGCAGCTCCGTTTTCTAACTACGCTTCTCTCACATCGAGATTTGTGGATATATCCGATATTGATTTGCCTGCTCCCATTCAGGCTGCCTCGACTCCTTTTAGACAGCCAGAGATGGGTACGGTGATTCCCGTCCAGGTCCAACCGCAGCAGATGAGCAGACCAAAGGTTCCTCCGCCTCCATCGGCGGTAATGGCAAAGAATACACATGGTTATCCGGCGGCCATTAACGTTCGCCAAGTCCGGCCTGTGGCTCCAACAAAGGTTTCTAACGAAACATATGCAACCATATCACCGCAACGGAAGGTCGGATCTATGCGCATCCCCCCACCAGCACCTCCAAAGCCAACGGTAGTGCCGAACACCAACTCCATAGTTTCCAATGGATCGCTGTATGCTGTGTCTCCGGTGCAGTATGCGCCAGTTGCCAAACCAGAACCAGTTGTCAAGCCAACACCACCTGCTCCTCCAGCAAAGCCGACTTCTAGAATTTCTGCAGCCTATGTGACACCGTTGCCAGCGCATAGTACAAGGTTTACTGCCGCCGGTCCAGCACCAGTGCCTCCACCACCTCCCCAAGCGGCACCTCCACCACCGCCGCCTCCCATGCCAGTTGCAAGTTCAGGAGGACCACCTCCTCCGCCGCCACCTCCTCCTGGTGGGTTGGCTGGAGTTCCACCGCCGCCTCCAATGCAGAAATCCCAGCAAAAGGCTGCTCCAGCTGCTACATCGGGCGGAGACTCAAGGGATGCGTTCTTGGAGAGCATCCGGCAAGGAGTTACACTGAAGGTATTTTAAATACACCACTACTTCTCCTGTAAATCTAATTTTTCTTTCTGTTTTGCAGAAAGTGGATCAAAAGGCCGCCACTATAAGCGGAATTAAGCCGCGACCGGAACGAAAACCAGTAACCGGGGACTTCCTTAGTGAACTAAAGCTGGGTATAACTTTAAGGCGGGTCAAGAATCCAGCAGATAACCCGTATTCCGAAGAATCCGAATCGCAGGCGTAACGGCTTGGCGGTTAAGCTTTTGTACTTTACAACACTGAACCAAGCGGCGATGTTGCCAGACTGAGGAAATCCGCCTTAATTTAAAATTTTGCAAATATCTTTAATTTTAACATTAATCACCATGACAATTAACCATTAACGTTTGTAAATAAAATTGTTATCGTCAGATATGATATAGCTTATCTTCACGGCTGTTTTGTCAATAGCTTATATGTATATGAATTTAAATACAGTACTCACTTGAAGCCGTGAACAATACAAATATTGGTGTAACTGTAACAAGTATAAACTGAAAAAAATATAAAAGCATTTGGATATAGTTTAACAGAAACATTTTACATTTTATGAAGATGGTGCTATTCCAAACAAAAGTTTCGCCCAATCGAGTTTTCACTTTTTCGATAGAGCACTGTATACTTATTTTTTGTGTTCGTGTGAGAGAGACAAGTACAATCACCCGGTTAGGTGAGAATGCGAGTCAATCGCTGGAATCATTTGTGATTTAGACCTTTGATAGATAAGTAACACCCCTGGAGCACAGGTGAGACTGCACTTTTGCAAACACAAAACTGGATTAAACGCATTCGGTTAGAAGAAATTGAAGAACAACCGAATTATGCAACGCATTGCTATTATTGGAGGAACCGGCATGACCGGCGAATGTGCTGTGGATCACGCCCTGGTGAAGGGTAGGTATCCCTTTATATAGAAAGCACATACTGAGCCATTCCATTTGCAGGTCTCACAGTGAAATTGCTTTATCGTAGCGAGAAAACTGTTCCAGAACGATTCAAGTCAAAAGTTGAACTGGTCAAAGGCGATGTGACCAACTACGAGGATGTACAGCGCTTAATAGAGGGTGTGGAGGCAGTGGCCGTCATTCTGGGTACTCGCAACAAGCTAGAGGCTACCACGGAGCTTTCCCGCGGCACTGATAACCTTATTAAGGCTATGAAGGAGGCAAAGTTGAGCAAATTTTCCATCGTCATGTCCTCGTTCCTGCTGCGTCCGCTCAACGAGGTGCCTCCAGTGTTTCACCGCTTGAACGAGGAACACAAGCGCATGTTGGACCTGACCAAGGCTTCTGGACTGGAGTGGATTGCCATACTGCCGCCGCACATAGCCGATGAGCCGGCAACCGCATACACCGTAGTACACGACGAGGCTCCCGGCCGTCTAGTTTCTAAATACGACCTGGGAAAGTTCATTATCGATAGCCTTGAGCAGCCCGAGCACTACGGCAAGGTGTGCGGCATTGGCAAAAGTCCCAAAAGTGCCTAGAGCAAAGAATCGTCCATTGAGATTGTGACCAATTGCAGCTGATCATTTAAGACGTACAAATTGTATTTGATATTCCTGTCGTAACCCTAATAATCCGCCAAACATCTACATACCCGTATGTAATGTGAGCGCACAATAAACTTTCCATTTTAGAAGATACGAATTTAATTGCAATTACGTGCGGTATCGCTTTGGCATCAAACAATAGAAATGTCGCCACATTAGCACCTGTCGCGCCAAACGCCAGGCAGGTATTTAAAAAATGTGTAACCATAAAAGATCACCAAGCACCGACCAAGCTATCAAAGATCAACAGCTTCCGCTATCGGAGAGGCGCACGCCGCACCGTGGCCGTAGCTACTCGTTGAGAGAAATTTTTGGCAGCCGAGAGAGAGATCTCTATTTGCCTTACATCACTGCCGGTTATTTCTGTAACACAAACATGACGCTCGCTGGGCGGGCATTAACCATTTAGGCACCGAGCCCCCGTCAAATTTGGCTGCGCAAAAATAAAATCAATTTATAGCCGTCGCCAGCGTGAACTTGAACTTGTCATCTGCACCGTGGTGGACGCTTGGATGCATCGCATCGCTCATGCCGCCAGACAGGCGTTTCCGTCGTCGCCACTTCCGCCCAGAAACAACATATGGAACCTTAAGTTTCTACACGTTTTATTGGAAGTTATTGCCCTTCGTTGAGTGCTTAATGCTAAGGCTCGATATGTCTATATGCTATGTTTCGTTGGAAGATACTTGAGCTTCTTATTATCATTGCAGGCAGGTATTAGATATTCTTCTAGGAGCAAATATGCACACGCTTGAGCAAAACTATAACAAAAAATAATAGCTAAACAGTTAGGATTAGGTTAACATTAGCCTTATACATGTACCGAACAGCCTGGGGTCATCTTTGTCATACAAAAAGAACCAAAAAGTTTACAAAATACATGCGGAAAGTAATATTTAAAAATCAACACAAGCGTTTGGTGAATGTTTGCTTATCGGTGTAATGGAATTAAAAGCTTTAACTGCTTCGTAATTCGCCTGGGGCATGAGGCAATCAACCTTGCTTTTGGCAGACTGCCTGACGTCCACAGGTTATGGCTCGGAGCAGCTGCTGGCAGGTAAAACCCGTAAAGAATTTCAAGCGTTTGCCAATTTGACTAGTTCACTGCCACTCTCTGATCAGGCTCGGCATGACCCATTTTGGCTAATCCCACTACTACTACTGGCGTTGAAGTCTATAAGACCTTCTTCATGTATTTCTTTTTGGCATTTTGCAAACTGGGCAGTTCGCAGTGACGCGGCCCGTACATTGTGATGGGCGCACAGTACTCGTAGCCAATTCGCTCGTAAAATCCATCCTGGTCGATGGTAGACAGGTAAATGGTCTTGAGGTCCAATACCACGCGACAGTAGTCCTCAGCAAACTTCATGATTAACTTGCCAAACCCCTGGCCGCGGTGTCTCTTGTCCACTACCACGGACTCCACGAAGCACGCCTTTTTCTTAGAGGTAATCGGACTGAGCTTGAGGTGAGCAATTACGCGACACATGCCTTCAGTGGTCAGTACTAGGCTGCAGGGCAGGCTGTCGCAGGAGGCCTCCAGGGAGCGCATGCGCGCCGTTTCCGATCGCGGCCACTCGGCGTTAATCAGAGCGCAAGTGTCCTTCATCAGCTCTGGGTAGTTGTGAATTGGCACCACGTTAAATGGGCTGCCGCTGACATTAAATGGTGGAAGCCCCTGTAAATAGTATAAGGGTCAGATTGTTTTTTAAGGAATTCAACATAGAGCCTGGAATATATTGGTTTTTGCTGATCATTTACTTCATAGTACGGCTCCGGTTTTATGTAGCGCATATCGCTGAAACGGACTGTGGCTCGGATCTGGAAGGGATCCTCTTGAGCTTATAAAGTGTGCGACGATCTAAAATAGAATAGAGTTGAGTCGTTTCGATACGGAGATCATCCTGACCAGTGTTGGAGGAATATATAGACATTTTTACCAAGGAAATTTTAATCTATTTGAATCAGAAATCGATTTAGAATTGAATGCAGAAATTTTTTATACTTATTTTGACTTTTAACTATATATTTTCTTTTATAAATCCATTTGAGACCTTTACTAGGTAATCTAGTAGCCCTACCAACACTGATCCTGGCACACAAAACACTTGGGCGGTTATTTACACGGGATATTGAAAGTATCCCAGGCGGGATAAACAAAGACTGGCAGCCATGGAAACAGCACATATACACACGCACGAACATATAGTTGAAAATCAAGGTGAGGCGTAAAAAAAGAACGTTTTCGTATGTGCGCCTGGCCGAGAATCGTACGACCTTGACTGGCGTATATGTGCACTACTCAAAAGTATGTACACAAATGATGAGTGGGTGGTGTTCTTCGGGTGATTCTATGTACAGAAGGTATGGAGTCCGCTATTGATTTGCTAACTGGTGAGATAACTAATAGATGGTTACCATCGCAAGAGCTTTTCGCTGCTGGGCGTCTGATTCCCGTGCGCCACGACGAAGTGAACAGAACGAACTGATATGGTTCCCAATATTGAGGCGACGGTCTCAGAAGAAATGGGCCAAGTTCCGTGCGAGAGCGCAAATTTCGTTTAATAATTTGACTCTCTGGTATGTATGCGTGTTGTCTGCTTTGATTCAACTGCGCGCCCGGAAAATTGAATATCAGTTTGATTTAAAACGAAATTTGTTTATTTTTAAACTTTTTCGCATACGCTGCCCCTGCTGCTTCTTCTTATCCGCATCAACCCCAGTGCTGCCACCTGGCTTTGCTGTCTAACTATCCAACACTGGTTAGGCCAGCGGAATAGTGTTGTAAGGTGCGCGCGTTTTGGCCAAGCAAAAATAACAACAAAATGGTTTTTTTAACGAGCGCAAGGCAAAAACACAAGTTGAAAACACAATAAAAGCACGCTATAAAGGGCATCTAAACAGCCAAATACTTACAGTATTAACGCGGAGTTGGTAAAGCGAGAGCAGCGTACGCCACAGCCTGCTAAATTAATTATTACACAACAAATAAATCAAAAAAGTGCCACCGACAGTTTCCAATTGGCAGCGTGCGGCCGAAAATAGCTTGTAAACAAAGCGATCGCTAGGAATAGGAATAGGAAAAAGAAGCGCTCAACGTCATTGACCTACAAATTAGTCGTTGTCATTGCCAAGCGAGAATACATTGCAGCCACTTCCCACATTTACATCCCACTAAAGAGCACGTGCATCCCCTACATCCATAATGGCCAGTCGACAAATGACCAACGACCACCTCCACCTTTCCTGGCACGACACCCAAATGATGGCCACCTTAAGCCCGCAGAGCGTCATGGACTACTTCTGTCGCAAATCGAATCCTTTTTACGACCATATGTGCAATAACGAGACTGTTCGGATGCAGCGTCTTGGTCCGGAGCACCTGCAGTAGGTTTCATATCATATTGACAAATGGCAAATTAATTATCCTTCCTCCTCTAGCAACATGATTGGTCTGGAATATATTTTGCTACATGTTGCGGAACCTATTCTCTATGTCATTCGTAAGCAACACCGGCATAACCCTTCGGAGGCTACTCCCATAGCCGACTACTACATCATCGGTGGCACGGTCTACAAGGCACCCGATCTAGCAAACGTCATCAACGCCCGCATAGTATGTATAATCGCTTGGGTAAACAAACTATCTGGTTAATGGCTATTTTTCCAGCTCAACACAGTGGTGAACCTGCAATCTGCATTTGAAGAAGCCAGCAGCTATGCCCGATACCATCCCAACAAGGGATACACTTGGGACTTCTCCTCTAATAAAGTTTGTAAGTATGGAAAACGTGAATGGGAATAGCCAAAATGAGTATTTTTCTCTAACCAAACGTATTTCTAGTGTCTGACAAATCCAAGTCTGATAAGAAGGACGCCAACTCGGCGAAGGATGAGAACAGCGGCACATTGTTTCAGAAGCAGCGCGTGGACATGCTACTTGCGGAACTACTGCGAAAATTTCCCCCACCCATACCACCAATGTTGCAGAATCTCCAGCAGCCGCTGCCATCGGGTGAAGAGTTAAACCCTGCTGGAAACGCCGCAGATATGAACAATGCTACGGGACCACTGGACATCAAAACGGAGGGTGTAGACATGAAACCACCGCCCGAAAAGAAGAGCAAGTGATTTGGTTAATGTGCATTTAAACTGGGAGAGATTAAAGTACATTTAACTTAGACCTAGACTAGGCTACACACGAATCATTTGATTTAATCCTTGGCACTCTGTGCGTCCTTTCCGTCAGCGGACTCCTTCAGTTGGCTCTTTGCATGCACGGTCAGGCTATGATTAGTGAACTCGAGTATGCTCTTGAAGGACTGCTTGCAGATGTGACAGGGCACAGTCTTTGTGGGAGTGCGGTAGACGCCGGCATGTGCCACGTTCTTGGGAACTTTTTTGACCGATGGCGGGGCCATAGATGGGGTCGAATTCAAGGAAGCTGTAAATAAAAAATTATTAAAATATGGGAATGAAAAAGCACCGTTTAAGGGAAATCCGAGTTAGTAAATGCTTTTGCAAGATTTCATTTCGGCGTTTCCATTAAGGAGTGTGCTTGTTGCGTTACTTGAAATATTACCCATTCTTGGAACCGTGCTCATACGATGCTGTGGCTTCGGTGGCATTGGCACTGGTTGAATAATCGCACTGGTAACACCAATTTTTGGCAGCTGGGCCTTTTTCTCATGGTTTAATTCAGTAAACTGCAGTTTGCGCTTTTCGGATGGCGGTATTTTGTCGCAATTCTGCATCAGATGGATATGCAAGGCGCGCTCTAGGGCAAAGTTCTTGTCGCAAAACTTACAGCGGTTCTTCGAGCTGCCCACGACGCTCGGATTAGTATTAAGGCGTTTCAGGGACTTGGGTCCATTATCCGCCAGATCGTGCATACGCATATGTACATCGAGTAGTGACTTCAAGCGGAAGGTAGCTTCGCAATTTTTGCAATTGAAAACCGTGTCTGGAATACTTTTGGCCGGCGGCTTGGCCACTTTTGGGATACTCTTCTGGGGTGATCGGATGCTAGTTACAGTTATCGATTTGCGATTTGTCCCTTTAGAGAGCTTGGAAACTGGTAAGCAGCTACGGCGACTAACTGCCACACCCCCACCTACACTTAGCTTGCGAGCGGGACTATTAAGCGTGGTCTTAACCACAACAGACATACGCTGTTTAAAAGAGTAGGTACGCGTCTCTGCACTGGTGGTGGGCAGATAGGAGCGGCGAGGACGCGGCAGGCTCCCCGAATATGTGGAGGCAATGGACTGCCTCTTTTTGCCTACCTCCACTTTTAATTTGGAGTTCGATGGCTTCACAGCGTCGCTGGAGATCTTCATAGCCTTAGCAATCAGCTCAGTGACTTCGTTTACCACCTCGGTGACTTGCGCTATTTCCTTTTCAGCTGGGGGCGAGACCAGCATGGATACGCCTTCGTTGGAGACTGCAAATAAAGGTGGTAACAGAAGGCGTAACATTTTAATAGTGTATTCTAACCTTCAGTGATGTTTTCCAGCACCACGTTAGCACTTAAAGGATAAACTTGGCTAGGAGCGGGGGTCTTTGGAGCCTCCTGCAATGAGACATTGTCCATAGTAGCATCCCCAGTCTTTAGGGTGTTTGCTTTAACAGTATTGGCAGTTAGGTCGACGGAACTGGACAGCGTTGAGTTATCGCCACCAGTATGATTGTCATCTGGCTGGGTATTCTCCTTGTCTTCGACGTGGGTCAAGTCCATGCACATTACTGGTTGCGAGTCTGTTGACGCATTGTCTTTTGAGGGAGTGGAGCTCAAGGCGTTATGACGGTTAAAAATGCTCTTGTCAAATGGGCGAAGTGGCGAGTTCTGGTCCGGTTCACCGACGGTCAAATGCTGCAGATCTTTCAGGACGGTGCGCCTGAGGTCCTTGTCATCAGGAGCCCTTTCCCCATTGGCTTCTATTTTGCTAGTGTAAACCTCTAGAAACTGGCTGCTCTGAGTGACCATGGCGGACTGCCACTTTGCGCCAGACAAAGTGTCTTCCGCATCGAAGGATAGGTACATTGTGCTCTCATCGTTGGCCATCGATGAAAGACGGGAATCCATCTGAAGGGGTTGAAATGATTATGTTATGTCGTATGTCCGAAATCACTTTCGAAAAATTATATCCCAAGGATGCGGCACCCACAAAAACCACCATGTACTTGCCTTTCCCCCCATCGATCTGCGTGAATTGTCCATGATGGCTTAATATATCTTTGACCAATATGCCACACGGATGATGAAAAAGATTAAACACAATATAAAAATATAACTAGAGCAACTGAAGACCGACGCTGTACCGAAAAAAAACAAAGCGTTAATATTTCAAACACACTTTTCAACACTGCGCGCGCAATAATGATCGCAACGGCGTCGGAAGAAATTACTGGCTTCGAAGTGATAACAAAAATGAAATATTTATTTACAGCATAACTAGAGATGTTATTCAGTAGGGTTTAATGGTAAAATACATATTTTTTTAATCGAATTTTATGATTACTGGTGCTGTAGTTACTAGATCAAAACTATGTTTTTACAATTTAATAAACTTATGACCAAGCACATACTCTTACCAAGGTAAGTGCCTTAGATATGTGTTCAGTTTTGGCCACACTGACAAAATATCACGTCCATCACGGTCACTCTAATTCGCATATGTATACAATTGGCATTTTGTTGTGTGTGAAAAATTAATATATTTGCAAATAAATTATCAAAATCGTGTGAATAAGTTCCTACGTAACAAGCACAATCGAGCTTAACCCCGCCCAATTACATATCCACCGAAGTCGCACATTGAATCAGTTCAAAAGGTCTATTCAGGTTTTGCGACTGTGAGTCACTGTTCAGATTTCCCCACCCAAAAAATAATAAGACAACCGTCTTGCTTCGCAACCACTTGCTAAGCGTATAAGTCGTCTCATCAAATATTCCCGAAATGGCCGCCGTAGAGAATGCCGAACCGCGCACGGAACTGCAGGAGCTGCAGTTTAAGTCAGGTCAGGTGGCTGATGAATCCCTGGAAAGCACGCGCCGAATGCTCAGTCTTATGGATGAGAGCAAGGAAGCGGGAATCCGGACACTAGTGGCTTTGGATGACCAGGGCGAGCAGTTGGATCGGATTGAGGAGGGCATGGACCGAATTAACGCGGACATGAGGGAGGCGGAGAAGAACTTGAGTGGCATGGAAAAGTGCTGTGGCATCTGCGTTCTGCCCTGGAAAAAGGTAAACATCAAGGACGACGGAGAGAGCGCTTGGAAGGCCAATGACGATGGCAAGATCGTTGCCAGCCAACCGCAGAGGGTTATTGATGAGCGGGAGCGCGGCGGAATGGGTGCTCCAGCGCAGTCGGGCTATGTGGCCAGAATCACAAATGATGCACGCGAGGATGAAATGGACGAGAACTTGGGACAAGTCAACTCTATGCTGGGCAATCTGCGCAACATGGCTCTCGACATGGGCTCTGAGCTAGAGAACCAAAATAAACAAGTGGACCGCATCAATGCTAAGGGCGATGCGAACAACATTCGCATGGACGGCGTCAACAAACGCGCCAATAACCTGCTCAAAAGTTAAATATGCACAAAGGACACGTCCCTAATCAATAGTAAACACGATAGCCAGTCACCTCCGCTTCTATCTTGTTAGGGAAACGAACCAATGTTGTGGGCACAAACCGTAGCAGGTGGCATTGCGTTATTTATACCATATATTATATACATATACAAGTAGCCACCAGTAACAGCTCCTGGCAGACACAAGCGTAATAAGACCCATTTACTTACAAGCACTACGAGCTGACGTCTAGCCGGATGAACTAACTACTTTCTACAACTATATATATACGCGATCCAAAATACTAACTACTTACTATTACTACACTCGTGTACAAATGGCAACAACCAGTTGCCGGAAACCATTTATTATGAGATTTACCGTATGATGTACTCTGTTTTTGGTACAAACTTTTTGAGCATTTTACCGAACTTTGTGAAATCAAACCAAGCAACTGCTGAGATGGATAAATGTGAATTGATGTATTTACAATTCGTAGAACCACCGCAACCGCCGGACGCCGAAAACTTAACAAAGACAAGCGGTATCATATCGTAGCCAATTTTATGTTCTCCATTGTTAACCCTTTTTAAGTAGGCCATGTAATCGGGCATTTCGTAAGCCCAATAGTCCAAGCACAGATTCTATTGAATTACTCTAGATTTGCACTCGAACCTCTTTGCTTCTTATACATATATATAAACGTTCATACTTAATCTCCCAGTGAATGTAACCGATTGAGTTTCGTAGCTGTAGATTAAGTACAAAATTGTTGATTGCAATAATCCCAAATATTTAAGAAACTACCTGTTTGTGCGCAAGATATTTCTCGTTAACTATTATATGTATTACGAACGAGTATAGCCAATTGATTAGATAACTTATTTATCGCTACTATTGCCACTTTAGCTTATATTCTTAGCTCTTAACTTGCAATTATTTGAAAATAAATTAATTCACCAGCAAACCGTGTTTATGAATTTATTGCACTTTACAAAAGATTAAGATAAACTGAGAATTTTAGGGCACTCGAAAGTAGTTGCTGGTTGCTATGTAGCCGCTGAAGTCTTCGTCGCAATCTTCGGCCTTGGCGAATTCGATTTCCGGCGCTGCCTCAACGGGAATGTATACAATGCTGCCGCGGGTCAACACGATCTCCTTGTCTCCCTGCTGAGTTTTCAGCTTTAGGGTGCGGGATCCCTTTAGAACTATTAGTATGGAACCGAAGGCTTGAATTTCCAGTTTATACGATTCCAAACTGTGATCAATGTTCACATTAATCACTGCAAAATCGGATACTGGAGGAATATACACCTTGACCTGCTCATCTATGCGATATGGAATGAATTCCTTGCGATCTTTGATAGAACTTTCGAAAATGACAGAGTTCAGCAACTGGTCTACATCCTTGTACTTGGGAGTTAGCCCTGCCCGTATCACATTGTCTGAACAGGCCATACACTCCACGCAGTCGCCGTCTAAGTAGGCGTGGATCTCATTGGCTCCCAGGTAGATCGCCTGGCCAGGCTGCAAGTGGACTAGATTGAGGAAGAACAGCGACAGTACGCCCACATCTCCGGGAAAGTCTTTGTTGATCTTGGTGAAAACCTCTAGAAGATCGTTGGACTTCAATTCTGTTGACAAAAATGTTTTAGAAAGATTAAGAAGATTACTCAGATTGGCTCACCTTTTTGATAATCCTTAGCTATCTCACTGATGCATTTGGCTATCAATGACTCATCCGTTTTCATCAGCTTCTCGTAGCACAGCTTAACGCTTTGACTATCAGGTGATTCGTGGATCTGATTAACAGCTTCATCGCCAATCAGTTTACTTAGTGGTTGGAACTCATCAATGTAGTCCTTGATGTCTTCGGCCGGCAAGAAACCCACTAGGGCCAAAAAGGGCGTGAGGGCGATGGCCAGCTCTGGCTTGTGGTTAGGATCCTTGTATATCTCTGGTCGTTCCTTGTGCAGCCGCTCCGCTTCGCACTTGTTTGGATGAACCTGGATGCTGAGTGCCTTGTTGATGCTCAAAACCTTAAACAGGTAGGAAAGATCTTTTTTCAGCACGCGATCCAATGTCTCGCCGGTTTCCTTGACCACGGACACGCCGCACACATGGGTGCCCATCCACATTTCCGCGTAGGTCTCCTCCTCGTTTAGCCGGAAGTCGGGATCATTGGCCATGGCCAATTGGGCCACAGCCGAGTGGATGCCCTTGCGCCCCCAATCGTAGTTCTTTACCCAACCTGTCAGCTCCATTTCAGCACAGTGTTTTCCTTCCGAATTCCGTACTTCGACTGAGGTCAACCTGAAGGTGATAAGAAAACATATGATTGTTGTGCCTGCGTGGGAGTTTGCCAGTGGTTGAAACACTACTGCAACGCATTTGTTTGCGCATGCGGCGCTATCTGCAATTGGCGGGTTATCAAACCTAAAATAGACACCGGCTCCTGTGATTTTTTAATTTAGGTTTAACTGCCGAAAAAATTAGTAGGACCACACTACTGTTAATTTAAATATCGCTTTCACGTTAGAGATGGGAAAAATGCATAGGCACGAATCACGCAGGAATGGATTTTAAATTGATTTCCATTTTAAATTATTAAATATTTAGATGGTTTATTTAAGTTAACAGAACAATAATATTGAAATATTCACTTTTTATGTATTTAACTGAAATTCAAATAATTTGAACACAATCTTCAATATAACCAATTTATTATATGCACATTTAGCGCCAATTTTGAAAAAAAAAAATGTAGAAAGTTTTCTATAAAAGTTCGAACGTTGGTTCATCTTTAATAAGTCTGTCTGTCATTCATATACAAAAAAAATAAATATTTTATCAAATATTTACTTTTTTGAATATCAGATTACATGTTAATTTATAAAAATTATTTTTCTTTTTATTAGTTTTTTTTACAAACACATCATTAAACTTATAAACATTTGAAAATAGGGTAAGTTTTGTCATTTGGTTTTCACGACCTCACTGTCATCTATTTTGTCAATGACCTGTTTCAAACAGTCCTTTGTCGATGTCTTTTCCAAATCGCAGATGCGTGTCAGGTCCATCGTAGCGATCTGCTCGATCATTTCCTTGATCCTCTCCTGCTTTATAATTGATTTAACAGATTGCCGCAATCCCGGGCGTCCTGGGGTTTTTTGAGTCTGCTCCGTGGAGTCGTTTTCGATTTGTTTGCCCTTGGCTAGGTAGTGCTGCTCGATAATCTTTCGTATTTTCAACTTGGTGGCTGCTCTCGATTTTTTTGTCGCTTGTCCTAATGCAAGGGTTCGCAGCTCCTGGAAGTTTATCTCTTTAGCAGGCGTTTCGATTGCTTCTGCCTCAGCTTCAGCTTCCGGTTCGATGTTCGTTTCCTGTTCTAAGGACATTTCCTCTACAGTTGCCACAATGCCATCGTCATCTTCCAAATCCACTTGTAGAGTGGGTTTAATCTTTGCCTCTTCGCGGACCTTTGGAATATCTTTAACAGGTGGCGAGGGAGTAACTTCCTCAACCGTGGGCACCTTAGTTTTTATCTTTTTCTCCTTCGTTTTTTTTTTCTCCTTTGGTGGCGCTGGTTTCTTTTTAAGTATTCCAATGCAAGGCTTCGTTTTAATTCGCACCGGCAATAGTGAGTTATATTGAATGCCGATGCTGTTGAAACAGTCTACGAACTCTACAGTGTCATACTCATTCTGGAGCGATGCCCACAGTTCCGTGTTTTGCTTGTTTTTCGCCTCCACCAAGAGATGGGTGTACCCCTTTAGATCCGCTTGAGTGTAATTCATTGACTCGTCCTTGCTGTAGGTCCAATCATCGTGTATTTCCATGAAACGAGATACACCACTCTGAGCGGCCAAGTTGGAAATGTGCACGGAAACATTTGGTGATCCAGCCTCCAAGCGATGCAAGCGAGAAAGAGCTGCTCCGCCTGGATAGTTTGTGCCCGAAATGACAAGCAAAAAGATCGTCATTAGCACATTTAACAGAAGATGAGCTCCGCAGGCTAGTGCTAGGAGACTATGCCACGTTGATTTGGCGCTGTTTATCCAACTAAACAAGGAACAAATCAGGAAACAATTTTCAATCTTTTAAATAATATTAAACTTACATGCGTTGGCAGGCGCAAGCCGCTGCAATGTTCAGAACTGGAAACACGTAAATAATGAAACGCAGTTCCTTGTGGGGCAAAATGGAGTACAGCAAGACAAAGAGTAAAGCGGAGAAGGCCAATGGACGAATTCGTGGCTCCAAAATCATGCCTATGGGTAAAAATAGCAGCGATGCACCCATAGCACGCGGCAATGCAGAGTAGAAGTACCAGAGAAAGGGCGATGTGCCCCAGTTGGAGCTCTTGTTGAGTATAGTGTTGTACCACAGCACCTCGCCTTCGGGCCAAAGCAGGCGGCGCCAGAAGAACGAGTCCACCAGAACTGTGGCTGCCAGTATGCAAATACCCGCTGGTAGAGCAATCTTGAGCAGACTATAAATAAACAAATTAGTATTAAATAGTAGGTAAAGATTGATCACCTCACCCGTCAATGGAGAATTTGCGCTGCAGGAGGCTTACCATCAGCAAAAGTCCCAAAAATAAAGCCAACTCGAAGCGAAATACAAGGATAGATATGCCAGAGCAAATGACGAAAGGCCTGTGCTGGTCGCGCAACCAGTAGGCGATAGCAAAGAGCACTGCAAACATCAATCGAATAAAATCGGATACAAAGCATAGGCTACGAAATAGACTTACCCAAGGGCAGGGCAAAAATGTTAGGAAGAGGCCGCGTCATATAGAACATGAAGTGGAACTGCGAAATGGTGATTGCTGTGAACCATAGGCGCACCTCAACGCCGTAGATCTTGGTCACTGCCTGTCGCAGATTATTCCACCCTACGGAGATGGCTCCAGCCAGGACAAGACGCACTATGGAATCATAATCATTTCATATTCGGGAATTATTTGTAGAAACGCTGCTTTTACCTACATATTGGGCCCAGAACTTGTTGATGTTCAGAGTCTCAAAGAGAAGAACGAACGGGGCTGAGATCATTGAAACCACTAGAGGGCCGATGAAGGTGCGGGGTACCACTCCTGGATAGTCATGATGGTCGTACTGGAAATTAGCAATTGATCAGTGAAATGTCAGGAGCTTTATAGAGGCTTTATTTTGCACCTGCGTAAAGTTGTTCCGCAGATACAAAATATCGTGCATGGCCTGCAGATTGAAACTCTCCTCCACTTTCGTAAAGGGCGTGTAAACCAGATGGGCCGCCGCCGTCAGAAACACCAGGACGTCCATCGTGATCCGACCTTTAGGTGTTACCGGTGTTCTATATATACTGGAGCATGAATCAAAGCGTTACATAATGGCCATATTTGTTTTGACACCGATTTCCATATATTATTATTCGTTGAAAAATCTATATCTTTTGTTTAGCCAATGCAATCCAACGACAATTTTAATCCCGGCCGGCGTTGCACAACGTTGATATTTATCAACCTTTCCTTGAGCAAATGTTTTACAGTCTCACAGAAAGTGCCAATGTTTAAGCATATATATATCCTATGCCGAACAGAACTGAATATGTGGTTCCAAAATAAACCAAAATAAATATATAAATAGATCGTTCCACGTCGGAGTCAGAAAAGCCACCACAACAAAAGCAAGAGCAAGAAAAACAACAGGTCGGTGTGTCAGCTGATTGCTATTCACATTGCAACGAATTCCGTTGGAGAATGGGTCGTAATACATGTACTATTTTTTTATATATATAAGAAAAAAGCTTGTCCTTTTCTTGTTAACCTTGTAATGTATTTCAAATTTTTTTTGAATAATAAGTCACATATACAATAAATTTCAAAATTTCCTTCAAAAATATTTCCTGGCTACGTCCTTGAAGTCGGGTAGGCTTTTGCCATTTCACATTCTGCTTAGCTGTTATCGATAGCTCCCCAACTCTACTCTGACTTAACTTTTGAAAATCCAAAGACATTCTCCTTTTCTTTCAATCCTTTAAAGGGATAAGATGTCTAAAATGCGTTTGTTGAAAGAGGAAATTGCTCAGTTTCACGAAAAGTCACTGCCGAAATACGAGGGACTTAATCCGCTTGATCTGTATGTGCTTTACAAAAAGCTACAGATGGAATTGGAACTCATTCAGGTACAGGAGGATTACATTAAGGAGGAGCAGCGAAACCTTAAAAAAGAGTTTATACACGCCCAGGAGGAGGTAAAGCGCATAAAGGCTGTTCCCCTGATCATTGGACAGTTTCTGGAGGCAGTGGATGAAAACAATGGTATAGTGGCCTCCACCACTGGGTCGAATTATTACGTTCGCGTCCTTTCCACCATTGACAGGGAGCAACTTAAGCCATCATCGTCGGTGGCTCTTCACAAGCAGAGTAATTGCCTTGTGGATTTGGTGCCGCCAGAGGCGGATAGTACCATATCGATGCTGTCGCCGGAAGAAAGACCCGATGTCAACTATTCGGACATTGGGGGATTAGACATGCAGAAGCAGGAGATTCGTGAGGCCGTTGAGCTACCTCTGACCCACGCCCAGTTATACAAACAGATTGGTTGGTAAGCCCAATGTATGTTAGTTGTCCCTTCTTATCAGACATTTTTTAGGCATTGATCCGCCGCGTGGCGTGCTTCTTTTTGGACCACCTGGATGCGGTAAAACCATGCTGGCTAAAGCAGTAGCCCATCATACTACTGCCTCTTTCATCCGAGTTGTGGGCTCCGAGTTCGTCCAAAAATATTTAGGTGAAGGACCACGTATGGTGAGGGATCTCTTTCGCCTGGCCAAGCAAAATGCTCCATCAGTCATCTTTATTGATGAAATCGACGCTATTGCAACCAAGCGCTTCGATGCTCAGACTGGTGCGGATCGTGAGGTGCAGCGCATTCTACTGGAGCTGCTCAATCAGATGGATGGCTTTGATGAGACCACTAACATTAAAGTTATTATGGCCACAAATCGTGCCGATACTTTGGATCCAGCTCTACTGCGTCCTGGGCGTTTGGATCGTAAAATTGAGTTTCCCTTGCCGGATCGTCGCCAGAAGCGTCTGGTTTTTACCACAATCACTTCGAAAATGAATGTAGGCGAGGATGTTGACCTGGAGGACATAATTGCACGACCTGATAAGATCTCCAATGCCGACATCAATGCTATTTGTCAGGAGGCTGGAATGCATGCAGTTCGTGAGAATCGTTACGTGGTCAATGCCAAAGATTTTGAGAAGGGTTACAAAACCAGCGTCCGTAAAGACGATGCTCAACATGAGTTCTACAGCTAGATGATTTATTTGGTCAGCCATGTTTGGTATTTGATCTGATATTACAAAAGTATTATTTAATTTAATATATAATCTTGAATATCCCGTAATATATCATTTTGACTTATCTTTTATAAATCTCCATATTTGAATAAAAAGAAGGTGTGGGTAGTTTGGCGGGCGGCTCGAAAGAACCGATAATTTCCGATAACAGAAGGGGTGGTGATGGGGTGGTAGGTTAGATTCGCGCGCGTTTGCATGTGACTGCCAGATCAGCTGTTGGTTCAAAATTTCTTTACAGATTTTGCCGGGTTTCTTTTCAGCATTGTTTTGTTTACTTTCGAAAATTAATTGCCGGCTGCCAAGATGATGCATCTGGAGCGGTATGTGACGAAGATAAAGCCTGCGGTGGAGGGATTCATCAAAGAGCCCAGCAAGGACACACTGTCGTTAGTGGAGCGCGAAATCGAGGGATTCAACTTTGGAGAAATGCGCATTTACCAGGTCCAAACGGTAGTACCACTGGTTCTCAAACTGGACGAGCTTACCGGGTAAGTGACTCTATATTAAATGCAATTTCCCTCTCAAACTCTCATGCTTTCTGCAGGGAAAACCAGGAACTGCGTACCACCTTGATGAACTGTCTAAGCCGCATTATCTCTCAAACATACCTGGTGGATGAAAAGGGCCTGCGTTCCATCCTTGTGGTGGTGCTGCAACAGGTTCGCGAACCCAAGACGGCTGTCATGCGACCAAATCTTTCCGAAGAAATCAAACTGGCTGCAATTCAGTGCATATTCGAGGCACTGCGTCGTTCAACCACCGATGTTATAGAGTCTTTCTACGTTAAGGAGACAGCGATGGTTGTTGGTCAGATACTGATTATGCTCCTAGAGATTATTGAGCAGGAAAAGTATCGAAAACTAGTACAATCAGCCATTGAGTGTCTTATGCTAGCGTTCTACGTTCACGACGATTCCGATCACGTCGATGTGGTGCTGCGCGCCCAGGTAGCAAATACCATTTTCATTTTCTTACCCAAGGTGCTTATTGTTCTGTTTAAAACATCACTAAAAGATGAAAAGGTCGGCGAGACCATTAAATCGGTGAGTGCATCTTAAGTCATGTCGCGGATAATATGCAATGTTAAACACCTTTATATTTAGTTGGCCATTAAAGCCCTCGGACGTATCATTTGCATCATGTTTGAGGAAACCACTGAAGAGTTCATGAAAATGCGATACGATGTAGATGCATTTCGAAAACTATTCAAAAACTCCAGGGACAATCTCGCTGAGCAATGTGATTTCACCTTTTTCGGCAGCAAAAAGGCCACCACCGAACAGAATGAAGAGCGGCTGCATCAAATGCAAACGGAACTTCGATCGATTCAGTGGGTGGCGGCCACGTCGCGACGACTCCGCCCCATTTTCGTAGAGACCAGTATTCTACGGGCACACACTGCGCTTAGGGTTAGAGAAAGCTACTCCGATATGTGCTGCCTACTACTTAAGCATTGTGCCCACAATTTGAGAGGAAACTTTGTCCATGTACTGGAAAGCGTACTGGCTCTGTCTGAGGACGAAAACGAAAAAATAGCCCTGCGGTGTAGAGAAACTTTGGTTACTTTGCAGCAACAGCCCAGCAGCCAGGGTATATTCGATGAGAATGCTGAAATGCTGCTGGATGCGCACCTAAACAAATGGCCACGCATCCTGCACCGATGCGAGGATAATGAACAGTTCGCAGAGCTACTTTTTTTCAAAGGCTTCCTACGCAACATCAATACTGATAAATTGCAGTTGTTATTGCTGGTTCCCAAAAATCTAGAGATGTTCGTCACCTGTCTGCTTACAGCTCTAGACCAACGAACCACAAGGGACCTACTAAACGAGGAATATTCCCTCCGTCGCATTCGAGTAGGGGATTCTAAAGGCTTAGCCGCCGAACTGGCCAAGCTGCCATGGCGACAGTTCAAACATCTCGCATCAAAGCGCACCGTAGACATCCTATATGACATTGCAGCTCTTTTAGGGGCTCAGCCATCTTTAAATCGTCTCATTTTCGATTACTGTCAAGAACTTATCCAGCAACGGTCGTCTTCTATGAACGAGTGTGTACTACTTCTTACTCTGATGGTCACGCCTCAGGAGAAAACGGCTCGGGAAAGTCGGTTGGTGCTTGCTAATCTACTGCTGCACCAGATCCTTCGGGACGAGCATTGGAACCTAGCACTTCAGCCGGACTCGGCGTGGCGCCTGAAGGTTCACAAGGTGAGTCTGGGTCATCGAATTTGAACAACCTACAGCACTATTCTTATTTAGCCCACCTATTGGTTCGAGGAACGTACTCCTGGTCTTTATTCATCGGCAGTGGAAGTGCGAACCCAAGACTGCGATTCAGACGATGAGCAGACGGAGGTTGTTGCAAATCGGGTAACCATAGCAGACGCTCAGTTTAATGTTCTGCACACCTGCTTAATATTAGATGCAGTGGGGCACTGTGCCAAGTTTATTGGGGATACCTTTGACAGACATATATTTTCGAGTCTGCATAAAGTGCTCCTTAAAGTAGCGAGCAGTAACACTATTGTTCATCAGGCGGCCAGTTTCGCGTTCGTTTCCATGCAGTTAGCTCTTAGATACGCGGAACCTTCACATTTTATCGAGTGCTCGACGGACTACATTTCTTTCCACCTTAATGCGTTGCTAAAACGGTCGCCGGAGAGTACCGCAGCCGTGGACATTCTAACCGTCGTCCTGCAGTATAGCACTCGGGGTAATGTGCCCCACTTGGACAGCTTATTCCAAACCATACGCGAGGAGTGCTCCAAAACACATCAGTCGTCCAATGTGCACTCTTATTTACGCGTCTTTAAAGCATTCCTAAATCATGTGACTAAATGGCAAGTAGATGCAGCGGTAGAGGTTAATGCAGAGCTGCCGATGCAAGTGGATGAGGAGCAAAGTGTGCTGAATACGTGGATGAGTGTACTTAATAAACCGCAGATTTTAGAAGATCTAAATGGCGACGCAGAAATGACAGAAGACCCAGCGAAAGATGACACCGAAGATGATGATGACACAGAACCGAAACCCACAAAACCTGTTTTACCACGCCACGTGGAAATGGTTAAGGATATATTAGGTCAAGTAATTAAATTTATCTCCACCGCTGACCAGGGCCAGCAGATCGCAGCTCTTGAATGCTTCTCCAGTGGCTTGCCATTGCTGGCAGACTATGAGGACGAGCTCTTACCATTGGTGCATCTAGTGTGGCAACCGCTCGTAGAAAAGTTCCGGCAAAAAGACGCACTGGTAATAAATCGTTGTTTCACGTTATTGCACTTGCTGGGCGTCCACGCCAAAGACTTTATTTTTAAACGAAGCCTTAGGTAAGTGTCTGTTTCAGAAGCGACTGTATCTTCTTATAACGTTATCATTGTTATTTCCAGCGATGTGATACCTCAATTGAAGCAGTTCCTCAAAGCGGCTAGCGTGCACAGCAGTATGGAAACCTCCCAAGTCAAGACTCAGGAGTACAAACTACAGCTAAAGCTCCTTCAGAGCCTGGCGGACTTTATACTCGGCTTGCAGATAGACGGAAAACATCTGCACGAGCTGATGAGCACTGTTGTGCTTTACCTGTCGCAGGCACAGCCGCAAGATCTACAAACGCCTGCTAGGGAGTTTTTCCTTAAGCTGGTTCCATATAATGGACCATTTGTCTATGTGACGCTACTGCAGCGTGCACATCTAAAGGATTACCAGGCTAACGTTAGCCAGATTTTCGGCTGCATGGGCTTCGAAATAGGTAGTGGACTCGACCTTGATTAATAAAGAACAGACCGTGTTTATTATTTCACAATTGCTCTATTCTGATTTCTGTTCACTCGATTAACATTACAGACTCTAATGCTAGGTGTCTTTTTTATGCATTTTCGGATACTTTGATCAGATACATACTGGTTACTTATATCAGAAGAGTAGTTTTTGGATTGAAAAAATTGAAGGTTTAATATTGAGGTATCTAACTTGAATAGTTTTATTTAAATGACTTTTTATAATATAAACAAGGCAAGGGTTGAACAAAACTGTTTTTATACACAAATTAAGCGTTTGGAACAAACAAAAATGAAGTAGAATTTTATATATGTACTCGTATATTATGATTTGGTAGCCATAACTAAATGCTATGCATAAACAAACATTTTCTTTCAATTTTCACTTACAAGTGGTACCGCAGATGCTTGGCACCGATAAAACTTAGCATCCGACTTCTAAAGCCACTATACACTATAACATTTCGTTCTGTATCAAATATAGCTGAATTTATAAAATGATTGCTGTTCTGTATTTGTGATTCTGATCCTATCAACGCTCTCTTCTCGTCCTACGTCTTATTGACTCGCAATACTCGTACTTAAGTAGTGAAGCAGCTCGCAGTGTGCATAAAGTCTATTGAGCATCTCCAAATCCTATTCCTCTCTTTTGATCGTTTCAAGCTGGGCTGCTCTGCGGTTGTGGGTTCTCAAGCTGTTTGTAAATTTGTATGTGGTGTGTGGGAGTATGTTTAGCTACTGAAGTTAATTGGAAACTGACTACGCCAGCCAGTTCATTAGACTGTTAGCATATGCCATGGGCTTGACGTCGGGGTGTGGCTAAAAAGATTGCGATTACTATTTGGCCTTAGGACCGTTTTTTTTAATGTTCTTACCACAGCCTCGAATGATTTGTAATTTGGTTTCAAATTGTTACCCGTAATAGTAATAAATGCGCCCATGTTGCCCATAGTATCACTGCAAAAAATAACGTTTTATCTTGTGTTTTACAGTTCAAATATGAATTCTTACCAATAGTTCGGAGCTGAGAAGACTGTTATGCATTGACCGTTATGGGCAACTTCATAGCCCATATCCTTAACCTCGTGGCTTCTTATGATGTAGTCCAAGTTATTGTTCTTGCAGAATGTCTCAGTAACGTCTGGACCGAATTGAATACCCACTCCGCGCTTGGACGGCCCTCGGCCCATCCATTGCTGGGGATCGGACCACAGCAGTTCGCACATAAGACCTTCCTCGGGCGGCTGGCAATTTCGCTCGATACGCCGTATATTGTCTAGGGTCACATTGTCCGTGGAGAAGAGTCCGCCGTGCATCACTAGGATTTTCTGGTTGATGCAGTGGCAAAGCGGCAGCCAGTTGAACACCTGAGTAAATATGTCCGCCATAGCGCTGGTGTACTTGGCTGTGACCTCACCAGTAAAACCGTACATTTGGTTCATGTTGATGCTTTCGTGGTTACCTAGAAAAAATTTGATTTTGTCTCTTCATTAAATTAACATCTTAATAAAAAAAATATTACCTCGCGACAAGAAGAAGTGATTGGGATACAGCAACTTGAAGCCGAACAATGTGAATATACACTCGACGGAAAAGGAGCCCCTGTCTACAAAATCACCATTAAACAGATAAGGATTTTTCTCGGAGGGCAGGCCATTAATCTCAAAGATGTTCATTAGGTCATAGAATTGACCGTGAATATCACCGCAAATCGTGAACTTCTCTTCATCCGGCACAGTGATGTCCACGAGGGAGGGTTGAGCACGCATGTACGTATCGATCTCACAAAGTATCTGGAGAAAGTATATTATTTAAACCGTTTTGGGTTCGAGGCTTACACGCTTACTTTGTAGGCAAATTTCCGGTGCAATCGTTTTTGCCCCTTGTAATGCTCCATCAAGTCCTTCATGAACTTCAGAGTCACCTTGCCATCCTCCAACTGTGGTCCCTTGTAGTCGTCCTCAATAGCTGAAAGATTAAAAAAGGCAAGATTTATATCTCCATGTTCTGAGAGGTCGGTAAGCTACATACTTATGTTCTCCATGTCCCTATACATCTCAGAGAGCGTCTTTTCAGGCTTATCCACGGCAATTGCTCGCTCGAAGGCGCGCATTTTGACTATCTTGTTACACTCGGTGAACTTCAGCTTGGCGTCTTTGTCGTTAGGTCGGCATTTGGCAACCTAAAATTAATCCAACGTCTAGTGGATGTCCCAATATTCTGGCGGGGTTTACTTACGAATTCAAAGTCGCATAGGGCCTGCTTGAACTTTCCCAGTGACATGTGAGCTGCTGCCCGGCGATAGTAACCCTTCAGGTAGGCGGGATCTGCCTTCACTGCCGAAACGCCATCTTGCAGTGCGAAACCAAAGCTTTCCTGGCGTAAATGCGCCAAGGATCGATTAGCGTAATATATCGCGCTATTGGGATGCAGTTCTATGGCTTTGGTGTACATGTCGATGGCTTTGGAGAACTCCTTGGCTGTGGAGAGAGACCCAAAGTGTGAGTAAGAGTACTAATTATACCCCCATGAGTTCCGGGAGACTTGTAAATTATCACACACATCCATAGTTTGCCTTTGTTTTAAGGTTAGGTCGAAAAGGGCACTTGGTAAGTGCAGTCCCTAAATGCGTTATGTGTGACACGCAGTCTACTTATTGTGGTCATAATGACTTAAGTGGCGAGCAAAGGTACTTACTTTTGAGCATATCATTTCCCTGATTTTTGTATTGCTCCGCCGCGGCAAAATCGCGTTCCGCCTTCGTTCTGGCATCTGAATCCGCATCCGGCTCTTTGGTGCCCGCAATCTCTGCACCCGCCGGCACATGCTGCTCCTGCTGGCCATCGGCAGCCTTTTGTATTTCCAGCTCAGACGAAGACATCTTTTTTGTTGTAATAAATGATTTTCTTAAAGTTATTTACTGTCTGAAAATGTTCAAGGCAGTGTTACCAGGTGGTGAAATGACTCTTCCCCAAACGCTCTAAAAAATCCTGATTACCTCCAAAATTTAAAATAGCGTTTCAATTCAATCGCATGCATTAAAAAAGAAAAGTATTATAATTAAGTTATGGATCTAGGATCAATCTTCAAAAAATATAAAAAAAAAAATGGAAAGTATTTTAGAATTTTTAAGATTTTAAAACGCGGTGTCAAATAATCAAAATATAAAAAAAAGTGGCAAACAAAATTTTTAAAAATCAGGATAAGTTATTAAACTGAGTTTTCTTGCAATTAATTATTTAAAATTTAAGCAGGTGCGGCTTATCGATAACAAGCGTGTGGGTGGTTATCGGTAATCAGCTGCTTTGAGGTAGGTTAACACAAGAGATGCTTTTGTGATTTCAATTTGTCGTGTCACGACAGTTAAACGGATTACATTAACCGGTGAATTTAAATACTTCCTTCTTAAATACCTAATCACCCAGAACAACTAGCCAAATTGTTTACCGATAAAAATGGCTTTAAATAACAGATTATAGTCTTACACCCAAGGAGTAGATATGAGCTAAAATTTTTACCGGGGGCACTCTTGCGCTCTGCATCCAGCATTCGTGCTCGTCGTGAAGAACATTCACTTGTGTGCGCATCTCTAGCATACAAAGCCGAGCTGTGGGAAAAATTAGAAGCGGAAACGGGTTTTACTTTTACTGGTAACTTTGGAGCACAGCGCTCGCCAGCAATTTGGACGGCAGTCTGGAGTTGCAGCCGCATCGAAACAAACCGATTCCAGAATCACAATCCGTGCCACCGAATCGCTAAATTTAACTATAAACTTGATAGAGGAATTGCGAGGGCGTCACCGTCGTGGGAAACAGCAATATAAACAAACATCAGCGGGATGTCGATGAGCAATTTATCAATTGACGGCGAGTTCCGCTACATTATTCAGTGGTTCAATGAGTGGAGCGAGCTGCAACGGGATGACTTTGTCTACGTTTTTGTGGAGTACCTGGCTCGGGGCTCCAGTGGTAGCTCTAGCGACGTCCATGTAAATGGCTTGGTCAACTCGCTGGCCAACTCAGCCGTACAGGACAAGCCTATGAGCCTGTTTCAGTGCCGCGTAAGTAAAAGAAAGTTCCGTTTCTCATTCCCCCTTCTCATGGTTCATTGTCCGCAGATTAAGCTGTTTCGTGAATGGAGCCCCAAGTGGCCGATCGAGTTCAAATGCAAGCTGCAAGAGAAGATCAGCGAGATCGACGCAAAGGTGGGGGAGAAGATCATCAATGAGCTGCGGGGGCCCCATTCCGTGCACAATGGCGAGGTAGCTGTGCATTTAAATGCAAATGGGACGAGCGAAGAGGGCGGGGACTCCGAACTAGAGCATGCATTGGTAGAGGTGGCAGAAGTGGTAGAGGTCGCAGTGCCAGTGGCAATGGAAGAGGCTGAGCCAGCTCCCGAAGTTGATGACAATCGCTTGGCGGCGGTATTAGGCCAAGAGACCCCCGTTGATGACGACGACGTGGAAGAGCCAACCAGCGAAGATAGCAATATCCATGCCGATGTAAATGGCCATTATCCAGCGGCTGGAGTGACAACGATTGCGGTGAATACATCTCCATCACCATCCCCGACTCCGCAGCCGATTGTCGAACCTGTAGAACAGGTCGAGAATAGCGTTACAGTCACTGTGGCCTCTGCAGAGGTTCCCCCGGTGGCTTAGCTCGGCACGATCGTTAATAACAAACCAGATCGACTATAAAAAGACCTAATGAGTAGTTAAGTATTTTAGTTGTACATCATCGGCAACTTGACATTCCACGCGATGCATTTCTAGTTACGTAAGCCAATCTCTGAGCCCATAACTAGGCTTGGCCACTAAGTAAGACTTTGTTCGCGTTTTTTAGCCCTTCATCCCGTTCACCTATCGACTAACCTAAGAGCATAATCTGTAAAGTAAGCCTCAATAATACACGAAAGAGAGTTTCATATACTAAACTGTGTCCTGTTCCTATTTCTCGACTTTAGCTTTAGTGTGGCAGACTAGCTTAAACATGTTTTGCACTGAGCTGTTCTGGCTGCTAGTCGGTTACTCAGCTAGCCGGCAATGTCGTTGCTCTTCGTCTGCTGCGGCTGCTCTTTGGCTTTGGCCCAAACTGACTTTACGGCCTGATAATTGGTTTTTTTCGAGCTCTCTTTTTGTTTTGATTCGTCGCCGCTGAAATCGAAATCTGAATAGAGCTGGATGTGGAAGTAAGATATGCATGCTAGCTCGGAGATTGAACCAATTTATTTCAATTTCGCACTTGGACGGGCGACGTTGTGGTAGCGGCTACCCAACTTCTGATTTTATCGTTCGAAATGCGTCTCCTGGTAATCGTCACCCTGTTATTCTACATCCTTTGGCCGAGTGGTGAGTATCCTGGGGGTTCTCCAAGTAACGAAAGACTGAAGAAACGAACGTTGAATAGTAGGGGGTAATTAAAGAACAACCCGCTAAGTAGGTCAAGGTCGGTGACTAGAAATTCCCATCGGCAAAGCGAAGGGCAATAAACCGCGCGAACGATGGCGAACGCCGAACCGAAAAAAGTAAGTGAGTAATTGCCGGGGGCACTTCTGGTTTTCTGGCTTGCGATTGTGTTGCCGACATTGACCTTCGAGAAGTGATTTCTTGCCTTGTCATCCAGCCAGTCCGCTCTTATTTTAGGGGATCGTCAAGTTTCCGCCTGCCACTGCATCCGCTTGGCCAAATGTACAACCTTTGCCCGCCTCCTGCTCCATCATGGCCCTGGGGAGCAGTCCGCCATATTCGCCAAAGTGCATGACGCCAGCTGTGGTTTTCAGGGCCTCGAGCTACTCGTGTGCTGCCCGACATCTCGCAAGCAAAACCCCGATGAGTCATCTACGCCCAAGCCAAGTCGTAAGATGCGTTTTGCTCCGCCTGGTGATCGCTGGATTTGGGAAGATGAGGACGATAGCAAGGGCAGCCGGCACTCCCACTCTGATTATCTGCTTGCGGAGGCTGATCTGCACGACTACTGGAACTTTGAGGAGCAACGTAACTGCCCGCAGCCCTTGGAACCAGAATTCTTCGATGGCCGATTTGATAGAGGACACCATTTTCAATATCATATAGATCATGGTGAGCAGGAAATATCTCCGCGCCCCATCCCCAAGGACAAGCCTATTGTGTTTCCCGGTGACCTACGCTTCCTGCGGCATGGAGAGGAAGATTTAATATCTAACTTCCAGCAAGGTCCTCCCCTGGCACCGTTTACCACAACTCTACCCACAACAATAGCAACAAACACTGCTTCAATCTCCAAAGCCACCACACCTATACCTCAAACCATTCAACAAAGCACGCAGGTTTGCGGAATAAGTCTGGAGAGTCGTCTGCTGGGAGGAGAGCAAGCCTCTGCTGGACAGTATCCGTGGCTGGCCAGGATCGCCTATCGAAACCGAAGTGAGTACATCTTAGTAAATATATTAAATACGCAATTTTGAATTTAATATACCCTCCCGCAATCAAAGCAACGCTGTTGAATCATCTTAACTCCGCCTTGGGGATCTTACCCTGGTTCAATCCTGTCCTTTGTAGGTTCATCCAATTTCACTGGCCACGATTCCCATTTTTATTGTAAGGTAGACACCGAAGGCAAAAAGCAGAGCACCTAGTCCCAATGCCATTGGACCTCTATTGTTTGGTGGCGCTTTTAAGCCCAAAGGTCCTCCGGGTCCACCGTTGCCTCCGGGTCCACCTTTGCCTCCGGGCCCACCTTTGCCTCCGGGTCCATCTTTGCCTTTTGACCCATCTTTTCCTCCGGGGCCACCCTTTCCTCCAGGGCCCCCCTTACCGCATTTATTGCACTTTGTCCCACCGCAAGGCTTGGGACCACAAGTACCACGTTTCTCAGAACCAGATTTAGGACCAGCACCGTTCCCAGCACCGCCGCCTATCCCACCACCTGGAACTGGAGCTGGACAAGATGGGGAGTCATTGCTCTGAGATGGTAGACTCCCTCCGGTACAGGGACACGGGCACATATTAAATTGGGAACAGTAGCTGTAAAGCAAGAACATTTTTAATCCTTACGAGTTATTACGAAATTATTTTCAGGCAGCAGCCGCAGTAGCTTCCGCTGCTCCGGTTCCCTGATCTCCAGCAACTATATCGTCACTGCCGCTCATTGTGTGATCAACCTGGTTAGCGATTTGGAACTGTAAGTTATAAACACAATTTACTCTATTCTAAGACGAACTTTCGCGCAGATCTCATGTTCAATTGGGGAATGAAGATGGGTTGAACACTTATGCCATTGAGCGAGTACTGGTCCACCCTAACTACGATCAGCCCAGATATGCAAACGACATTGCCCTTTTGAGAATCAATAGCACGGATGGTAAGAGTTTCTTGACCTTCCTTTACTTTATATGTTTTTGATAACAGTTTTGAACTCTCTATTTTCCAGGAGCCCTTACACCCATATGCTTACCCTTAAACGGATCAACCACCCTCGGAAACAGGCTGATAGGTCAAACGGGAGTTGCTGCCGGTTGGAGTACAGGGAATCCAGAAAGTAAGTCTCGAAACAATTTTTTAGCGTATATATCTGGACGATTGAACTTTTCAACTGACTATCGATCAAAGTGAATCCTAAACGTCGCTTACTACGGAATAAAGCTGTAAACCTAATATTTTATTTTTGCAGATAATGCCTCAATGTCTCCTTCAAACTCCTCCGCCGGAGTGCGCTTTATCCGCTTACCCATAGTGAACACCACTAGCTGCGCTATCGCCTATGCTAGTCTCAGCGAGAACTTCCAACAGCCCATTGTAATCACCCCGAATCACCTGTGCGCTCAAGGAATGCCGATGAACGATGTGTGCCGCGGAGATAGTGGCGGACCATTTATGGATGACGGAACCTCGGGTCTGTTTGGAATAAGTGGACGCCACACTCTTATCGGCATCGTGGCCTTTGGACCTACGCTGTGCGGAGTAACCACAATACCGGGAGTGTACACCCTAGTGAGTAGCTTCTCCGATTGGATCATCCGTAGCGTTAACGGAGGGACGGACATGTGAGCAGTTTTGTTGGGAATTCAACCCAAGCAAAGCTCACCCAAAGTTCTCAATGCCAAAGTCTTCACAGTACATCCAAATAAATAAAACCATGAATCATACACCACGGATCAATGAAAAGAGTTCAACTTCCTATTCAAATCACCGCAAGGCTAATAAAATTTACATTCATAGCATTTAAATTCATGGATTTTGTATTCTTACGGGTTGCTTTTACATATTGTAAAGTAATTTAACAATTTTAAACGACAACGAGCTTAGAAAAATCATTTATATATTTTTTTTGAATTTTTCATTTACGCAAGGTAAGAAAATTGATTACTACTACCAGAATCGTATTATGAAAGTTCCAATGACTTTTGTAAAATGTATTTTTTTTTTATGTACATTCGTTGCGGGTCGAATTCAAAATTCTAGGCACGTTTTAATTATGTTGGTGAAATGTGAAACTAGCCTGTTGCATTTAATTTGGAACTCCCTTCTATTTGCTAAAGAAAAACAATATTTTTGGCATTTAATAAATTTGTATTAATTTTAATCCTTTATTCCTAGATTAGCATCATTTATTTCCACGAACTTCATTTACCATATAATGAAGCTGCAATAGAAACAGATGGTCTTATATTAAAGCAACTGTCATAGCTAATTTTATTTATAGGATGAACACGATGAGATTTTTGAAAAAGTAAACATTTTAAGCTATTTATTTTTGTATTTTAATCTAAGACTGACAAAATCAATCAATTATATTTGCGTTTAAACAGATTACAAATCTTGCTTGAAACGAAAGTAATAAAATGCTCTATTAGAGCTCTTTTCACGGTTTGAGAAAAGAAAATGTCATGCATGCGGTAAACTTTAGTTTACTTACACTTATCCAAGTGTTCTTCGTCGTCTGGCTCTTCAAAAAAACTGTCGTCCATTACGTTGTCGTCCCCCATTTTCGCAAAGTTCATGTTCTCCAAGTTCTTCAGCTCGACCTCCAATTCTTCTCGCCTACATTCTATGAAGACATCTGCTTCAATTTTGCTTTGACTCAACAGCTTTTCCGTTCGAGTGGAATGATGTTTTGGCTTAAAGAAGAGGTGTGGTTTCGTTTTGGTTCTTATGTTATTTTGAGCAAACGACATGGTCGCTTCCCAGGCTTTGAAATCCCTCATCCTAGCCATTTTGTACTCCAATCTTCGAATCTCGAACTGTTTTTTTTTTCTGTCTAGAAATAAAGTTTCTCGCTGTTTTCTCAGCAGGGCTCTTTCCTGGAGTTCTTGTTTTTCGACCTTCCTATCGATCTCTGCCTTCTTATCCTCTTTGCTCTTCAGGCGCGACTCCTCCTGACAGAACTTTTGTAGAGTTCCCAGCAGTGATCCAAACATACGGCGATTCCGGGCTCTCGACTCAGAATCAGTTCCTTGCGCCTCAACAACCTCCTTTTTGGTTGGCATTTCTCTGATAACACGGGAGTTAATTCTTGGAGGCCGACTGTCGTTCTCCTCTATGGGAAAGCGGGGATTGGGGTTTTTGCTTTCGTACACCCGCCGCTTGTCTTTGAAGACCCCACCTGGGCCATTCCGAGGAAACGGTCGCTCACCGTTGTGATCGTTCTTCTTGCCATCTTGGGTGTACTTAAACTTTTCCGATCTGAAAAGGATTATAATTAGTTAAATTTGTGACCACTATCTTTGATCCTTACCTTTGCTGGGAATCTTTGGGGACGCGACCAGCAATGCGGCGAATGTTTTCATTTAGAATCAACAGCGACTGCTTGGCCGAGTTCAGTTTTTGCTCCAAGTCATCGACAGTCGAAAGACCCGAGTCATTCACCATAGTTCCAACGTATTTCTTCTTAATTTAATTAAATATCTTATTTTATTCGGTTTAATTCGATTTCCATAGAAGTAAAAAACAAGATTTCGGTATAATAATGTTACCAGATGGTGAAATCGAAAATAATGGTACGACACTATTTTTAAAATTCCAGGGAAAACAGAAAATGTATAACGATAAAAAAAGAGGTCACACTGGGAGGATAAAAACGATATAATTAATCGATAAGTATATTTGTCTAGGGTATCGATAGAACCATGGATTAGAAATTAAAGAATTGGGTTAGACTACATTTCTCGAATTTTATTATTATTAATTTTTCGTTAATGGTATTTTGATTAATTAATGGTATTGCCATTGTTATTATGATACAACAAATTTGAAATAACCGTTCGTTAAGGAGAATACGGATGCTTTCAAAGTTTTTATAACGGTTTTTTCCTAATAGGTAATATGAAAAATTGAATTTTAGAAGATTAAAATTGGATAATTAAATAATATTTAAAAACAAATAAATTCTTATGTTGTTTTTAAGCTAGCAACATAAATAAAAGGAACGTTTATATTTTTTATATTTAAGAAAGTTTTATTATCTAGATACTCCTTCAAGCCTCATAAGCTTAGACTTTATCCCCCTTCTTGAACTACTTCACCGTCCAAGAACTGCCAGATATCAGTACTCGTAGGTGAAATGAAACTAGATACATTGGGCGGACTTCAGTTTTAGTTTCTTTGTCCGGCAAAAAGGATAAGACGTTCATCTGAGCGAGAGGGTTCGAGAGAACCGATGCAGCTGTCCGCCCGGAGAGCTTTCACTGTATATGTACTTTCACGTACATTATAAGGTCGGACCTGCACGCCTCCGTGCCTTTTGAGATTGTTTTTAAAATAGATTTCTTTCGGCTATATAAGGTTATCTATGATGTGAAGTGAACAGATAAACGATTGTGTGTACGTAACAATAAGTGGTCGCTCCTAAATAATTCATACTGAAATTCAACTTTTTGAAGCCGACCAATTCCCAGTTATATTTAGAAAAAAAAGGACGATTTTATTAAAAGAGACAAGCGGATGCACGTACATACACATGTACAAAGGTCATAGTTGCAATGTTTACATCAAAAGCTTCTTTCGAAACGCATGCGCCCGCCGACAAGCTTTTTAGCCCAGGTTTGCAGGTGTAGTGCGATGGAATTTCGACGTGTTAGTTTCGCATCGCGGCTAGAAAAGTAATATAACTTTTTGCCAGTGCTCGTTATTTTCCTTCTTGGGTTTTTATTCAAAAAAAGAATCCACTAAATTTTGGAAACAGAGAGTTCATATTATTTTTGTGTACCCCCAATCGAAATCCTGCGAACGTGCGCATATGAAAATAAGCAAATAGTAAAATGTATCTTGGAATTTTGGCAAACATATACAAGTGCATAGGAAAAGACATACGAGCATACATACTCACTCGTTCATTAAATAAAATCAAATCCGTGACCATTGAAAAAGTCGGCAATATCTAGTTTATAAATTTTCAGTGCTTAGTGAAATATTATTTAATTGACCATACTTAAGGAATACTTCATAAACTTAGGTATACGCAACTACTGCAAAATATATAAACCTATGTGTTATACATACAATGTTATATCCCGTGTAGATGTGTAATTGAGTGTTCATACATAAGTGTTGGTGCGCTCATCTTCCGTGAAAATTCAGATGATAAAATGTAACTTCTTACTCAATTAAACATACCAATCCGAAATAGTGGAAAACTCAACTTAATAATGATATCAAACAAATAAAAGTTATTGATAACTAACCATTGTTATTTGAAAAAAAGTATACAACATGGAGTTATTGCTAATATTTATGTTAGCACTTCAACTTATAGAATCCAGCATCGGAAGTAAAGATGGTAAGTCATAATCATTATTATACCTAATGCTAGTAGGAGAAGGTGAGCCATTTCCTCATGTCTAGCAGATTAAATAACAAATAAAGCAGGACTTAATCTGAATTAATGTATACTTAAAATGAAACTTAAATAAAAGTATTTTAATGTTAATCATATATAATAAGTTCTTAAAACAATGTACTAATATTTAGTTTAAGACAAGTTAAAACCAGTCAAATATTTGTATTTAATTTTTTTGCAGTACCAATTCACCAAATCGAATCTCTGGTTGGTGAAAATATTTATCTTCCTTGTAATGTAACAACCTATGATGGTGATGAACCTGTGTTGGTTCTTTGGTACAGAGATGATAAAGGTACCCCCATATATAGGTAAATATTCAAATTTGTAAAAAAATAGTGTAAGATGTGACCTCTTGAGTTAGTTCTTAAACAACAAATTTTAACTCTTTAGCATCGACATTCGAGCGGGAGTGTCCAAAGCACCAAAAAGATGGTCAGACGATTCAGTCTTCGGAGATAGGGCTTATTTTATATTTGACAAGGAACCGGGAAAGCTGTCAATTCAAAATACGCAAGCATCCGATTCGGGAACATATAGATGCCGAGTAGATTTTCTAAAAGCGCAGACCATAAATAGCCGCATTAGGCTCAATGTCATATGTGAGTAATGGATTTTGTAACCATTTATGCAACAATTTTAGTTATGTATCAAAGCTATGATTAAATTGATTTACTCCTTGGTAATTTTAAAGATGATAACTATAACTTATCACCATATTTTCCCTAGCTCCACCAAAGCAAGTTATCATACGAGATAGCTCTAATGTTGAGCGTTCTACGGTTGTGGGACCATATAGCGAAGGCGATATAGTATCCCTAAAATGTCAAGTAATTGGAGGTAAAATCAAAAAATGTTTAATACCTACTTCGATCCTAACACTTATCAACTGTACTCCTTTTTATGTTTTATTCGTAAATATATTCAGGTTATCCTACTCCCACTATCAGCTGGTATCGCGATGGCCTAGAAATACCATGTGAATTAGCTCATTTAGCAGGAGGTAAAATAATCGAATGCGAAATTACACTACCATCGCTGGGCAGAGAAGATCTTAACTCCCGACTTACCTGCCGGGCATTAAGCCATCCCAGAGCACCCATCGTCGAAGCAGTGGTTCAAATTGATATGAATTGTAAGTTTTTGAAATAAATTTTAACTTCTTAATTAAAACTGTATACATTAAGCAAGAGTTAAACAAAAATCAATACATAAACGTTCTCTGTACCTTGTAGTTGCCCCTTTAAATATCCGACTCCTAGGGGCACATCAGCCATTGTCTGCTGGTCGAAGATACGATCTATTGTGCCAAAGTGCTGGCTCCAGACCGCCTGCCGTAATTACTTGGTGGCAAAATGGGATACGGCTGGAAAAGACCACAGAAACTGTAAGTATTTTGTGTCCAGCTATAATAAACAGAATAGAATGGTTTATACCCTTAATTCAACTATCCTGCAGACTTCTAGTGATGGCAACCAGACGACAAGCACTCTCTCAATCAGTCTCAGTAAATCTGATGCGGGGAAGTATTTATCCTGTAAGGCCTACAACCATGCTGTTCCCTCCGAGCCCTTGGAAGATGGCTGGAAATTGGATATACAATGTGGGTTTAATTGTTTTTTGAATGTTTTTTGATTTTCTTAAGCATATATATTCCTGACTTACAGATGTCCCAGAAGCATACGTTCGTTTGGGAACATCTCTAGATCCAAGTACTTTACGAGAAGGATCAGATGTGTACTTTGACTGCCTGGTGATGGCTCATCCAAATGTTTTCCGCATCGAATGGCGTCACAACGTGAGTTTTGAAAAGCTTAAAAAATGAATTTTTTTTTCAAATTCATTTAATCCATTTAGGAACAACCTCTGTCACACAATATATCACAAGGCATCATCATAAGTAACCACTCCTTAGTTTTGCAAGGTGTTACGAGGGCCACAGCCGGAAACTACTCATGTGTTGGTTTCAATGCCGAAGGCGAAGGAATCAGTGCTCCTTTTGCACTAAATATTCTATGTAAGTTTACTGCCCAAATTCCCATTAATCATTGAAAAGGTACTAAAAATCTGTGTTCACCAATTTCAATTGGCTCAATATGCTGTAAAAGAACAACATTTTCTGGCCTTTTGACTTTATTTGACCTAAAACCGAAAAACCCAATCAAAGGAGAAATTTCAAAATAAATAAAAAGAACATCATAATGGCGTTTACGTTTTCTTTTGGCTTTAAGAGATAATTAATGTTTTTATGGCCTGTTCTTTATGTTCTTGTTTTATAGACGCCCCAACCTGTGCACAGAACCAGAAGAAGGTGTACGGCATAGCAAAGCAGGAGGATGCAAAGGTCATGTGCACCGTGGATGCCAATCCTCGCGAGGTCGAGTTTAGTTGGACATTTAATAATTCTGCCGAAAGTATTGATGTTGCCACAAACCATATTATTCGTTCGGGTAAGTGCTTATCTCTGCTAATTAATATTAGCTTTATTAATTTGTAATTTAACTTTTTAGGCACCACCTCCATTGTAACATATACTCCCATAACCGAATTAGATTACGGAACTCTTTTATGTCTGGCATCTAATAAAATTGGTAAACAGCGGATACCATGTGTCTTCCATATAATCGCTGCAGGTGCGCTTGGCCTAAGATATTAACTTTTTTATGATTTTATTTTAATAATATTTATATTCTTATTTATTTTCCATTTAAAGGTCGACCGGAAAAAGTACACAATTGTACAGTTAATAATATATCCATGACATCTTTGACCGTGACTTGTAGTGATGGTTTCAACGGCGGCTTGCCACAAAATTTCAACTTGGAGCTGCTGGATTCTTACACTCAAGTAACTATTAAACTTTTTATATTATTTATAATAACTCCATATAAAAAATATTTATTTTTATAGGAAATAAAAGCAAACATCACCTCGACTATACCAAAGTTTACAGTTCCGGGCTTAAGTCCGGGAAGCATATATCGGCTAAATATTTACGCGTTTAACACTAAAGGTCGATCTGATCCGGCTATAGTCAATGCGGCAATGCTTCGAATGCCTGAAAAACAACTGACTTCGGAGCAGAGTGAGTCCTCTTTATCCCATATGCCTAGTTAATGTTCTAAAAAATATTTGTTTAATTTTTAGCCCATAACCTTCGCGCAGAGCTCTTATTTTCGCCCGTGATGTCGTTGACAATTGGCTTAACCCTTGCTGTGCTGGTCGCAGTACTGGCCATCATCCTAGCACTTCGAATACCCTGCACTGCATCATCGAGAAGGCGACAAAAGGAACTCTCCAATGAAAATATTTCGCGAGATGAGTCGCCAGGACCAAGTGACAAAAGTTCCGGCAGTAAGGAAGTAGACGATTGTGATGAAAAGAATCCGGATGTGGTACCTGAATCTGTTGAAGCTGATGAGCAGGTAAGATTGAATAAAACATTTAGGGATATTTTTGAAGTTCATAAGTGGATCTTAGGTAACCAGCGCCTTGAAGTATGCAACAGAATGTATCCTGTTATTTCCTAACTTAAATTTAACTGCAAATTTAAATTTCAGTCCGAAAGTATCAGAAAAAGGCAACAGATCTCTACCATTGATACCAATCGCAGTCCAAATCGCGGAATTTTCGTGAATGAGCAGCAACATTTGACAGCAGCCGAGATATCCTTGCGCGCCTCCCATGGAATTGGTTACTGTACACTGAGAAGTGGAATGCACGCCCAGGCCCAGAGTTCAGTGGGAGAAATATCAATTGTGAGTAAATGATAAGCTATATGCTTAGAATTAGGAATACCAACTTGATTTCATCTTTCACAGAACGTAACACCCCACGTCTACTCGAATTCGATAACGCAATGCACTCTGCCTCGTCAGTCATCGCAGAATATGTGGAATAACTATAATTGCAACATCACCGGGGCAAGACCAACATCCACATTCCACCAGCTGACCTTTCCCCAGGGAAGGGTCAATGTGAATGGCCATAACCCGACGCAACCACTCCATGGACACGCGCCCTCGCCATCGCTGGCGTCCACCAGCTCGATGGCCTCATCGTCGAATACATTGCCTAGCCAGCCACATCCTCATGGCAGAACCATTGCCCTGCATCACATGAACCAGGCACAGTGCGGCAGGGTCTGCATCGGAATTGCCAGCGATGGTATCCACTCCGCCGAACAAAACCTTTCCGACGACGAGGTGACCGTCCAAACTCCATTAATGATAAAGCGCGATAGCACCGTATGACTATAGAAATTCCACAGGGTATTCGACACGCCCCTGTGATTAGGATTTACAATTTTCTGTATTCTGCATTTCGAAACTCAATAGAATAAACTTTTTATACCACTTTATTATTATTATTGAAAACAATATTCTGGAGAGCTCAATTATTTTCGGCCAAATAAATGTTAGTTTTAAACGTTGTTAAATATAAGTTATACGAAACCAATATCCAATGAAATAACTAATAGGTTTTAAAACTTTGATTCTCAATGCAGAACAGAAGGTTTACGTGTGTGTCTGGCCAATGCAAATACTTTTACTGCAGTTTTTAAAAAATACCTAAACTATATACTGGCATCAAACGAATTTATAGACTGGGTTTGATATTTCAGACGATTGTGTTAATCTTATATTTATTTGAAAAGCAATGATGTAAAAAATATGTTTTTCTTATGCATTTTAAAAACGAATTGAGTATCTCAGAAGGAGTATCTCTAAGGATAATTCAAAATGTATGCGGTGACTCATGTACGGCCAATGTTTTTGTTAAAATAACTAAAAAAGACAAATTACAAATTATTGTTAATATTTGTGTTCCAGTCTTTTATGATTCCAAGTACTTATAAGTTTAAACTACATCCCTAGGCAACTTTAGGCTCGAATGATTTAGCCAAGTAAAACCCAACTATTTTGTATGGTTTTAGAGATCTGCACCAAGAAAGATAAGTTTAGTCAAATAAAATTTGATAAAACAATTGCTCATTTGTATGAAAAGCCAAGTCAGCATTTTTTTATAGATCCATAATAATGTCTGTGTATGTTCGTGATGATAAATAAAATTTTATATAACTTGCTCAAATAGAAACTAAACCAGTGTTACGAATGAAGGAAGTGTTCCCAATTTGTTTCTTCCAACGCTGGCCGGCATTTATTTTCAAATATTTCATTTTATACTGGTCGAACTTACATAATACTTATATTTAAAAATACCATATATATTAGGAACTTAGCGTAAAACTACTGTGAGCAGTATTATAATATCTAAGTTATAAATAAAAATAAAATACAAGTAAATCAGTGTTTAAATTGAAGGTTAAAAAGAAATTATGATTTGTTGGCAAATTTTATTTGCTTAGTAAATATGTAATCTTCTTTTTAAATAGTTGTTTATGTTTAAAAATTGTTTTACAATTATTCACCAAGTTACTTAATTTGTTTCAACAAACATTTGATTTTTCTTATCACCATAACATTCTTTCAAATATGAATTAGTCATGCAAATCTGACACATTTGCATAGAAAGATTAAGTGTTTTTTAGTTATCAAAGAGTATATGTTTTAGAAAATGCCTTACTTTTGTTACTTTTTCTGGGTGTGTTCAGCAGAAATCATAAATTGCGTCTACATTCCCAATATGTTCATGGCTAATTGGTTGAGTGCCCACCAAAGAAATTGCCGGTATGGCCCCAATTCGATTATTTCTTCTACTTATGCTGACTCTTCGTCGTTGTTTTTAAAAAAATTAACAAAATATTAAAACAAAACAAAAAGGTAAGTTGCAATATTGTTTATGGAAATATGATTTAACCATAAATCAGATTAACATTTTCCAATTCTAAACATTGTTACGCTGTAAAATCAATCTTAAACTTTGTCAACAACTTACAGCTGCAAAATACGAAGAACAGAATGGGAATTCTATCCATCCATAAATACACATCTTGAGCATGGTTGGGTGGGTTGGGTTCGTCTCCGGATCGGCACTTAAGCCGATGAACACGAGCACAGTTCATAAAACATCCACATATATGTAAGTATATATGTTGCATGCCTTATACACTGATATCTTGGGGGCTTATAAAAGAACGCGTATCGCTAAGTTTCGGTTAGTTGACTCCCAGCTGCGTCGCATCACGGACAAGTGCTAGGACTTTCGTTCGTTACATCTGCTGTGTTAAGGTTGATTTAAGCTTATTTATCAAAATGGTAAGGATACTAAAGGATACTAAGAGCTCAAAGAGGGATTTTTATTGAAATTGTGAAATGTTAAAGAACTTGAGGTCCTTGAAAGTCCTTAGTGCCTATTAACAGAATTTAAAGCAATGTTGCTAAAAAACTTTTTAAAAGAACATAATTTGTGGAGAGTTTTTGAGACTTAAAATTCAATAAAATAACTATTATGAAAATCCAGCAATAAATGTTGATAAACAAATAGTAATGAAAACTTAAAAACACTTCTTAAACTTCTAAAGTTAAAACACTGAAAAATGTTTACAGCAGATGGTCAAATAATCTTGCTACTAAAACACATTCAAAGGCGGATATCCCAAATGAGATTACTAAATTATTCAAAATTCAAAAAGATTACTCACAAAGTTTTAATTTATCTTCTAGAGGGAATGTATTTCTGTTCACATTGGACAAGCTGGCGTCCAGATCGGTAATGCCTGCTGGGAACTTTACTGCCTGGAGCATGGAATCCAGCCCGATGGCCATATGCCCTCCGATAAGACTGTGGGTGGTGGCGATGACTCCTTCAGCACCTTCTTCAGTGAGACAGGATCTGGCAAGCATGTGCCCCGTGCCGTGTTCGTTGATTTGGAGCCAACTGTGGTAGATGAAGTCCGTACTGGTACCTATCGTCAGCTGTTCCACCCAGAGCAACTGATCACCGGCAAGGAAGATGCGGCCAACAACTATGCCCGTGGTCACTACACCATTGGCAAGGAGATCGTTGATGTGGTTTTGGACAGGATTCGCAAGTTGGCAGATCAGTGCACTGGACTGCAGGGATTCCTGGTCTTCCACTCGTTCGGTGGAGGCACTGGCTCAGGCTTCACCTCGCTGCTGATGGAGCGTCTTTCCGTCGATTATGGAAAGAAGTCGAAGTTGGAGTTCTCTATCTACCCAGCTCCACAAGTAAGTGAAATAGTAAAAATGGAATTAAAATTGATTAATTTGATTAGAGTTATAGGAAATTAGTTAATTAATGGCTTCCAAACTTCCTGTTAGGTCTCCACAGCTGTAGTCGAGCCGTACAACTCGATCTTAACCACCCACACAACGCTGGAGCACTCGGACTGCGCGTTCATGGTTGACAACGAGGCAATCTACGACATCTGCCGCCGCAACTTGGATATCGAGCGACCCACCTACTTGAACCTCAATCGCCTAATTGGCCAGATCGTTTCCTCCATCACGGCCTCGTTGCGCTTTGATGGCGCCCTGAATGTGGATCTCACTGAATTCCAGACCAATTTGGTGCCCTACCCACGCATCCATTTCCCGCTGGCCACATATGCTCCCGTCATTTCCGGAGAGAAGGCCTGCCATGAGCAACTGACCGTGGCCGAGATCACCAATGCCTGCTTCGAGCCCGCCAACCAGATGGTCAAGTGTGATCCCCGTCGTGGCAAGTACATGGCCTGCTGCATGCTTTACCGTGGTGATGTGGTGCCCAAGGATGTGAATGCTGCGATTGCCACCATCAAGACCAAGCGTTCCATTCAGTTTGTGGACTGGTGTCCCACTGGCTTCAAGGTTGGTATTAACTACCAGCCACCCACCGTTGTTCCTGGCGGAGATCTGGCCAGGGTGCAGCGCGCCGTATGCATGCTGTCCAACACCACTGCCATCGCCGAGGCCTGGGCTCGTTTGGATCACAAATTCGATTTGATGTACGCCAAGAGGGCTTTCGTCCACTGGTATGTGGGAGAGGGCATGGAGGAGGGAGAGTTCTGCGAGGCTCGCGAGGATCTTGCAGCTCTTGAGAAGGACTACGAAGAGGTTGGCATTGATTCCACCACCGAGCTGGGAGAGGATGAAGAGTACTAAACCGTCCTGGAATATCAAAGATGATCCTAGAAACTCTCTAAACTTCACATTGTTTCTACCAAAAACACAAAAGCATAAACTCTCGCAATAAAAAAATGTAACACAATCTCTATGTTTTTTTGTGGCCAAAAAAGGGAATTTAATTAATATAAAATGACTAAAATTTTCTTAATAGGATATTAGTTATTAAGAAAATATTTATCTAGGTTTTTTTCCATTTTTTAATCATCTTAACGTTTATTTTTGACTAAGAGAAGTTTTTCGTCGTTTTGTTTTTGTGACTAATGATGCGGTAATGACTAAGATTTACTCATTTTATTATTTTTTAACATAACTAAAACATAAAAAAATTAAAGAAAATAAGCTTATTAAAATCGCATCGTGTGATTAGGCCTTAAATTCGCCTTTCTAATCGCATGCGCAAAAATGTCTACATATATTTTTTCGCAAATTCAGTAATCAAAGAAGTACCATTTCAGGAGTAGCAGCGAAAAATATACTTAGGATAGTTTTCAATTTGATTTTATATTATAAAATTGTGTAAAATTCTATATAAAATTAGATTTGTTTTTAAATATATATATATTGTTAATCGGAAAACTCAGTGAATGTTATTTAATTGTAAATGCACTTGCAAATTTGCACACTCTTTTGTCTGCAAAATTGTAGGTGCATGTATGTATTCATAAAAGTGGAGTCTAGTCTGATAAGTTAATTAAGATAATGTTAAGAAATTTAGGCAGAAATGCCTATCTTAAAACGTAGATCTTAAGTAAGATACTCACTTATATATTTGTTAAAGGGTATAGATATGAAATATGCATATTTTATCTACCTATCTACCCCTTTAAATAATCAATGCACACAGTACAAAGTACTTCCAATACACAGAACCAAAAGGGAGAAGCTTGGAAGATGGAACCAATATCTTAGTTAATTAATAATATATAAAAATAACACCAAAGTCGAGTGCCCGGACTATAATTATTTAAATATTATATATATCTAACTTACTACCTATTCTACACGAACACTTTATGTATATCTAAAAATATGAACCTTCCATTTCAGGATCAACAAAATGTGATTAATATTAATAACGCTTATTAATAATCACATTTCATAATCTAATATGTTACAACTATTATCGCTTATTGCATATCTTAACCATATTTCAATGGATATTACGAGTTTCTTTTATTTCAGAATGGGATCTCTTCATAAAAGAAGTTTTAATGTTGATTTAGCTGCCACGACCTTATTATTAGATCCCATATCCCTCATCCATTTTATTGTTAATCCGCTTGTCTGATTGATCCTATATCCGTCCGTTTGACCATCCGTCTGTCTGTCTACGAGACTGTCGGTTTGTTTTTGAAGCCTATTATGAAGGCAGTTCATTTCTGGAGACGTTGCACTTTTGATAATAATATATTTATTATTGTAATTATAAATAACATTTATCGTTACAGGATTACTTCAGATTCCTAGCGGAATCGATGCAGCATTATTATTGTTATTTAAATAATACAAATTGTAATATGTCAAGTGGACTTTTAAACATTTAATTAACAATTTTTTTTGGTTTTCGGCTGTATTTCTAATTTGCATTTTTTTTACTATACGAAAGGTTGGTAAGAACTTTTATATATCAAAGCAGCTGGTGGAAAAATATACGGTTTTGTGTTCAAACTAACTCTAAGGTTAAACATATCTTTGAGCCTTTCTATATTTCGGATTCGCAGTTTTATATAAAAATGTAATTTATTTGCATTTTACATTGAAGACATTTTAATGAGTAACTTATTTTACCGTTGTAAAGTCAAGATACCCATTGAACGGTCTGATGATCAGCTTAGAAATGACTATTAATTAGAAACACTATTCCCACGAACATTTGAAATACCAAAAGAGATCATTTATGTATACTTGCAGTTTTATCCGTTAAATAACTTTCAGCTCCTTGCACAAAACCATCTTTTCGAGGGTTCAACCATTTTAGAATGGAAACTTTTTCATATATTAGAAGAAGGTTCAATCGTAACGAATATAAATTTCAGTTTCCAAAACATGCATCGGATACATGATGATGAATACTCCGAGGATGTAAAGGAATCGGACTTTAAGGCATCGATTCAAAAGGAAATATCAGTTAAACCACGTCATCAGATTTCAATACCAGATATTTGCACAGAAGCCGTTAAGAATAACTGTTTTCCCCAGGCGGGCTTTTTGAATAATTCGATTGCTTTTGCCTCACATGTGGTTAAGTGCAGTTCCCCGGCTTCGAGCATAGATGAATCCTCATCGACGGCTCAGCACGAAACCAATCCTCACATGCATATTCAGGGCCAACATATGATGGCTCCTGTGCCTGATCTTGGCTTCTATAATGTTCCCGAGTTCATTTCAGAACAGGAAAAGCTTATGTTTTCCGATGCCGAAAGATTTTTGAGGTCAAAAGATAATGAAGTGTGCAGTAATGATTTTAGCTATATGCATGATGAATTCGCCATGCGCAAGTACTATCATCCTCTATTTGCCCATGGCATCTGCCGCTGGCCAGGATGCGAAATGGATTTGGAAGATATCACATCATTTGTCAAGTAGGTGATATTATCAAAAGATATGATAATCTATTAGTTGTTAATGAGACTCTTACTTAGGCATCTGAATACTGAACATGGTTTGGATGATCGATCTACCGCTCAGGCCCGAGTTCAGATGCAAGTAGTCTCACAGCTAGAATCCCACCTTCAAAAAGAAAGAGATCGCTTGCAGGCCATGATGCACCACTTGTATTTGTCCAAGCAACTTTTATCACCCACCAAGATCGACAGGAAGGTTAGTCCATATTATATATTGGTAATGATATATCAATAACACCTATTAATGTTAGGACGTACCCGGAAGAGATGGAAAGTTCTGCCGAAGTCCGCTTACCATAAATAGCATTGGTCGACCCATGCGGCAGACAAATTCACCCAGCTCCCTTAATCTTCCAATGGTCAACTCCACCAACTTATGTTCGATCAAAAAGAGAAACCACGACAAAAACTCTTTCTCCATTAATGGTGGTTAGTACTCGAACTTGTCGAATGTTATGTTTTTGTTAACGATTTTTTTTAACTTAGGATTACCTTATATGCTTGAAAGAGCAGGACTTGATGTGCAACAGGGTATGTAACAATTATTGTCTGATTTTCAATATTGCAATCTATACATATACTTCTGGAAGACATATAAAAAGAATTCAATTTTCCAGAAATTCATCGAAACAGAGAATTTTACAAAAATGCTGATGTGCGACCGCCATTCACATATGCTTCCCTTATAAGACAGGTAAACTATACATGCTTTCACTTGGCTACATATTTTATATTTTTTTCTATAACGTTAAACTTATTTCCACATATAAACAGTCCATAATCGACTCCCCTGACAAGCAGCTAACCCTGAACGAAATCTACAATTGGTTCCAAAACACATTTTGCTACTTCCGGCGCAATGCAGCAACGTGGAAGGTAAATCCGTTCCTTTCTATATCTTTCTCTATTTTATTCCTTTATCTTTAAACTATAACTTAATAGTTAAGCTGTTATATTATATATTTAATGTCCGTCCGCATTTAGTATTTCTGTCCGATTGGCAATTCTAGCTTGTCCGATAGATTTTGTTATCTTTTCCCACCGGCAAAAAATACCTTTCCTATGCAGATATTTATCTCTGAAAAGGTAAGTTATTTAGTTAAACTTTTTATTATCTATCAATATATATATTTAAAGTAAAGTTTGGCCATTGCTAACTGATATAATATGTATCATTAGAACGCAGTTCGGCATAATCTGTCCCTGCATAAGTGCTTTATGCGTGTTGAGAATGTGAAAGGAGCAGTTTGGACTGTTGATGAGATTGAGTTTTACAAAAGACGACCGCAGCGCACTGCTGGCATTGGTAACAACCTAACAGGTGCTACCAATTCGCCGGACACTAACTATTTTGTAGCCATGAACATTGGGTATGTGGGTCTCAAATAGTCTAATACTCACTTTGCTCCAAACTACTTCCATTTTGCTCTGTTAGTAAATATATGCCATTAAATGCATGCCTATATCAATATGATGACATTATACGATCTTTTACAGCACTTACCCCTGTGATTCCTATCCCGTCCGTCTGATTATCAGTTATATTGTCCGTCTGTGAATTGAGCTAAAAAAAAAAGAAAGGTTAGGTGAAGTCAATCGAAATGTTGCGGAAAAGATTAAAACAAGCCAAATTTACTAACTTTATTTTCTCAACGAACTTTTTCTTCCTTTCACGATATTTTTGGGGCTCTTGATTAATGCAAATTTAAAGAATGCGATACGTACGAACCTATCTTTACACAAGTGCTTTGTACGTTATGAAGATGACTTTGGCTCGTTTTGGATGGTCGACGATAATGAGTTTGTCAAAAGGCGGCACCTGTCGAGAGGGCGTCCCCGGAAATATGATCCATCCTCCTCCCCAAATTCATGCCAATCTGGCAACGGTGTGTCAACTGACAAAAATCCCTGCGACAATTGTCCACAACATTGCTCGAGTTTGCCCCCTGGGGCCGAAAATCCCCTAGATTCGAACAATCCAAATGATATCGGGCGAATCGGTTGCCTTCCTTTTTGCGGAAGTGATGGTTTAGGTAAGACGTCTAAGGACTATAGCAATATTGATTCGGGTATGGTCGAAAGTAACAGCCACTTGGCTATGGATGAGTACGCTACTAATATGTACGAAAGTAGTGCCAATGAGCACAATCGATAAATGTATCATTAATAATAATTATTTAGATGCATTGTCAGGATATCTGAGTTTTTCAGTTCAGAAGGTTCGGATTCGGAAATTATACTTGTACATACACCTAGTTCTAAGTGTAATTTCCTTAATAGAAACAAAGAAAAATACTTTTAACATAAATAACACTAATGCAATAAAATAAATAAATAATTTGGTAAATTATTAAAGCAAAATTAATTTGTTTAGTTATGCTTTAATAACCCAAATAATAAAACGAATAATGAATATTTTAGATCTGCAGTTTACAGCAACTCAATAAAGTTTTAAAAAGTTAAGGTTTTTTAATTATTAAGAAAGTATTATACAAAGGTTTTAAATCCTTCTATGGGTAACTAGCAGTATAACCTTTATGTTATACCTTCATAAGAATGAATACCGTTGACTGCCTGGATCTCTGGTGTAAGTAAGGACTATCAGATTTGATAACTGATAGCAACATATTTCGCCTTTTATTAACCCCTGTTATAATATTCTACGCTTTTTTCGTTTTTTTTTTCAGAATAATAAATTGCTAAAGGACCCAAATAGTATGTGTTGTTAAAAACAACAATTAGAAACTTGCCTTTATTCAGGGACCTCTCACATGAGTATCCGAAAATTTACGGAATAATAAAATATAATGAGTTGAAATTTTTGGGGGAAAGGAATACCTTTGTGGGGTTTTCAAGATAATTTCTAATAAAAATATATATTATCAACGTTTTCAAAATCATGTTTCTCTGTTTGTGGATTGCGTTATCAAATTATATCCAAGTTACTTACCATTTTGCTTATTTAAGATCCGAAGGTATATAATTGTCTTCCAAGGATGGTCACGCTGAAATGAAGTAATTTTTTATTAATTAAGGATATGTTATCAGATAAGAATTTTCTTTAAGATATATAAGAATTTTTGAAAAGCTTTTAAAAATTGCAAAAATGGTTTGAATCAAGTTGTATTCAAAATACGCATATGCTTTGATAAAAATTAGTTGCTTTTATAAATCTGTCGTTTTTTGTTGTTATATTATTCTATGTTGTTTAATTTATCGGATTCTTAGTCTGGATCTTCTAAATTTTGTTAGGGAACGTTAATTAAGTGAACTTTTGAAAGCAAGCATTTGAGAAAACAATCGGTGAATGCAGAACATCGATGCCGCATAGTTCTCATTACATCGATAGTATCGAGCAAGCATCGAGGTTTGCCCCAGCTCTAACAACGACGGCCACTCTGAAAGTATCAACGTTTTGTGACATGAAAATTCAACGAGGATACTGTGTACATGAATAATTGAAAAATTAAAATGGTTTCCATGCAATTTGTTTTGCAACCGCTTCCGGGCTCGGACGACCAGTTCATTGAAAGGTAAATATAAAGCTTAGGCTCCGTAATTACGCACATGTGAACGCGGAATCTATGTAATTGTGTACGTACGGCTGCATGTATTTGTTATGTGAAAATATGTAGGTACGCAGGTATATGTATACGCAGGAAGATATGTATATGGTCGTTAAAGCGAAATGTGAGCACAGACACTGGCGGATTTGCCGTATCTAATATTGTCCACGCTATTCTATAAACATTAGCCATAGAATTTCCGAAATGCACTTTGCAAATACCATTTTTCATCCACAACTAATTTTCTAAAACGTTCGTATGTGTATGTGTGCCTGTGTCGGAAATGTGAATATTCGTACATATGTGTGTGTGCATGTGCATACATGCTGATTAATTTGTCCACTTTTAACTATTAATTCTAAGTAAACTATTCAAATATTTAGAATTTGAAATCGTTAGCATAAGTATACAGAAGTACATTTTCCGGCTAAAATAGATTTAACAACATTTTTGCAAATTGTCATTTTGTATATGAGATTTCTCTAAAACACAGTTTCCCAGCACATGGTATTGAACCTTAGTGTAATTTTAATAACCCAAAAAGCCAAAAGTCAAATGTTAGCCAAAAAACAAAAACCACCGGGTAAGTTTTGCAGTGTCTATTGTAAAATATTTCTAGAAGTTGCAAATTTCGCAGATGTCAATCATAGAGTTGTCTAAATAATCTGGCAAGGCCAGAAGTCATCCACATGAGGCACCCTAATTTTATGAGCCTTAGATCATGCATGTTCTTGCTTGGCACAAATATATAATTAACTCTAACCATCTCTTTTCAATCTCGTTATAGAATTCGGGAAGTGTCGGAAAAAGTCAACAGATTTGGTTATGGCACGCATCGCATATTTGAGCAGTTAAAAATTCCGGTGAGAGAAGTGGTAATTGGACCGTCACACATTGGAGTTTTGCTGGAAGATGGCAAGGCGTTCCGCGTGTCCTTTTCCATCAACTCTGAGAAACTTGATTTGACAAAATCAGATGCAAAATGGTAAGTAAAAGTGGAACTTCTTCAGGTACATAGATTCTTATACGAAACTTTTTTTTAAAGTTCCACAAGTGGTTCCGGCAGTACGGCCAGTGCCTCAAAAGCCCCCTCCTCGTCCCGGCCAATGGCCCGGTCCAGAGCCCGACTCCTTCGCGCAACAGGTCGTTCCAGTTCAACCGGACAGGGCTCCGGATCGCGCAGCACGGGTGTGATTATTGGAGGTAGCACCTCGAGCCGACCCTTGGTCACAGTTCCGGCCACGTATGTGCCGGAGGAGCTCATATCCCAAGCAGAGGTGGTTTTACAGGGCAAGAGCAGAAATCTCATTATCAGAGAATTGCAGGTATGTCACCCAAAACACAACAACTATTGAGCTGCTGAAATAATAAACACTTTTCTTGTAGCGCACCAATCTAGATGTTAATTTAGCCGTGAACAATTTGCTTTCGCGTGACGACGAGGAAGCCGAAGATACCGAGGAAGGTGCAGATAATTATGTGCCTGAAGACCTTATCTCACTGCTGGATAACGGCTTTAGCGGAGATAATAACAGCGTCATCATTGATCCCTCCGATGGACTTTTTTCGGAGGAGATATTCAGCAATTACTCTAGCATTCGGAAGTAAGTAATTTAACTTTAAAAAAATATTTTTATTTGCAAAGCCATTATTCCTTCGAGTTCAACCTAGAACTCAAATCAAAACTGTGACTCATATTAAACCATTTTCCAGCCTACTGTTCGATCGTATTCGTAGCGAGCGCAGTAATGCCAACGCAAATGCCGCAGACAGTAATCAATCGACCCGCCCCACAACTTCGGGAGCAGCTTTAACTGGTACCAGCGGATTATCAGCTCAAATATCGGTTAACGCTGACCGCGAAGCCTTTAGCCGTTGGCGGGATCGTCAATACTACGGACCTCGACGCTGGATAAGCAAAGATGACTACTCCTGGGAAAAGGATGCTGGTAAGTTTAAAAGAAACAATAATACCTTTCCATACTGACTCTTATTTCGGTATAGATTCTAAGAAAAAGGAGCCATCACCAATGCTGTCTCCCATTTGGATATCGGAAGAACTTCAGCCGTGGCCAGAAAAAAGTTCCGTAAGGTTTAAGACCATCGGCGCCTTATACTCAGAATTCATTGCGTTGTCAGAGAGTGGAGATTTATACCAATGGCGTTGGTCAGATGCAGAGCCATACAAGTCAGAAGTAAGTCAATTAAACATAATTACTTTAATTCTTAAAACTCATAAACCACATGAACTTTATTTATATTTGTATTACTTCGCAGACCGACAACGTTTATCATCCCAAAACTGTGGCCCTCAATATAACCGAAAGAGTGGAGCTGATTTCGGCCAACTTTATAAGATGTTCCGTGGTTACAGAAACCAATCGCGTGGCTACTTGGATGGACGAGCAGCTGGGGTACCTTGGCGCCAAGCTAGAGCACAATTCCTGCTCCTTCAACGAGTTTATATCGGACCCCATAACAAAGATCTACGTCTGCTCTCTGTATACTGTTGTTAAAACCGACAGCAACAACATTTACTGGTGGGGAGTCCTGCCATTTGATCAACGTCGCTATTTGTGGGACAAATTCCGGACAAAGACCAAGAAGCCCTTCAAGGTGGTTGCCACAGATATCAATGTGGGCGCTCAAGTGATAATGAAGAAGTGTCCTATCTATCAATCTGGATCAATCGGGTTCACGTGCTCCAACGGCGTACCAAAAGTTGGACAGCTTTTGAATTCCGTTTGGAACTTCACCGATGTGTGTCGCATGAAAATCATAAATATCAACACAAGTTCGGGCGTGGATAAATCCCAAGCGGCTGGGCTTAACTTAAATACCCATGGAAATGCACCGGATAAGGATCTACCAAAGGCCACGGCCATGCCTAGCGCTGGGAGCAGCAAGAATGGGCAATCATTCTCAAATAGCAAGGAATCGACAGACCGCATAGATATGCCACCACCGCCGTCACCAGCATCCAGCACATGCAGCGATACCGGCAGTGTCACCTCACACAAGCGCACGAAGCGAGTGACCACCAAAGAAGACTCCAATGCCCCCCAGGAGGGCAGAAAGGACGAAGAGCTGTGGCAACTGAAGGACGTGGTGTTTGTTGAGGACAAAGTGGGTCCCGTTGGCAAGGTCCTGAAAGTCGACGGTGACTTTGTGGCCGTTCGGTTTCCAGCTATGAATGCAGCGGCCTCTGCTGTTGCTGCTGCCGTCGCTACCGCAAGTTCATCCTCTAATGCAGCCTCCACATCCAAGGAAGAGGGCAAGGAGGACGACTGGCAACAGTGTCGCTTGCTCCGCCGCGAGGATGTACAGATATACCGCACTGCTATGTCAACCCGTGGACCCGACTGGCTCCAAAAGCAGCCAAAGAAGATCAACCTTGGAGCCGATGCGTCTGGTGCCCAGCTGCTAACTCTGGCCGTGGACTCACGCGGTATCCATGTGATTAAGAAGGTGCTCGGAAAAATACACTACAGCCTGTACAACCTGTATAACAGCAAGCAGGAGCAAAATTGCCTGTTTCCCACGGACTGCGCCTCTTTCATTGGTTCCTCGCCTGCTAACATATTAATGGCTTGCAACAACGACTGTAGTGGAAACAGCAGCACCATTGTGCTTCGCGATGGCAATGGGGCTCTGTACCCCTTAGCGAAGGATTGTCTCGGCTCGATCAAGGATCCCCAGTGGTTCGATCTTCCTCCAGTGAAATCCATCACAATGTCAACCATATCGCTACCGGCCATGCTCTCGGGCGTGAATTTGAAGTCAAAGGTGTGCATGACTGCTCTGCTTTTCGACACTCAGAAACTTATGCCGCACATTTTGCGCTGCGATGTGAAGAACAGCTTTGCCGCTCTTAGCCGCTTGGAGAGGGAGGATCAAGCAGATACGGCTCTGGTCGTAGATGAGCGCTGCGATGGAGCCAGAAATATATTCCATGCATGTGTGATTATGTGTGCTCCATCCTCAAACAAGGATTCACCACCAGATTCGCCCAGCGGTGGTGTTGAAAAGAAATCTCTAGCAGTAGGACTTTCCGCGGCGCGTTCTATACCAACGGTGTCGACCAGCGCCTATGTCAGCAGCAACGCCTTTGGAGCAAATACATCCTCTAGCAATGAAAACTCGAGCTTTGCAACCATGAGTTCCTCCGCCGCCGGATCCGCTTCCACGACGAGCAGGGATAATAGAAACAATCTGCGTGATATGATGCACCGCCTAATAAGCAACGATCAAGCGGAACAATCTGGCAGCCAGCCAATGGCTACCAATAACGAGGACCACGCCTACATCCCCTGGCCAGCTGAAGCACCAGCGGCCAGCAATCTGAGTGCCAGTTCTTCGCAGAACATCGCGGACAGTATTGAAGATGATATCTCGAAGATAATTCCGTCCTCCTCTCAGAGTTCCATACTGTCCAACATAAAGCTGGGATCACCTAACTACACATTCGACCTAGCTCAGCGACGGGAGCATGCATTGTTGATCTTGCAGCAAATGTGCGTCAGTCCTGCCCTGCGTCCGTATCTTTGTCAAATGCTAAGCACAAAGGATGCACAAGGCCAGACGCCGTTCATGCTCTCCGTTTCGTGCCGCGCTTATGAGGCAGGCATTATACTGTTAAACACCATCCTTGTGCTATCCGAGCAGGATCCGCAGCTTAAGGAGGCCATGATTTTCCCGACTGGTTCCCCTGCGGATCAGTCGCCTCTGCATGTCATCTGCTACAATGACACCTGCTCCTTCACATGGACTGGAGCCGATCACATCAACCAGAACATCTTTGAGTGCAAGACGTGCGGCTTAACGGGATCCCTGTGCTGTTGCACGGAGTGCGCCCGGGTCTGCCACAAGGGACACGATTGCAAATTGAAGCGAACAGCGCCAACAGCATACTGCGATTGCTGGGAGAAATGCAAGTGCAAGGCGCTAATCGCCGGAAATCTCACCAAGCGCTTTGCGCTACTCTGCAAATTGGTCTCCTGCACGGATTTGGTCACGAAGTTCAATTCCAAGGGCGAATCGATTCTACTGTTCCTCATTCAAACGGTAGGCCGGCAAATTGTAGAGCAACGACAGTACCGCTTCAACGTCAGGGTTCGCAATGTTGGCACCGCTGCCAGCGGAACGAACGGAAGCAATACAGTGATATCTAATCGAAAGACATCATCCGCCGACATGGATAGCGATATGCCGGATCACGATTTGGAGCCACCGAAGTTTGCTCGAAAAGCTTTGGAACGACTGTTGATCGACTGGAACGCGGTGCGCTCGATGATCATGAGCGGAGCGGAGAAGAGTGAGGTGAACGTCCCGAATCCGGCAGGCTCTGCATCCGAGAACTCAAACTCGGAAGGCTTCAATATGTTCATCCAGACACAGCACGGCTCCACGCTCCTCGACAAGTTTACCCATAGCCTGATCGTGAAGTGCACTGGCGACCATTTAGACACTTTGCTACTCACTCTGGTGCGGGAATTGCAAAACGTTAGCGTTATCAATCGTTGCAAGGAAGCGGAGGAAGTGGCACGCCGCTTCGTTCGTTCTGTTGCTCGAGTGTTTGTCATATTCAATCTAGAAAAGCAGCCGAATCCGGAGAAGCGGAAGACTCACAACTCGTGCAACAAATACGTTCAGAGCTGCGTAAAAGTATTCCAGACGCTCCACAAAATATCTATTGAGGAATTATGTGAAGTATCCGAGGCTCTTATTGCTCCAGTCCGACTGGGGGTTGTGCGTCCCACTGCTCCGTTTACAATGTCGTCGTCTAATCTGGATGTACGTGTAAATATGCTAATCCACTTTGATTGCATGCTATTCTTTACAATTTAAGTTGTTGCAAAAACTATTTTATTAACTAACCCATTCATTTACATTCAGAACTCGGACGATTTGTTCAGTGTGGATCCTTTGGCACCATCCAACGTGGAGTCTCCTTCTGAGCAAATATTGGGACATGATGCTGGAAACGATCAGAGTGCCAATTTTAATATTCAACAAAACTACGATGTAGTTGCAATGGAAAGTGAGTGTTTTCCTTAGACAACTAACAATGAATGAAATAATATTAATTTAATTTTAAAACAATATCAGCTATACGCGACGCCTCCGAATCGGAAGAAGTTATAAATAGGGAAACAAACTCCCACAATCAAGACGACGAGTTAATTGAAAATCAACGAAATGAGGATGGCATGCAAGATGATGAGAGCGATAATGACTTTACTTTCAATGACGCTGAGACTGAGTCTGACTCCGATGACAACCAAAGTAATCAAGAGGTGCAGAGGAGCGTTCAAACTGGGGCAACAGTTGGCTCCGAAAATGGTGAGTCATCGTTTTTCAATATGGATTTCTTTGGTCAAAGCATCATTTAAATATTTAATGTGTTCTTTCTTTCAGACATTGGTGTGTTGTTCCTAGAGGATGAATCTGGAGACTCCTCGGCCCAAGAAGAAGATGGTTCTGAGGATGGCGAGTCCGACGACCACTCTGACGAGTTCAATTTCAATGACCAGCAACTTGAACGTCGCACCAACAACTCAAACGCTCGTAGCGATTTGGCTCCTCAAACCATGCAATGGGCAATAAGAAACCGTGACACCGCCCGTTCGTCCGTAAGAGTTCCCACAGGATCTAATTTGGTCTTTATCGACCCTATGGCTCTGCGGCGCTCCACTGTGCCGGCCAGTACTACAGTCACCACACCCTCGATCGAACCTCACACAATGGCGACAACGGCCAGCAATTTGGCACGCGCATTCGGAATCACAATAAGACAGATCTCCGAGCTTATAAGCATTCTATCTTACAACGTAGTGAATGACATCGAAACATCATTAAAGATTCAAAGCGATGAGGCAATTGCAGTCCAAGTAAGTACTCAAAATTATTAAAAATTTATTCAAATTTCAATCAATACTTTTAATTAATAGGCATTTGTTGAAAAACGTTTGAAAGCTACGTGGGATTGGATGTTTACGGTAATGGACGGAACCGAGGCACAGTTAAAGTTTGGTGCCTATTTGACTAACTACACCGATCCCAACCATCCGCTGCATCCCCTTAACCTTAGTGCCCAGGCTTCGAGTAGTACCACGCCAGCTCCTGCCACATCCTCGTCCGTTGGTGGTGTGAATATAATGGGTAAATTAGAGTTTGTATGTTTTTGATTTTAAATTAAAATATTTGTGCTTTTGAAGGATCTAATTCACGGCGAGACTTCTTCACCTACTGCTTATCCCTGATGCGAGCCCACACTTCTGAGCACAGAGATGCACTACCGGTACTGGATATAACAGCCTTGCGTCACATTGCCTATGTGCTCGACGCTTTTGTTTACTATATGCGCAATGACACAGGCTTTTATGACAAGCAAGATACCATTTCTGGCCGTATAAATAATCTGTTCCCCATGGTTGAGAGCTACGATACAGACGACGAGTTAACCAACCTGGAAGATTTCAACGCCGATGCTCAGCCTTCGACGAGTAGCATGTCATCAGGAAGCCAGGGCACACGGCGACATGCTTTCTTCGCTCGATCGGAATCGACACTGAGCCTGGGATGTTCGGCGCCAGAAGGTTTCGATCTGCCACTAGATATGGCAATGCCACTAGCCGACAAACCACACTTGCTGCAACCAAATTCAAAGCGACAGGAACTTTTCGCCAACCTACCGCTTCTCGTGACGCCAAGTACAAGCAACAGCGCTACCAATAACAATGGTGGCAGCATTTTTGATTACACTCCCACAAGGCTGGGATTCTCAAATTCCTTAAAAAGGAACGAACATGTTTATGAAACAGTCCCGGCCAAACAGTCTATGGAGGTAGTTATCAATATGGATACTAGCAAGACGGGTGATGGAAATGTAACTTATAAGGCTGAGGGCTCTACAGACTCAAATATTTACGTACAATTAAAGAAAAAACAGGGCTCGGATGATTTTAAATCCCACAAAGAGGCTGATGGTAAGTTGAAATAGAACTGCGGCCAAACCTAAAAATTACACTTATAATTTTATATAACAGGCAATCACAGCAAATACGATAAAGTTGTATTAATGGAAACTGATGATATGAGCAATCTTCCAAGCACCAGCAAATCGACTGAAGCTTTAATGGCCACAAGACCGGAAGTTATTATTGCGCCTAATAAAGCCTCAGTATCACCAGCAACAGCTGCTCGCAGTGTTATAGTTCTCGCAGGTGGTTCCTGTTTAAAGACGATTGATTCGGATTTAAACAATTTCTCGGCCTCAAATTTATCAACCGCAGAACAAGCTAAATGTGATACACACAATCAAAAGTCAACGCCGCACCACCCGCTAAGCTTTCCCGTTCGCGGTTCTGTGTTTTATCAAAGTAATTTTTCGGAATTACCGTCGTGGAACTTTTTACTAAGTCGCTGGAAGCTAACCTTGGACTTGTTCGGTCGCGTCTTTATGGACGATGTAGGAATGGAGCATGGATCTGTGTTGCCTGAATTACGCGGATTTCCTGTCAAGGAGATGCGTTTCCGACGTCATATGGAAAAGTTGCGTAACGGTCAGCAACGCGACTTGGTGCTCTGCAAGTTAGAGCGAAATCGTGAAAGTTTGATCGTTCAAACTTTTAAGGAACTGAATACCCAATTCGGCAACCAAAACCGGCGTACACAGCCGCCCATCACATTCAACCGAGTGAAGGTTACATTTAAAGACGAGCCAGGCGAGGGATCCGGAGTGGCTCGCAGCTTCTACACATCAATTGCAGAGGCATTGCTGGCCAGTGCTAAGATCCCGAACCTTGAATCCGTTCAAGTAGGCACCAGCCATAGCAAATACGGAGTGCCGTTCTCTAGCATCCTGCGCAGCAGAACAGTATCTGGGTCTAGTCGTGATCAGTCCACTCTGCAAAGGCGTGGAACCAGCAGCAAAATATTGTGGCGATCGGCTCGGGAGCGAAAGGTATTGAATTTGGATGCCAGACCGTACACCCCAATAAATAATTTAGGTATGTTATAAACTACCTTTTCATTTTACAAATTATATATACTAAATCATTTTGTCTATGTCTTATTTAGATAATGCTATTCCGGAAAGCATGAATGATCATTTGTCAGTCCACCTACAACAAATTGGAGAACGTCTTTATCCCAAGGTAAGAAAAGTCACTAACCCGCTTGAAGTTCTAATTAATTAAAATACTATTTGTCCATCAGATCCACGCAATAAACCAAACGCATGCAGCGAAAATAACTGGAATGCTGCTAGAGATACCGACACCTCAGCTTCTGTCCGTAATTTCCTCAGATGAGACACTGCGTCAAAAAGTGAATGAAGCAATGGAAATCATCTCATTCAAACTAAAATCTGAGGCCAGTGCACAAAGTAGTCAACCAAAAAAAACGCCATCAGTAGTGTTGGTCGAACCCGTAGATGATGATAATGAACCATTATTTTACTCTCCGGGAAAGAGAGGATTTTACACACCGCGCCAAGGCTTTGCATCATTCGAACGCATTAATGCATTTAGAAATATTGGAAGGTACAATTCGTCATTTAAGTTTTGGTTGATTAATAGCTTTAATACTTACTTTTATTTTTCTCAGACTTATCGGACTTTGTCTATTGCAAAATGAATTGCTTCCACTGTTTCTACAGAGACATGTATTGAAATACATTCTTGGTCGCAAAATAAAGTTTCACGACCTGGCATTTTTCGATCCAGCATTGTACGAATCCTTTAGGCAAATTATTCAAAATGCCCAAACAAAAGAAGGCGAGGAAACTATTAACAGAATGGAGCTATGCTTTGTGTACGTATTACTTTTATATACTACTTTGCAGTCTTAACTAAACTCATATTTCAGGATTGATTTGATGAAGGAAGAGGGCTGCGGTAACAGAGAGCTTATCCCAGGAGGACGCGAAGTTGCGGTCACATCGAGTAATATATTCGAGTACGTCAGACGCTATACAGAATATAGACTAATCAAATCCCAAGAAAAGGCACTTGAGGTATGTACAAATTCTGCGTAAAATGATTGTGTTATGTTAATCCGAAATCATTTACAGGCACTAAGAGATGGAGTTTTCGACGTTTTGCCCGATAGCAGCATGAATAGCTTAACCGCTGAGGATTTACGTCTTCTGCTGAATGGTGTCGGTGATATAAATGTTTCAACATTAATTTCATACACAACCTTTAACGACGAATCTAGCGAGGGTCCCGATAAACTGTTAAAATTTAAGAAATGGTTTTGGAGTATTGTTGAGAAAATGAATATTTTGGAGCGTCAAGATTTGGTAAGATGCATACTGAAACAGATTGAAATGGATATAACAAGATTAATTCTTTTAGGTTTACTTCTGGACTGGATCACCTGCGCTTCCAGCTTCGGAGGAGGGATTCCAACCATTGCCATCTGTCACCATAAGACCTGCGGATGACTCTCATCTACCGACTGCGAATACTTGTATATCTCGGCTGTATATCCCCCTTTACTCCAGCAAATCAATTTTACGCAGTAAAATGCTGATGGCCATTAAATCCAAAAATTTTGGATTTGTATAGGCGGTTGGAAAACTATCCTATGTGTATAAGCTTCAAATTCATTTCTTAATTAATTTTAGTTTTTCTGAGTTTCGACTTGTCATTTTTAACCATACCATTCCCATTTTGGATTATCTATTGTTTAAATTTTTTTTTTCGAATTTGAACAATTTTTACGTAACGCATTATTCAAAGAGATTGGCGCGGGTCATGACGGTCTGACTTGACCGAACACTGTAGTAAAAATATGAAATTTCCAAACAACAAATGTAACCAAGAAAACGGCCAATTAGGTATTAGGAAGCCTATGTTTTAATTATTAAACTTTTAAATAAAATATGTTTTCTAAAGTATGACTTATGCACATGTATATTTATCGATATCGATTCAATAGAAATTTGAAGAAATAAATAATAAAAATAAGTCCACCTTACGGAAATTATGTATGATACAAAATATATTAGTATTTCATTACTTTGGATTTGCGGCTTTGGTATAAGTAACCTTCCTTCAACTTCTCGTTTGAACCATTGGACCATTTCCATTCAGATCAAAACATATTAAATTGATTATATAAATTATTTTATGTTTATTACACCATTTACATAATTATGATAATGCATATATGTCATATACTGATAGTGCATAATATAGAAATGTAAAAGCTCTACCCAAACCACGCTCTTGAAACTTTGACACTTAATAAGTTACTATAGTTTTACAGTTTGTGTTTACATAATTTTAGAAAACGCAATCTTCCCATCTTTGTAGATAAAACAACAAGGTACACTCACAAGTAATTAAAAACAAAAGCGACATACAAAAAAAAAATTAAAATAGGAAACAGGTAATGTGATTATTCAATGATCAATGGGAATTTTTCCACTTCCTCACACTCCTTGTTAAAACTGGTAATATACTCTTGCAATTTAGCCTCATGATCGATATCCCTACGTGGTCGTTTGCTCTGTGGCTGCTTCTTCTGCGGAGAATCGGAGCTTTTTTCAAGCGAGTCCTGCTCGACCTCGTCCTCAGATTCGCTTTCAATGTACAATATCTGAACTCTCTTCTTTCGCTTGCGCTGTGGACGCTCCTTCACATAAGTTCGCCTTGGTTTCTAGACAAATAAAATTTTAAAAGAGATTAGTGGAATATTCTGAATAGTATTATTTATTTATTTATTTACTGAAAACAAAACATAACACATTTAAGATTTTTGGTTTTTATGTGCAAGCTTCTTACTACCGTACAAAGATAGGCTTAGTTCTTTGCGGCCCTGTTGGCTCAACTGAAATCGTTAACATGTCTCAGTTCAGTATTAATTTAGCGCTATTTGGTCAGTGTCTACATTGATATTACAATGTTGGCGTCTTCCAGGCGCATAATTTTTGTTATCACATGGTCTTACCTTTTCATCAAATGTTTTTTCCGGTTCGGCTTGATCTTCTCTAAACAATCCGAAGGATTCCCTTGCAGTTACTGCAGCTAATGGTTTTGGTGTTGCTTGCGCAGCAATCATCGTGGAGCAGAACACTTCTCTGATATCTTTCTGATGCCATTTCTCCAAATAATCGCCACGTATTGGGTTAGTTGAAACTTGTGGAAGCTCGCTATCGCTTGGTCGCAGCTCTGCTAGTCGATGAAGTTTATCATGAAGGGTTACGTTTCGATTTGGCGATCTGGTACCGGGATGTAAATCTTCGCTTTCACTGATGAACTCATCAAACCCAAATAGATTTCGAGAGGGAGATGCTCGTGCCTTTGTCCTCGGTATATCATCACATGGCAATATTTCGTCGGAACCGAAAAGATTCACCCGCGTTTCACTGCGGTGCGCTGGAGAAGCAACTGATTCTGAAATAGTGGCCGCAGTGGAGGAAATGGTACTTTTTGAGGGAGGGGTCTTAGCATTCCGTGAATCCGGTGTTTTATTGGGTATATTTACACAAGGAACAATCTCATCAAAACCAAAGAGATTGGTCCGTGTTTGACTGCGCCCCAAGGGCGATGAAGTAGCTGCTGGATTAATAGACACTATGTTTGACGGTTTTTCTTTCGACGGAGTGGTTTGCACATTTTTCTTCCATGGCGGCAACATCACTACTTCTAGTATATTAATATCCTTAAAGGGAACGCGCTTCTGAAGGGTCCTACGTGGATTCGGCAGGTGCACAAAGTTCTCTGCGTTTTCTTGGTCATTAAGTGCCATACTTTTACTAGTAGGAGGAGGCGGGCAATTCTCCCCATTCGAGTCATTCGCATTTGAGTCACGACTTTGCTCATGCAAAGGCGGACAAATGGATTCCTCGTGGCCAGGCTCCTCGTTAGTGCTCTTCTCGGATTGCTCCGCTTGAGCATCCGGTACATAGACATGTGGTCGCCGCATGTGGTCACTGGAGTACGAAGGCAGCTGGGAGGTGTTGAAGCCAAACCGAAAAGTATTTGGCATTGGTGACTCGTCAGAAACGCGCCAGGGGGATGCCGGCCCAGCCGGACTGACTGCATTGGGGGACTGGCGGGTAATAGGAGATATTGCTGTGACTGTGGAATTGGCTTCTGGTATCGGAGGAATCTTGCGATTCAGGGGCGTGCTAACCAATTGGCGCGCCATGTTAATTAGTTCCCGACGTCTGTCCGTTAACTTTGGCCGATTCTGAGCCTGAGTTTGTTTTAACATTGCGGATCGAGCCAAACTACTGTAGGCTCCTTCGTGCATTTGCTTTGAAGTGCTCGGCTCTACATGCACCTGGACGGGCACCTCAATAGGTTCCGCAAAGTTTTGAACTAAGTCATTGCTTGAATCATCCTCGGGCTCGTAAATAGGAGAAAGAGCTCGTGGTGGTTGCTGAATGCGAGTTTCTTTTTCGTCGGTGACTATCTTGGATGACACAGGATCCACATCTTTTAGCAAACAAATTTTTCGCTTGCCTACAGGTCGTATATTTTTACTTCTTTTGGCTCTTATTTTACCAGTATTGGAGCGCACCATCACACAAGCCTTGCCATTATCCATCAAGCGCTTAATTATATCCGCCGCGGGATCATCCTTGTTGTTGTCATCATCTATCTGAGACTGCGAGAGAAAATCGAAGACATTATCTTTTTCTGAAGATCGTGTTCTCGTTTGCGGCTGATCTCTATGGAAAAAGCGAGATGGCTTTTTTGGTGAAACCTTCACGGCAAGCTTACATGGAGATTTTTCGTGATCTGGAAGAAGGCGGGATCGGTCAAAACTCGTTCATCTGTTTGATGGCGTCCACTTACCTGCCAACTTCTTCTTGGTAATTTTTGGCTTGTTAATGATCTGTACTTTCTGAGGAACGTACATCGTTGAGTTGCGAGCCGGCTCAAAAGCGCTAATATTGACATCTTGCACAGGTCTTTGAGATTCAACGGATGCGACACCATCTTGTATCTTTATGCGCTTTATTCTTACTACGCATTTTCTAAGAGAGCACTGAGGCTTCTTAGTGATTACCGAAATAGCTTCGCTCGATAATTTCTTACCACGTAATTGATTGCTTCTGGTTTTTGTTTTCAAATTTGAGGCCGTAGAACACGGCCTTCCCCGTCTTTTTACCATTTTATCAAATCAATTTGTTTACCAGATGAATTTCGTGTACAGCTCCCGCCATTTTAGTGTATAGTGTGACCTCGCATTGATCTTTAAAATATACCTTAAGTGAATGGTGTGAAACATGGCTAGGATCATCATACACATGGTCACACTCGACAAGAGCGATACATTTTCCAACACTGACCGCCAGGGATGAAACACCGATAACTGTCGATAGGCGGACAGAGAACCAGATGATTGGCCTCGCAATAATGTAAAAAATAAATAATTAGCTGTTTCCAAATAATCCAAATTCCAAATTTCTTGCGCTACGATCCGCCGTGCGTGCATATGTCGCTGTGATTGTGTCCGAGCAGATTCGTGTCTCGTCCCCTTAGAAACTACAACTGGAAAACAAGAAGAAAAAAGAAAGAAAAAGCCCCTAACTGAAAATCGAGTGAAAGTTTTCTCGTCTTTGTTTTGTAATTGTGATTTTCTTGCCTGCCAGCCCGCATTACTGGCAATATTGGATCGAACGGCTATAACGAAGCTGCTGCGGGCGCGGGTGGCTGACGGTGATTATAGCAATACCTATAGCTATTATAGCGCTCGCGGGCCGATTTCTTGGCCCTATTGTGATTGTGACAGCGCCAGTGTTATATATTTAAATCGACTCGAATCGAATCGCCGTCGTAGTCGCAGTCGCGTTTTCTGGGACTGCTGCAAAAGGCCTTGCGAATTTCTGCGCCAGGTACTGTGGGACTACGGGGACTGGGATGGAACGGGGCGAATCCCAATAAGAAACTAGCGCGAAAACCCCCCTCATACATACACACCAACATACATATATTGCACGCGATACATACCGTACATACACGAGCGTATAATGGCAACAAACAATTGCAAGCAGTAGTATCACCACTACTAGTACCATTACCATTACCAGTACCAATAGCAGACCCAATCCAATCCAATCCCAGAGACCGAGACCCCGAAGGCTGACTGTGACGCCACTGGGGGAACGGAGCCAAGGCAGATGTATCTGTGGATGTATCTGCAAATTATGTCTCAGGGTCAAGGACACTGTTTCTGCCTCGCTAACCGTTGTTTGACCTTATTAACAAGTTGGGAATATTGGATTCGCGCACCGAAGATGGAAAAACCCTTTCAGGAAGTTAATTCAGAATGGTTATTGACTAGATGATAGAATTTACTCAAATTTCAATGGGATTTAGTGGGCACTAATCCTTCGTATAATATTTTTATTTAGCAATTCATGTTTGTAAGTAAATTTAAAGACTAAGCTATTGATCAAACTTTTTAAATATTCTACGAGCAAGACAAAAATAGTTATTTAATCCAAAGCGCTGTTCAAATAATTGGTAATTTTAAAGTGAAACAGGTCGACAGGTGTATTTGTCTAGGTTGACTAATAAAAATATTTGCAAATTAGTTTGTTTGATTTAAATATCTTTTCTATGTCAACAAAGTCAACGTATAATACCATTTCAGAGAAACTGTAATTGGCTGGCTCCGCGCACAAAACGATGTGCGATACCAAAGACGATGCGCAGAAATGGAAATGTGAAATTTGCACCTACGAGAACTACCCATCCTCGCTGAAATGCACTATGTGCCAGGCGTCGAAGCCCCTGCTCAACGAGGACATCTTCCGGTAAGGGAATCCTTTTTAGCTTTCAGGTACTTATCTAGCTAATTGGTGTCTCTTCTTGCAGTCTGAGTCCGGCCCAGGAGAGCAGCTCCGTTGCTGAGGAGGCGGCTGCCGTTGAAGTGGCTGTGATGGCTCCCACACCCTCGTCCACATGCTATTCGCTCCAGCCGCAGAACCAGGCGCGGCAGAGTAACGTAGCGGATAGTGAGAAGTGGCCTTGCAAGGTGTGCACCTATCTTAACTGGCCGCGGAGCCTACGTTGCGTCCAGTGCTGCACGAAGCGTGGTGGTGAGGCTACCGAGCGGGGCAAGAAGGACAAGGCCAACGAGGCGGATGCTGATCGGGCAGGAGAGGCTCTACAGGCTCTTCGAATCAGCGGATCGGAGGAAAACTTAGCAAATAAGCCAGCCCAGCTCATCGGGGCCACAGCCTCCAATCGCTTGAGCCTTAGTCCTGGCATTGACGATGCAACGCACCTGAACAATCTCGCGAATGCATCCCATAACCAGTCACAGTCCCAACACCGGCAGCCTGTCCACCAGCAGCAGATGCAGCTCCAGTTGCAGCCACAACAGCAACGGGAATCCTCCTCCTCCGCCGCCGTCCCGCCGCAACAGCAGAAACAGTGCTATGTGGCCAAGTGGGCGTGTAACGTAGGTTGCCTACAGAATGCCAATTCTTACATATTTAAAACATGTATCTTCCTTAGTCGTGCACGTACGAAAACTGGCCGAGGAGCATCAAGTGTTCTATGTGCGGAAAGACGAGGGAGATCAGTGGGTCGCAGAATGACTTACATGCCTCCTCCAGCATAAACAGCCAAGAGGAACATCAGCAACAACAGCCGCAGCAAAACGTGGACACCGTCAGCGTCAACAACTCATTCAACAAGAAGCACATTTACCAACTGGGTAGGGTTTCATAACATGATTGCCTTGGGAATACTAATTCATAAACTTTCTATAGGTTCCTCTGAAACCATCAACAACTGTGATACGCTACAAGAGCGGCAGGAGCGCCGTCAACGTCAAATCCGGCGCCAGGTGGACTGGCAATGGCTGAATGCCTGCCTGGGCGTCGTAGAGAACAACTATAGCGCCGTGGAGGCGTACCTCTCCTGCGGTGGCAATCCTGCCCGCTCACTGACCAGCACCGAGATCGCCGCACTCAACCGCAACTCGGCCTTCGACGTGGGTCACACGCTGATCCACCTAGCCATTCGGTTCCATCGCGAAGAGATGCTGCCTATGTTGCTAGCCCAGATCTCCGGGTCGGGGCCTGGCATCAAGCGCGTGCCGTCCTATGTGGCTCCTGACTTAGCGGCCGACATTCGGCGCCACTTTGCCAACACCCTGCGCCTGCGCAAGTCCGGCCTCCCCTGCCATTATGTGCAAAAACACGCCACCTTCGCCCTTCCCGCCGAGATTGAGGAGCTACCGATCCCCATACAAGAGCAGCTCTACGATGAGCTCCTCGATCGTGATGCCCAGAAGCAGTTGGAGACACCACCGCCGGCTCTGAATTGGTCGCTTGAAATCACGGCGCGCCTCAGCTCCCGTATGTTCGTCCTATGGAACCGCAGCGCTGGCGACTGCCTCCTGGACTCAGCCATGCAGGCCACCTGGGGCGTCTTCGATCGCGACAATATTCTGAGGCGGGCACTTGCAGATACATTGCACCAGTGCGGACACGTGTAAGTGAAATGATTTATTTTGGGTGTGGATAATGTGGTTAGTTTTTTATTCATCAACTAAATTCTCTGGCCATTTATTGTAGGTTCTTTACTCGCTGGAAGGAATATGAGATGCTTCAAGCTTCGATGTTGCACTTCACGCTCGAGGACTCGCAGTTCGAGGAGGACTGGAGCACTCTTCTGTCGTTGGCCAGCCAACCGGGATCATCCCTGGAGCAGCTACACATATTTGCGCTGGCGCATATTCTTCGACGACCTATTATCGTGTATGGCGTGAAGTACGTGAAGAGTTTTCGGGGCGAGGACATTGGATATGCGCGTTTCGAAGGTGAGCTTAAAGATTTGTATTGCCTGACCATGAGTTCATATTGCTCCGTTGCATATCAGGTGTCTACTTGCCTTTGTTCTGGGATCAAAACTTCTGCACCAAGTCACCTATAGCTCTTGGCTATACGCGCGGCCACTTTAGCGCTCTGGTACCCATGGAGCCATTCACTCGCATTGATGGGCGAAGAGACGATGTGGAAGATGTGACCTATTTGCCGCTGATGGACTGCGAGCTGAAATTATTACCCATACATTTCCTCACACAGTCTGAGGTAAGTGATCTTAAAGATGATTTACTATTATTAATAAAAATAAAATCGCTTTGCAGGTAGGCAACGAGGAATCAATGATGCGCCAGTGGCTTGATGTGTGCGTAACCGATGGCGGATTACTGGTGGCGCAACAGAAGCTTAGCAAACGTCCCTTGTTGGTCGCCCAGATGCTGGAAGAGTGGCTGAATCATTACCGTCGTATTGCGTAAGCATGACTTGATCTTGTGCCTAATAAGATTGTTGATTAATCTGTGACTTGTCTTGCAGACAAGTGATAACGGCGCCCTTTATTCGTCGCCCCCAAATCACACATTACTCCAGTGATGGCGACTCGGACGAAGAGTAGATGCGGCACAGAGGACACACAGCTTCAAATTAGATATCTGAGCGTATAATTCAATATCCTTATTTTTACTTTTGGCAATAGAAAGCAGATCTTGAGATGAGATGAACAAGTGCAGATCCTACATACTTGCACTGGCAGTTAGTTAAAGGAAACTATAGAGAATACATATGCAAGCAGTTGAAAAGTTGTAGTTGTAACTAAATTGAAAGCAAACTAAAGGTTAAGCAGCAAAGTACGAAAATAGATTGATCGACGTATGTATATCATATCCGTTCCCAATTCAACGTTCGTTGATTTTAGTCAAATTTATTCACTTTGGGTCGCCGAGGCATAATAGACCATATAGTAAACGAAATTGAAGCTATACACTGGTAGATCTAATTACACTCACATCTGAAACAATCCATTAAATGAATATTTGGCCGAAAGGCAGAAGAAAAGAGAATGTAGGCGGTGGAATTCGTACACCTATGTACGCGCTAGTTAATGTGTAAACCCTTGGATGCGGGCTTAAATTATTACAAATCTCAATGTACTATTAAATTTTAAATGGGTGGCGAACACGCAACATTATTAAACTGCGGGTGAATACGAAAGCGTCATTGAAATGTTTATTGATAGTTTTTAAAACACTTTTTGGAATTATTATGAATCATTACACATTCATGCCTATAAATATAATATATATAATTATATAACATATATAGAAATCCTATGGTTCTAGAAAGTTGAACAAAGGGCCAATAACATAATGAATTTTATTCTAACTGTATTATAAATGGAATTTTATCTCATTATTATTTTTGTTAGTAATGTTATTACAATTATTATTATAATTATTACTACCTTTTAAGAAAGCTTATTGTGCAAATGTACACGCAAAACGCATAAAAAAGAAATCACTTATTTAAATAAAAGTTTTAAGTAAAGATTTAAACGAAAAATGCTTACAGTCCTTTTAAATTAAGCAAAGAACTTATACACGACCAACATTCATCTTTTTAACCTATCCTACTAAAGTACTGTTAATTACTAAGATAAGTTTTTGTGCCTTGAAAATTCGTTATAATCTAAATCTGTTGCACGCTACTTCACCTCGTTATATGATTTTTTGATAGCTACAAATAGCTCTATAAATACACTGAAATACTGTATAATAACGGTACAGCTACCGTCACTGTGTCATCTTTAAAAATCACTTTCAAATTTCCAAGTTTCACACCTCCATAATACCACCGAAGTTCCCAACCTTATCTTACTATTTATTCGTGCCGTATCTTTTGGGTTAAATTTAGTACATTCTTCAGAGCACGATGTTTTTAACGGCCGAGCCGTGTCTCTCAGATACTTAGTCGTTTTTTTGCTGCCGTCGGTTTCGTTGCTGGTGCGGTCCGGTGTTTTTTTCTGGTCGCAGCTCCCTATTTGAGAATCAGACTTTCAGGCATTTCCAAAAAGGCCACCATTTTCCACTGTGATCTTTGTCGGCGAATTGAATTTGCGAGTAGTCCACGAGCGCAAAACGCACTAGTTTGTCAATTGCGAACACACCAACCACTCCACTCTCCTATCCAAAAACTCACACACGCTTACAATCTAATAATCGCGCTACGCAGATTGCGAATGCATACGGCGAAAGATACAAATAGAAAAAATCTAAGCAGAAGAAAAATTTTGTTAGTGAAGTGAAGAGGAAGTAGTGGTGACCTGTGCGCGAGTATTTGTGCTTTCCCCGTGTGTGTCTCTAGTGTTCTAGTGTGCGTGATTCCCTCCCCCGTTTTGCAGGCGAAAAAGCGAAGAGCATAGCAGTATATAGTATCTCGCCATGGGTAAGTTATCTGCCGACACACAGATACTCTCTTCATCTCTCTCTCTTTGATTAAGGTGTGTGTGTGTGTCTGCGCAAAGTTATCGAAAGGGGGTGGCGGTGGGTGGTGCGATAGCAGCATTATGGCATTATCGGCCTTATCGTATCGGGAGTGGTTAAGTGGGAGAGGGAAAGGTGTCCAGGTGCTCTCTCACATACTCTACCCCCTTTCTCCCACCCACTGCCGGGTGGGTCATCAATCAATACTGGCCAGCTGAGAGCTAGATCTCCTCGCCCATCTCCTCGCCCTCTCTCACCAACACTGACCCACTCGCATATGATATTGTAGTCCACGTCCACTCCCTATTTTAATTTCTCAGCTGGGATGACGTCAGTGTTGTTGTAAGAACAAGTTTTTTTTGTTTGCTTCTTTACTTCTACTTCTTTATTTTGCGCCCCAAAACGAGGTGATATTGGTGATGAGGTAAGGGAGGTGAAGACTCAAAACCTGACCGAATAAACCTCAAAGTGCTTGTGCATGCAACTGCAATTACACACGATACCGTTAGGGCGTCCCGCCGTGAGAGCCGCTCTCGAATAACCTGTAAACCCGTCAACCGAACCGTTCGATGTGAATGTGAATGGGCTTTTTGGATTCAGATTCTTACATTTTCCGCCTTCTCTTCTACAGTTGCCGTTGCAAAGGGCTTTTGTACCGCTATTCGAGACTTGTATGTACTTGTATTGTCAATGATTAATTACTCGGCTACTCCGCTACTGGCCCTAATTGAGTTTATGTGCATACACTGCCCTAAAAAATGAGGTTATGCCTGCTATGTTTCTGTGGGAAAGAATTATTTACAGTTATTATTGCGAGAACTTTAAGAATTTCGGCCAATTAGAAAAAGGTAGTTCTGCTTTACATACCTTTTTTCCTTCACATATCTGAAAACAATTAAGTAGTATTGCATACTTTTTTTTTAAATATTCAAAGTAGCTCTAAATTAGATGATTTTTTAACTCAAACAAATCTTTGTTCCGGATTAATGGTTTAAGAAGTAAATGCCCAAAATTTCATGTATCGTCAGATTTCTTTTAGAGAATTGGTGAAACCTTGAAAATGCCAGATGTGGTGATTTGTAACATTCCTCAGATTTATCGATGGTGTAATCCCCTAACGATAAGATTTGCTACCACAATTTAACACTTTTTATTTATTTTCGTAAAAATTGTTTTTCATTTATTTTTGTTATGAAATTTGAAAGTTGTCAAATTGTTAAAATGGATTGTGCATTTTTTCCAAGTGGAATGTATCCCGTCTACAAGTAGTTGCATGCGTGCCTAAAATGCCTAATTGACTTGGACTTTGTGAGGATGGGGAAGTGGTCTTCGATGTGGACCCCATAACGTGCAGTCGCTCCTCGCCGCAAAAGGCTTAACAATAGCCATCCGAATCTCCATCTCCGGCAAAGGCGGCAACAACTGCTCGACATGAACTCATGACAAGCGCATTGACTTCCACTGGGTTTCCTTTTTCGTTTAGATGTGGATGTGGCTATGGCTGTAACTGTGCCCGTGCTCAAATGAAAACGAAAGGGGCGAACGATTCCCAGTCCCCCGATCAGCGAACCTCCCTCTCATTCATTCATTTAGTGGGATTTTTCTCATTTATTTTGTCCGTTGATTTGTTCGTCTCCGTCGTGCATTTCATGGCGTTTCCATAGCATTTCCCAGACGGGGTTATATAGGTCAGAGCACTTGGATAGAAAGTGGCATCTCCTCTTATGTCGTGCTCCCCCTTCCATCTGTCCACCTCCTCGTTTTCCTTATTTTTCCCATTTTCCACCTCCTCTTCCTCCACCCGTTCACTTGCCTAATTGAATGCTATTTTCGTAGCTGCAGCGTCATCAACTGCACTTGTGTGGGGTGCTCTTTTCACTTTTCGTCTAATAAGCATACAGGAAGCACTTTCAAATCGACCGAAGCACCGAAAACTTAAAACTAACTTTAGGTTTACTTTTATGTATGTGCGATGGTGCGTCAGGTAGCACAACATAAAAAACACTTGCAAAGCAATTCAAATTTGATGAGTAATACGTGGAAGAAACAAACTTATATTTAATTATAGCAACGGTTAAGAAACGAGATACGAGATAATAATTTGTTGAGAAAAACATATATTTTGAAAATAAATAACACTCTTTAAAAATCTTCCACTTCTAGTCATATAGATGTTTACTCACTTAATATGGAAATAAAATTTGTGTGTACATTTTATACTAAACCAACAAGATACAATAGTTGGTTTGCTATTCAAGTGGCCACAACTGTTGATTTGCTTTGCCAAATATACATTTGTGTATATTATGTTGTTGCTCTTCCAAACTAGAAATGTTTGTGCGTATAAACAGAACCATTCGTGGGTGAAATGTGGGCGTGGAATGCACAAGAGAGCGATGTTTGCTTTCGGCTTTATTTATTGTCTGCCAGCCAGGCTCATTTCCAGTCATGTCGAAGTGGTTGAGGTGGCATTCCCACCAGTGGCGCGTTTCACCTGTTTCCGCCTGTCGCCTTGACCTGCATTGTCCTCGACATTATCCTGCTCGAATTCAGTCAAGGATTTGACGCACTTGCTCTGGGTGAACTCGCACAGTGCGCATTGAGTGCATGTCGTGCCAGTGACGAAGGTCATTTCTCTTTCTCTCATGCTTTATTTTATTTTCGCTTTTACTATTCGATTTTAGTTGCACAGAGAAAATTATTTCTATGGTTAACAAAACGTTTTCAGACACTTTTGAGTCTTAAAATTTGTTGCTGAAGCAGCTGCCTTAATTTTAAATTTTATTTATAAATATTATCATAATATTAATAAAATGGGATCAAGGAATAAGATCATAATATTCCCTTTTCTAGGATCATAATTTTAAAAAGAGATAATAAAATATAATAATATTTTGTTATGTGCATGTTTATTACTTTAAAGTTCTGTTTTGATTTTTTTGCCTTTAAGGTTAGAGTCGTTCTGGGTCTTTGGGCGCGGCTGAAATTAATTAAAATATTTTTGCTGCCCTGCAGCTTGACCCCGCCACATCGAATCGATGGGGCCGCTGAGGCCTGTTCGAAAAGTGCGACTGTAACCTTGGACTTGCCCCCTGGCTGCCGGACGGGTTTTTTTTTTTGTTATATTATATATAAGTTCAGACCGAAATTTCGTATATTGTTTGTTTGTATTTCAAATTCGAGCGTGCTCCAGCGCGGCCCAACCAGTTTGTTTGCGGGTCCAAGTTGTGGCAGAGAATACCCGCCTCGTAGTCGCACTCGCACTGGCACAACTCCGGAGCCACGACGATGACATCATCGTCACTAAAATCGCTCTGCGCAATTACAATAAAATAACACTGAAAATGTGCGCTCAAACTTTTATTGTAGTAAGTTGAAAGAGACGACGTCGCCGCTTCGCCGGCTCTCTGTTGCATGAAAATGTAATTTTCACTGGATTTGTTTGCCAATTATCGGGTGGTCGCTAATGCTGGGAAAAATAGCGCAGAGAACCCAATAAACAAAACGCCAAAATCAATATGCAAATTGTGGAAAAATGTGTGTGATTGCATAATAAACAAGGCACAGAGCCAGCGGAACATAAATGAAATTAATTAAAGCCAACAAAACACGTACACGAACGAACTTTAAACAAAAACCGGGGACGGAAGTCCAAGTTGGTGACGAAAGCCCGCTTTCTGCCGAATGTATCTCTATCTGAATTTGTATCTGTAATACAACGATCATCGCTGTATCTGTATCTGTACTATCAGGTCGTCTGTCATTCCGACTGGACCGCGTTGGCTGTGAAAAATTTCGGTGGCGTCACCGCACAAATAAATATTCATTTTTGAATTTGTATACATATAATATATATATAATCGCTGAGTTCTCTGTGTATTTAGTTTGGCAAATTGAGTTTGCAAAGAGATCGTATATATCAAGCAAAGGTATTGGGTTTAGTATCAACATAAACAGGGGAGAGAACTGATAGCGGCACTCCCTTGAAATAATATATCACATACTTTCCTCTTACATGCATAAAGTTCAATGCACTGTGCCCATTCAGCTTGATGAATTCAATAAGCAGTCAA